TAATTATATGTCCATAAAGTGTAACCGAGAGAATGCTGCCTTGTGGTACATCCATTTCCTGCTAATGAACATTGAAAAGGGTCTTTCCATTCCGGACTTGAAATACTCTATCTGATAGAAAATTTGAAATAAAAATTGGTAGACTACCGTTATTACCTAAATCGTGCAGATCTTTCATTATGCCGTATTTCCACGTTGTGTCGTAAGCCTTTTCCCAATAGAAGAAAACAGCAACCAAGTGCTCCTTCTTCAGAAAAGCCTCACGCACAAAGGTTTCAAGTCTAACCAAATGATCGTTGGTACCTCGCTTAGATCTAAAACCGTTTTGCATGGGTGATATTATGTGACAGGATTTCAGATACCAAATTAATCTTGAATTAATTATCCATTGTAGAAGAATGAACCAAAGGGAAAAAATCAAAATTCCTCAGATAGAAGGGGAAAAAGGTCTAGCGACCCAATTCACACCTTCAACAACTTTGAATCTCTGGAAAATATGGAGTAGCAGGTAGCTACTTCCAAATTCTCGAAGATCTCTATTAAAGCTGTCAAACCATCTTAGGTTAAATAAATAGTCTAGCAAATTATCAATGGTCCCCACTTATCTCTATGTTAGTAATAATGGATACAATAATCCAATGGAATTGTAAAGGTCTTCGATCTAATATTGATGAAATTCTCCAACTGTCTCAAGAACATAATCCTAGTGTAATCTGTCTCCACGAAACGCTCAACAGAACCGAGACAAATATCAATTTCTGTGGATATTAATTGTTAAATTGCTTCGGTCCTGTTAGCAAACAAAGGAACAGCTGGAATTGTTATCCTGGTTGACAACCAAGATCCTCACAAAACATACCATTAAATACAGACATCCAGGCAACTGTTGTTAGTGTTACGCTCTATAGAACGCTTACAGTATGCTCTATCTATCTCCCTCTAAACTCTGATTTTACGAACAACCAACTAGACGAACTCCTATCGCAACTGCCTCGCCCGTTCATACTTATGGGTGACTTAATGGTCATTACAACCTTTGAGGTTCACTCGATACCAATGACAGAGGAACAAAAATTTACATTTATCTTATGGAACCTTGATTTAACTTTATGTCACCCGTCTTTGTTACTCGATTTCGAATGGACGGCGCATGACGATCTCTGTGGAAGCGACCGCTTTCCTATATTTCTAAGGAATAGTGGATCCACAGAGAACGAACATGTACCTCATTGGAAATTATATAAAGCAAATTAGATTAAATTTTAACATCTCAGTACCAGAATTCTCAACACCATTGATTTCCTGAATTTAGAAGACCCGATGGAATCCTTTACTACCAGACTTCTTGAGATAGCCGAAGAACGTATACCAAAGTCCAAAAGAAAACACAACAAAGAACCGGTTGATGGCCCAAATGACCTTTTATGTGTTGACGGGCCGTTAAGAATGTCATAATAATGATAATAATAGTACCTGTAAGGATCTGCAATCTCCGTGCAACCCATTTCGCCCTATAATTATTAAATTTAATTAAAATTTCATTAAAATGTACCATAACAGTATCAATAACAAATAGCTGTTACATGTACAGGACACTAAATAGATATTTGTTTTTAACATAGCAATCGATAGAAAACAGCCGCTAATTTACCCACACGTCCGAGAAGGTCTGCCAGTACCAACAGTCTCTGATACAAATGGTATGACGATTTTCATTCGTCAATGTGATCATGTGACTTTAAATTTCCTACGCTTACCAGTGTCACGCTTTCACAATGTTATAAAATGATTACAAAAGAAAATGAGTGAAAAATGTGTGGTTTAAAACGCTCAAATTACTTTGATAACTTAAACGAAACTTAAAATAATCGATAAAATTTACACATAGTTATAACTTAATCACATCCTTTGGTAGTTCAGATCTCCAATTTGAACAGCTGTGAGTATGTATATATACTGAAGGATTAGCACATAGGGTGTCTATGCAAACGTAACAATATGCCATGCACGTGGCGAGTTTCAGGTATCTGGACACGGCATTCATAATATGCTTCAAAAAAGAAAATATCGAGTTGTATACGGTTGTATACAAATATAAATCATATATATTTGGTAGAAAATATTAAGATGTAGATAAAGGTTACTTTAAAACATCAGCGGTTCAGATACTAAAACTCGACTTTTTCAACTATGATATTTAGCACGGGGCTTTTGTTCATATTCCAAGATTTAAATATTATGTTATCATCTTAAGTGATTTATGTAGGTCTACCTCTATCTCTTGATGTTGCCTCGTAACCTTAGCTATAGAAAGAGCTTCCTGTTCCTTCAAGATAATCTGCTGCTTCAAAAACAATGACTTTTTCTGTGAATAAGCGGCCTGCTTTGGTAGCCTCAGCTTTGGCCTTGACCTTTGCCCTGAGAATTGAACTGGAGTTTGAGCCCTCAGACCGAGATAACCTTGAACTGTGTGACCTTCTTGAAGTTGATTTCAATATCTATACAGGACTGTCTTGAATCAACATCCTCAAGAATCTTTGTCACTAACACGTCACTACGATGATCATCCACATTATGTCTCTCTAGTAGCCTCTCACCTTCATATGACCTTGAACCAGACAGGTATGTTATGCACTCATGTGACAGTAAACGATAACTGGCATATGTTAAGCATATAAAAACAGCATGCCTTTTTAAGAGTTCTGTCTTCTCTTCACACTTAGTAGCTTCATCCATCGATTCCTGAACCTTTGTCCAAAAAATATCAACTCTGTCTAAAAATCGCTCTTCAGCCTACTGATTCACTAGCCATGTTCCACAGTTCAAAATGATTACAACAACTTTTGGACTAAGCATGTGGGTCCAATTCCTTTACTGTGCTTTCACGTTTTAGCCTTGGGTGATCACATTACAAACCGGAGATGGACTCAATTTTATGCATAACATTTCTTTCTTTGGAGTACTTAAAGGAATTATGGTATCACAAATCCAACAGCTTGTAACTGACATGGCCTGCTACATGTATGCTGTCTTGAAAGCGCACAAACAACATTTTCTACCTTATAACAGAAGAGTTCCACAAACTATCTACCTGAAGGGAAATAACTCTGTCATGCTTATGACAGTTGTATAGACGGTACTGACTGTAATGGCACAATTGCCATCTTTGTATCAGTTAAAGATGTTCTTGAATGTAAAATTTCATCACTTTGAATGTTGAGTTCAATTTGGATACAATTTCATTCGGAATCGTCATCTTAACGTAGATCTTGAGACACACATATTTTGATTTAATAGGAATAATCATTGTTGGTATATGTTTACATGTTAGTATTGTAAATGTACATTGGGAGAACACGTAAAGTTGTTTTAACTTGTGTCTTATCGCTTGTTCTAAGGTTGACATCAACCATATCTAAACACGTACAGATCTTTATGTAAGTCCGTAGTTTAATTCAATCCATGTCTGAAAATTCTGGATACCATCTACATAATTATGACGTCAGAATGATCTAATTCCTCAAATCTATAAGATATTGATTTGTAATCTGATGTTGCATACCATGAGCATTTAATTTACCAAACATTCCTTCTTATGTTTAGGAATAAGGTTACCATTTTTATTGAAATAGGTGTACAGTTGACGTAATGAATTACCAAACTTTATAATAATGATGTCATGTGAAAAAGGGTACCACATTTAGGGTATCTTAGAAGCTGCAAGTTATGTTGTCTTTACCCTGACGAGCTGTAACTAATGAAACCGGTTGGCAAATAATAAAAGTATTCAACCTACGTAACCTTGTAAAGCTGGTTGAAGTTGAGTACACTTCTACCGATGATGTTTCACATCAATAAAGATATTTTGCGACAATTTCAGATCAGGTAATTTGAAAACAGAACAAGGAACATTTTTCTTGCATTTAATAGTCATTTTAAACTACTACCTTGATTGACCTGCCCTTGGCTGGCATTGAGGTTTACTAGTAAATCATTTTACAATCCTCAGCTAACTGAAATAACAAATTTTCTCCTGTAACTACTGGCCTAATATGTTATGCCTATATGCTTCAAGAGATTTCAACTAACTGTAACAGAAATATCAGAAAATATTTGTCTTTTTGATCTACAGGCTAACATTTTAAATATCATAAGGAGATCAATTACATTGAAAATTTTAAGCGTTCCTGCCAAGATAACCAGTCGCCATTTGCCAATCATGATAGATTCATTATAAATCAGTCCATATCTTTGGCAACAGCAAGCACTTAAAGCTCCCCAACTGCCCAGTTTGTGTTGTAACATACCACACTACACATTGTAAAACTGATCAAGAAAACATCACACATTGTTACACAGATCTAGACAACATTTCACATTGTAACACTGACCTAGATAACATTACACATTGTAACACAGATCTAGACAACATTACACATTGTAACACTGATCAAGACAACATCACATATTGTAACATTGATCTAGACAACATTACACATTGTAAAACTGATCTAGACAACATTACACATTGTAACATTGATCTAGACAACATCACACATTGTAACACAGATCTAGACAACATTACACATTGTAACACAGATCTAGACAACATCACACATTGTAACACTGATCAAGGCATTTTACTTGATATCAAATTAGTATCTCAAATTTCAGCACACCCGACCCCCTGGACATAGTATACAATGTATCAACACGTTAATCATTAAAAATAACTCAAAACAAAGTAAACAAATGTAAGTTAACAAGAAAACAATGTGCTAAATCACAGCTGAATAAGTATGACACTGATAGTGGTTTGCCCTTCCATAGTAAAAGAGTGTTCTGTGTAATTAACAGTGCCTTGAGAATCTGTCATGGTCAATTTTATCACAACACTTCATTATAGCACTTCATTCCTTGTAAATTCTGTCCAAACTTAAGGATATTACAGTTTTCTAAATAAAGTAATGATTTCAAGGGAAATCTTACTGTTGGTGAAGGACACTTCAATAAAAAGATTAGAACCCCTGCCAATTGTGAATACCATCCTCAAGAAAATACACAGGTATATAATACAGTTATTACAAATTTGTTTCCAGCCATCAATGCTGGAACATTTTAAACTTTTTATGTTACAGATGTTTGTCAAGGAAGACAGATCTAAATAAAACTGGTTTCAGTGCTATGGCTTCCTGGAAACGGGCGTGAATACGTTTTGGTAAAAGTGTCTTTGGCTGGTGACGTCGGAACTCCTGCTTCCGAGACAATAGGGCAGCAACGTCATTCATGTAAAGATCCCATGCTCTCTCAGCTGCAGTCATGTACACAGGTTTGTCCTCTCCATCATCAGTCTTCACGGTATACTAAACAATGGAAAACTTCATTTGTAACAAGATTTGAGAAAATACACGAGGAATCTGTTATCAGAAATCTGTTCTTGTGAAAAGTCAAAATTTTCTGATGACTAACTTTTTGAAAGCTCATTTTAATAGGAATAATAGGGAGTTGATAAAAAAATGAAAAAGAAAATGATAGTTTAGTCTGCTTGCTTTCTCATGGTATGTTGCTGAACTACGGTATGCTCTAAACCATTACATTGTTTATTTTTTTACTGTGTTCATCCTCTGTTCCTTTTTCTGATTAAACGTCAGATATTGATTTTTATAATAAATAAGCAAAATTACTTTTTTCCAGTATGAAGTGTATTTTTTTAACAATCAATATCACATGACTAAAATTATTACAAAAAACTATTATTGAAGTTTACTCTCGGCAATGTCAATGTTGTTTAGTTGATTCCAACCTATGATACACAAGAAGTGAAGAAATTTTAGCCCACCATCATTAGATGGTACATTGTCTATTCAAATTGCCTTGTGTTCGTGGGCCACCGATCATCCATACAACAATTCTTGTTATTGCTGACAGTCAGCCATCTTCAATATTGACATATTAGTTTGTTATAATAATTTCTGGAGAAATACTGGATGGATCTTCAAATTTCATATCTAATGACCCCTTGGTCCCTAGTTGTGCATTATTTCATTTTGGAATTGATTAGGAAATTTCAGTAATTTTTAAAGTTTGATATGATTAAGAGCAAAAACAGAGAAGAGAAAAGATCAACCTCTTAAAGAACAAATAAAGATCAAATGATGGCGGGTGACAAGATCCCTCTGGAATCTCAAGTTACAAATTCTGGTGCTATTTACTTGATGCTTCAGACCAATTGGTTTTCTGAATAAGAAGCATTTTAAAGAAAAATATGTTTGACTTATGAATTATTGGCAAATATTACGCCATTGCCTTATCTCTCTCTTAACCAGCAATCACACTGCATGTTTTGAATTTTGTCCTAACTTTATTTTCTAATATCATCTACATGTTAAATTTATCAAGTAGTCAATTTCTCATCAATCAAAATTGATCAGAATTATAATCTGATCTATCTGTTCTTTATTTGAAAACACACGCTCCAGGACAACCATCATTGAATTAAATCATCAATACTTAGCTGGTTGTCAAATATAGAATCTTTCTGAATGCTTTGTACTCTTACCTTTTCCTTCCTGAACAGGTCAGCTCCAATATCTGCCAGTCGAATACAAATGTCCTCTTTGCCATAGTCAATGGCCAAGAAAATGAGATCTCTAAATCCAGGCATTAACGGACCCAACTAAAACATTCAAAAAGAAATGACAAATAATTCCTTGGCAGTTATAACTTAAAGCAAGACTATAAATCTACAACAATGTCAAAGAGGGATACACTCTCCAAAGATATCCACGAGGGATCTACTCTCCAAAGACATCCACGAGGGATCCACTCTCCAAAGACATCCACGAGGGATCTACTCTCCAAAGACATCCACGAGAGGTCTACTTTCCAAAGATATCCACGAGGGATACACACGAGGGATCTACTCTCCAAAGATATCCACGAGGGATCTACTCTCCAAAGATATCCACGAGGGATCTACTCTCCAAAGATATCCACGAGGGATCCACTCTCCAAAGACATCCACGAGGGATCCACTCTCCAAAGACATCCACGAGAGGTCTACACACGAGGGATCCACTCTCCAAAGACATCCACGAGAGGTCTACTTTCCAAAGATATTCACGAGGGATACACACGAGGGATCCACTCTCCAAAGACATCCACGAGAGGTCTACTTTCCAAAGATATTCACGAGGGATCCATTCTGTTTGATCTTTGATCATTTTACCTTTAAATGTCCTTTTATTAGATAAGTTGGATTTTTTTGTTGTTTCTCTCAATCCTCCATTTTGTTTTATAATATTATGTTGTATTGATGTATATATTAGAAGGACAAATGTGAGGCTGGAACAGCACATCTTATCCTGACTTTGAAGGAAAATTTAGAATATGCAGTTTAAGCTGGCATAGAATTGTAGACAGGAAGGAAAGCAGAGGCTGTAAGCAGATATAGCTGTATTAAAAGGACACAGAGGGAACAGTTGTAGTTAGACATAGTGGGAACAGTTGTAGTTAGACATAGTGGGAACAGTTGTAGTTAGACATTGTGGTACATAGTGGGAACAGTTGTAGTTAGACATAGTGGGAACAGTTGTAGTTAGACATAGTGGGAACAGTTGTAGTTAGACATAGTGGGAACAGTTGTAGTTAGACATAGTGGGAACAGTTGTAGTTAGACATAGTGGGAACAGTTGTAGTTAGACAGTGAGAACAGTTGTAGTTAGACATAGTGGTACATAGTGGGAACAGTTGTAGTTAGACACAGTGGGAACAGTTGTAGTTAGACATAGTGGGAACAGTTGTAGTTTGACATAGAGGGAACAGTTGTAGTTAGACATAGTGGGAACAGTTGTAGTTAGACATAGTGGTACATAGTGGGAACAGTTGTAGTTAGACATAGTGGGAACAGTTGTAGTTAGACATAGTGGGAACAGTAGTAGTTAGACACAGTGGGAACAGTTGTAGTAAGACATAGTGGGAACAGTTGTAGTTAGACATAGAGGGAACAGTTGTAGTAAGACATAGAGGGAACAGTTGTAGTAAGACACAGTGGGAACAGTTGTAGTTAGACATAGTGGGAACAGTTGTAGTTAGACAAAGTGTGAACAGTTGTAGTTAGACATAGTGGGAACAGTTGTAGTTAGACATAGTGGGAACAGTTGTAGTTAGACACAGTGGGAACAGTTGTAGTTAGACATAGTGGGAACAGTTGTAGTTAGACATAGTGGGAACAGTTGTAGTTAGACAAAGTGTGAACAGTTGTAGTTAGACATAGTGGGAACAGTTGTAGTTAGACATAGTGGGAACAGTTGTAGTTAGACATAGTGGGAACAGTTGTAGTTAGACATAGTGGGAACAGTTGTAGTTAGACATTGTGGTACATAGTGGGAACAGTTGTAGTTAGACATAGAGGGAACAGTTGTAGTTAGACAGTGAGAACAGTTGTAGTTAGACATAGTGGGAACAGTTGTAGTTAGACATAGTGGGAACAGTTGTAGTTAGACATAGTGGGAACAGTTGTAGTTAGACACAGTGGGAACAGTTGTAGTTAGACATAGTGGGAACAGTTGTAGTTAGACATAGAGGGAACAGTTGTAGTTAGACATAGAGGGAACAGTTGTAGTTAGACAGTGAGAACAGTTGTAGTTAGACATAGTGGGAACAGTTGTAGTTAGACATAGAGGGAACAGTTGTAGTAAGACATAGTGGGAACAGTTGTAGTTAGACATAGTGGGAACAGTTGTGGTTAGACAGTGGGAACAGTTGTGGTTAGACATAGTGGGAACAGTTGTAGTTAGACACAGTGGGAACAGTTGTAGTTAGACACAGTGGGAACAGTTGTAGTTAGACATAGTGGGAACAGTTGTAGTTAGACATAGTGGGAACAGTTGTAGTTAGACATAGTGGGAACAGTTGTAGTTAGACATAGAGGGAACAGTTGTAGTAAGACATAGAGGGAACAGTTGTAGTTAGACATAGTGGGAACAGTTGTAGTTAGACACAGTGGGAACAGTTGTAGTTAGACACAGTGGTACATAGTGGGAACAGTTGTAGTTAGACATAGAGGGAACAGTTGTAGTTAAACGTAGTGGGAACAGTTGTAGTTAGACATAGTGGGAACAGTTGTAGTTAGACATAGTGGGAACAGTAGTAGTTAGACATAGTGGGAACAGTTGTAGTTAGACACAGTGGGAACAGTTGTAGTTAGACATAGTGGGAACAGTTGTAGTTAGACATAGTGGGAACAGTTGTAGTTAGACATAGTAGGAACAGTAGTAGTTAGACATAGTGGGAACAGTTGTAGTTAGACACAGTGGGAACAGTTGTAGTTAGACATAGTGGGAACAGTTGTAGTAAGACATAGTGGGAACAGTTGTAGTTAGACAAATAGTGAACAGTTGTAGTTAGACATAGTGGGAACAGTTGTGGTTAGACATAGTGGGAACAGTTGTAGTTAGACATAGTGGGAACAGTTGTAGTTAGACACAGTGGGAACAGTTGTAGTTAGACAAAGTGAGAACAGTTGTAGTTAGACACAGTGGGAACAGTTGTAGTTAGACATAGTGGGAACAGTTGAAGTTAGACAAGCCAAAGAGCTGCTACATGAAGAATGCCAACACCACTAAAACATTAATCATGGTATGTAGTACAATGTGGGAGTCAAAAGGACACAAAAGGGCATGGTGTAAAATTGATACAGAATTCCAAATAATACCTTACTATATCACAAAATTATATTTACTGTGGTGTTTCTAGATACTTTGTAACTATTTTTATAGAATTTCTTACCTGTCTGTATTTAAAAGAGATTTATCTCAGTCGAGGGTTGACATTTTGTAACAAAACCTAATTTGAGGTGTAGCTGAGAATAAGATAGTCAGACTTTATACATAACAGATTGTCAGCCCAAACCTATTTAGTTAGTTTCATTTCAAAACTCTCTGACTCAGTTACATTACCTCCCTTTGTGGTTATGCCGAAAGACAACTGAAATTGACGTCACTTTATTGGTGACATCACTTATTGCCAGATGTAAACGTACCAGGCAGAGTGGACGAGACAGAACTATCTAGCCCTGGGTATGTAACACATGAGATTTCTCTGTCACATACACAAGAGATCATGATTTGATCACCAGGATACTACAGGATCCTACTGACACAGTGGTATATTACACAACTAACTTACTATTTTTGGGAACATTGCAACTGGAAATGGAAAGTATCTGATGCAGTCAGCAAAGTCCTTCAATCCTTTTCTTTTCCCACGTATCAGTTTGTACAGCTCTTCATACTGTGGGACAAAATATTGAAGATAAATTTATCGGGATTTTTGTTCTATACAATAGTTAAAACAAATACCTTGTCAACAGCGAATAGTTAAAATAAATACCTTGTCAACAGCGAATAGTTAAAATAAATACCTTGTCAACACAGAGTAGTTTAAATATATACCATGTCAACACAGAGTAGTTAAAATATATACCATGTCAACACAGAGTAGTTAAAATAAATACCTTGTCAACACAGAGTAGTTAAAATAATTACCTTGTCAACACAGAGTAGTTAAAATATATACCATGTCAACACTGAGTAGTTAAAATATATACCATGTCAACACAGAGTAGTTAAAATATATACCTTGTCAACACAGAGTAGTTAAAATAAATACCTTGTCAACACAGAGTAGTTAAAATATATACCATGTCAACACAGAGTAGTTAAAATATATACCATGTCAACACAGAGTAGTTAAAATATATACCATGTCAACACTGAGTAGTTAAAATAAATACCTTGTCAACACAGAGTAGTTAAAATAAATACCTTGTCAACACAGAGTAGTTAAAATAAATACCTTGTCAACACAGAGTAGCTCCAGTTCCATGCCATATTTTGCCTATATTAAAATAAAAATGAATAAGACTTCAAACTCATTGCAATGAAGTTTTAAAATCTTATGTAATTAACTATAATGATTTGGATAACACATTTTTCATTTCTAGGTATAAAAAGATAACATTTACAAATTCTAGTACATTTTAATAGTAAAAAAATTTTTGAGCAAAAAACACTTTCATAATCTATGTTGAATATTTATATATAAAATGGTAACCAGTTAAAGTGTTTTACAATAATTCTCCTGTCCGATTCATTCTTTTTACATGTGCTGATATTTAAATGTGCAATTGACTTGAATGTTAAATCAAAATGCCTTTCAAGAAAACACAAGTTTGTGTTATCACTATGTAGTCTACAAAATTTCAAATGAATTTGTTGAAAACTGAAAGAGATCTTCAGATAAGATTGAATTGCTGGAAAAAAACAAACGGCAATAACTCCATCAACATGAGATCCACAAAACAGAACTGAATATATAACCATTTCATGTAAAAGGCAAATTATCTCACAACCATATAGCACTGCTAAAGAAACAAAGGGCAATAACTCCTCAAAAATATTGCTGTTCAGGAAAATACACTTTAATCTTTTTATGATAAGTAAAACATATTTGAAATGAATTGGTTGAAAGCTTAGGAAGAGCTGAACTGATGTCCTTGATCAAATAGCAGAAAAAATGGGCAATAACTATCCCAAAACTTGTTCTGTCATGGAGAAAAACACTTTTATTTGTTCTGATCATTAAGTACACAAAGTTTAAAAGATATGACTAATTTTTCGAAATCTTCAGCAATTTCAACTGTTATCATATATCATAGTCCAAAAATTTACCAAGTTAGAAAGAGATCATTAGGAAATAGAGATAGGAAATCTCCGAACAAGAGAGGAAGGAGAGGGGGGATGGAGTTTAACAATGGTATCAAAAGTTTTGACAAGTGAATTATTAACAGGACAGGGAACAGTCACTATTACAAAAAGAATCAATTCAACTTGTCATTCAGGGAAACACAAATTTTCATGCATAATGATGCAACCTAGCAAGTATTAATCAGGTTGGTTGAAAACTATGTGACAGGATTTCTGGACAAAGGTTACGAAAAATATGAGGTACATATAGAGAGAGACATATCTCCTTTTTTCATGTGCATAAAAAATGGTCAGAACAACAACAAAAATTCTCTAAGATCAGATTATAATATATATAATAAACATTTGTATCTACTTTATAATTTGTAATATTTGTGAAAACAGTAACATGCATTGAAGGTCAGAACAAACATGCAAACCACCCAACATAAAACAATCCATAATGCGTAACCTATGTGTAACTATCTCGGCTCTCTCCTCCAAGCAGTTTAATTTAGAACAAACACTGATCAAGTTGACAAACAGGTAAAAACATTGAATCTGTCACCAGTTAATGAGACAGCTGCTTAAAACTGACAATGCAAACTTATTTCACAACTTACATATTTGGTTTGTATATTTCTGTATTGGACATTCCAGGGTGTCTCAATACAGGACACATCCAAGGGAGTCCCAATACAGGACACATACCAGGGTGTCCCAGTACAGAACACATTCCAGGGTGCCCCAATTTAAGTCACATCCCAGGGTGTCCCAATGCAGGACACATCCCAGGGTGTCCCAGTACAGGACACATCCCAGGGTGTCCCACTACAGGACAATACCAGGGTGTTCCACTACAGGACACATCCCAGGATTTCCCACTACAGGACACAGCCCAGGGTGTCCCACTACAGGACACATCCCAGGGTGTCCCAGTACAGAATTATCCCAGGGTGTCCCACTACAGGACATATCCCAAGGTGTCCCAATACAGGACACATCCCAGGGTGTCCCACTACAGGACAAATACCATGGTGTTCCACTACAGGACACATCCCAGGATGTCCCACTACAGGACACATCCCAGGGTGTGTCCCAGTACAGAAAAATCCCAGGGTGTCCCAATACAGGACACATCCGAAGGTGTCCCACTACAGGACACATACCAGGGTGTCCCAGTACAGAACACATTCCAGGGTGCCCCAATTTAAGTCACATCCCAGGGTGTCCCAATGCAGGACACATCCCAGGGTGTCCCACTACAGGACAATACCAGGGTGTTCCACTACAGGACACATCCCAGGATTTCCCACTACAGGACACAGCCCAGGGTGTCCCACTACAGGACACATCCCAGGGTGTCCCAGTACAGAATTATCCCAGGGTGTCCCACTACAGGACATATCCCAAGGTGTCCCAATACAGGACACATCCCAGGGTGTCCCAGTACAGGACACATCCCAGGGTGTCCCACTACAGGACAAATACCAGGGTGTTCCACTACAGGACACATCCCAGGATGTCCCACTACAGGACACATCCCAGGATGTCCCACTACAGGACACATCCCAGGGTGTCCCAGTACAGAAACATCCCAGGGTGTCCCACTACAGGACATATCCCAAGGTGTCCCATTACAGGACAAATCCCAAGGTGTCCTAGTACAAGACACAACTCAGGGTGTCCCACTACAAGACACATCCCAGGGTGTCCCACTACAGGACATATACCAGGGTGTCCAACTACAGGACACATCCCAGGGTGTACATGAATCTGACTTAGCCACATACTTGTCTATGGCAAATTACATGTCTTCGATCATCCAGTGTTAATGTGGGTTTACTCTTCCAAAATTAAATGTGTTTTGTTGTATTGAAGTGATATAAATGTGATATAACTTATCTAAACTTTCTCCAATGAAGACCAATTCAAATCTCTTAATTCTTAACATAACTAGGTAAAATTTAAACAGTTTTCTCTGTTCACTGACACTTTGGTAGTCCATTCCTGAAACAAAGCCAAAGCTGTCAAATATACTATACATATACAGCAACACCGATAAGTAACACAGTGGTGGCTAATACTGTAGGAATATTAAGAGGTAGGTAATGATAATATGATAGTCTCACAGCAATGTATATATCATAGTATATGTAGATTGTATAAAACATATCATATATTTTGTTTATATTAAGTTGCTGAATCTATATTTGGAAACACAATATCGATTCAGTGAGACTATACATAAACAGTGCTTGAAATCAAGTTCGGAAAGCAATTATATAAGCACTTTTCTTACCAGTAAAAGAATTTTAGTGGATGCCGAGCCTGTAGTCATTTCACAGCTATAAGCATCATTTTGATAACGACCAAATCAGTATTAAATTTCCTGTATCATTAGCAACAAAGTATTCTTTAAACCTATGATAACTTGTGCGTATACATATAACCACAATCTTGATTTCCAGCACACAAACATTTCACCTGATATATCAATATTCCCATAACAAACACACTAATTGTCTAAAGGAAACAATCAGTTCCTTTATTTCACTGTCACTTTAATCTTTATGGAAATCCTTACATTTTGTAAGTGATGGTTTTCAACACGCATCACAGAAAATCAGCATTCTTTTGCTAAAATAAAATTTTAAAAAAAAACTTTGTACCATTTTCTTTTAACACTGTATAATGACAGCCCAAAGAAACATTATATTTTATTTATCACTCGACGAAAGAAACTCAATCTACATCTGCTTATCTTTTATCCTATAATTATGATGGCAATATCATGGTAGGACTGAACATTTTATAAAGATTGTACTGACAGTGGTTACAGAACTTAAACTGATTGATTTCTTCAGACACCAGGAATCATTTTATATAACCAAGAACCAGCATTCCACTAAATAATCTCACAACCAAACTTACCGCCTAGTAGATAGTGAACAAAATAAAGGATTGTAAGTTACATACATAGACAAGTAAAATGTGAAAATTTTACAAGTAAGGCACAATATATTCTTGTACAGTAAGCGTTATTGTATATACAGGTCAGTGTGATGTAGGATTCTATGTAGAATGGTAGAGTATCAACAATCAACAAAATCAGAAATTTTATTTTTACCATTTGTGTCCTTATTTATTAAAGTATTAATTATTCAAAAACAAGAGGTTCATAGAGCCTGTATATCACTAAGGAAACCTGGATGTTTCAAATTTCAAATTTTTATTTACAATAATTGTATTGTTCAGTTTTTCTGTAAAGAAGTGGAATTTCAAATCTTCAAACCAAGTCTCCATCTTAAAAATAAATTCACTCCATGGGGAAGACTACATACTTTATGTGTATACCTCTCTTTCCTGTAATGGGCCTAATGTATTCTGCCCCCTAAGATTTACATGAAAGCAAGCCCTCTACACTAAGGATATTTGAAACAAATTTAGTCAAAAACTTTTATTGCAACATAAAGGGTATGCACAAATTCAGTTCTTTTCACCCAGGGATGCTTTAGATAAAAAAATCTGGTCCAAATAAATCCAACAGAGATGTGAAACATCTGTGAAAAAGAGTATATTTGTTTTTGGTCTAAGAGTCCATACACATGAAGATCTAAAAATCGGTAAATAAAAATGATTAGAATTTAGTAAAATTATATAAAATATTAAAATGTTTCTGAATATGTGATTTCTAATTTCATTTAGAAGCAAACAGTACTTGTTGTGTATGATTGAAGCATAAATGAAATGTTCTACTTTAATTAAATACTATATTTTTTTAAATACATAATTTACGTTTGTGATATTATCTCTGAGGCAGAGTGAAATTAGTAATTTATCTTAAGGTGCCTGTACAATTGTGATCTTATTTCCGAGGCAGAGTGAAATTAGTGATTTATCTTAAGGTGCATGTGCGATTGTGATATTATCTCCAAGGCAGAGTGAAATTAGTGATTCATCTTAAGGTGCATGTACGATTGTGATATTATATCCGAGGCAGAGTTGAATTAGTAATCTATATATAAATGCATGTAGTGTGTGTGTGTGTGCACCCAAGTTTGGCAAGCTGTTGTACATGTTAAAAAAGTGGTCCGCAAACATGTTCTGTTTTGTTTACATTTTGATTATAACAGATCCATAAAAGAAACAAACAACCATCTAAGACCTGCCATTAATTAGCATTCCAAATATGCATATTCAACAGACCTAAAGGTAAAGGGGGCAGGACTATCGTTTACAGTAGTCTGTGTACTGAGAGAGATGGGATATTGTGAACTACATATATTACTGCATAATTTTAATCTGAAATATGGCATTTCGAAAAATTGTGGCCGAAAACCCCTTAATTTGATAATAATGAATGTTTCTAACTATTTGTTCTGAAACTGATAGATCTATATCAGACCTATAAATATAGGGCTTAATTACGTAATATACTTTAACTACACTCGTAGATATTTAGAAAATAAATAAATCCTTATTCATGAGCCATTTCTAAAGTTACATGAACCAGGACAGAATTGCAATTTTGTGTGATAGAGCCGCACATTGCACAGAATTGTGAAATTCCACAACTGTATGAGTAAGACGTTGTTTCATAAAATAATCAGGATAGGCTTGTTCATTTCATTGTCCATTTCTCCTAGGATTTTCAATTAAGTCCCAAATAAAATAGCAGCTGTTTCCTAATCATCCTACATACTGTATATATAGAGTGTTGATGTATATATAGAGTGTTGACTGAGGTCTAATGATTTGCTAGGATTTACCATATCTTTCTTGTTTAAAAGTCCGAAAAATTTATGGAAGTAGTTCTGTGAGTATTACGTCATCAAATCTCACTTTCAAATCTTTGGTCTTTGGTAAAAATTATCTGAATTTGCAATGACATTAACCTGTACATATGATCCATAGTAGTCCTGTGAATTGTTTCATTAATGATATTTATGATATCAAGACAGCGTGATTCCAGAATACAGGGCCTCAATCTCATTTCATGGAGTATAACTGGATTTTGTGTGGAATTAATATAGGATATAGGGAAACATGTTCCTGTCTACACAGTCTTCTGAGGATTAAGGCTCTGAAAAGTTGTACTATCCTGAGTTGTTTCTAATGTAAACGGTGCTAATCAAAGGTTACCGTTAAGTTGAGGTAACAGTGACTGCATTGTTATGTTTTTGACCATTACAAATTTCACTACATTTCATTCTTAAGTATTTTGTCTTACTTCCTTGATTTATAATTCATGGTGGATTTAAAAATGGATGCGACTGATATTTGACTGAAAGGAAGACTCGATTCAATATAAAATGAAATCCAACACAACATCTAGGACTTTTGTGTTCTTATATAATGTGAAAAGGGTCAATTTATACATTGTTCAATGTTTTACACTTTGTATGTCTTTTTGAAGGTTTATTTGATGACATGATTTTGTTAAAAGCATTAACAAATTCATCATTTTCTGGTTGTTAAGGTACATATCTAGTATATAACTCTAGAAGTTTTTGGCAGATTTCACCTAAATTTTGATTTCACCATAAATCACTAATTCCAAATTCGTGAATTTAATTGGGTGGACTAAGTTCCCTGTTTGTTAGAGAAAAATTTTTTAGCTTGTTTCTTAATTTTGGAAAAACTGAATATTTATGTGAAAATGCAAAAAATATAAAGCACAACCACCACATCTTTTTTTATCATGAAAAACATTCTCAAAATTCCCTATCCAAAGATTTAAAAAAAAAATTTAGTAATAGAAAATGGTCGAATAAAGAAATGATTTTTTTAAAAATTTTTCATCTTTTGGTTGCTATGATACAGTATCAAGTTCATTAAATCAAATTAAAAGTTTGCATTTTCATTTCATTTTTTTTTGATAACCAAGTATCATACTAGTACCTTCAAATAAAAGATGTAAATTAGTTTTAAATACAGTTGCTGTGACAATAACAAAGAATAAATACAAATTTGGGGGAAAAAGAGAATAATATGTGACAGAGAAAAGTTTCATGTAACACTTATTCTGATGTCTGTATTGGAAAAAGTAATGTAGCAACATATTTATTTTTTGCTTTTAATATACTTCTTCAAATCTAACCTTTTAAAATATCATCACCAGAAAGACCGTTTAATTCAATGAAATTTTTCACTTCTCATAGAAGTACAGTCTGAACTGTGAATATTGTAACCCTGGAATTGTAAAATGTTTTAATTCATTTGAAATCTAAATTAACAGACTAAAACTATTAATGTTGATATTTTTCATTTTCTCACCATTTAGTTTACAGTATATGATATATAACTTACATGTTTTTCCTCTTTAAGCCATCTCTCTTTCTCCCTAATATTGGTATAATCCTGTGCCAATCTGCCGTTCTGTAGAAAATCAGTCAGTAATCAAATTAACCATGTGTCTGAGTAGCAAGAGGTTCCTGGGGCTTAACAGTCATCGGATAATCAAATCATTCATTTCAGAAATTATTGCCCTCCCAAAAAGATGTTTCAAACAAAATTGGATTGAAAGCCACTTCCACTTGAGCATTAAGGAATAAGCATTGCAAAGTAAAAATTCACAGTTAGATTTCCCATTTGAGCCCAAGGTATTAAGATTATATTCAATGTGTCCCTCTGATGAAAAGTATTATTATACTCACTGTGTCTTTTTGATCAGTATTAATACCAGCTGATATCAGGAGCTTCCTGATAGAGTCACCATCTTCACCCAACATGTAGGAATAATGCAAACAGCTTCTGTCACACTAGACAATATAAACATTCATTGTGAGGCTACATTAGATCAAATGTACCTAAAACATACACAGTGAGAGGTTATCTCCCCTGTCATTATATATTACATAAAGTGTATTTAAAACATATACAATTAGAGGTTATCTCCCTTGTCATTATATAATACATAAAATGTTCTTCTTACTTACACAGTGAGAGATTATCTCCCTTGTCATTATATAATACATAAAGTGTACTTAATACTTACACAGTGAGAGGTTATCTCCCCTGTCATTATATATTACATAAGGTGTACTTAATACTTACACAGTCAGTGCTGTTCACAATAACGGCAGAGAAACCAAGAAGATACTTGATAACATCCTCACGGGCGAAGAGACAGGCTAAAATCAGTGGTGTCCTCATCGCCTAAAGTTACAAATAAAACAGTAAACTGAGGGAGTTTCACAGCAACAGGGAGAGAAATCATTTTGAGAAAATTACCCTAAATATAAGGAAATAAGACGTTCAGAGAGAGTTACCAGAGAATAAGTTAGGGTGTCATTCAGAGAGAGTTACCTGACAATAAGGTAGGGTGTAATTCTGAGAGAGTTACCAGACAATAAGTTAGGATGTCATTCAGAGAAAGTTAGCTGACAATAAGGTAGGGTGTCATTCAGAGAAAGTTACCTGACAATAAGTTAGGACGTCATTCAGAGAAAGTTACCTGACAATAAGTGAGGATGTCATTCAGAGAAAGTTACCAGACAATAAGGTAGAAAGTCATTTCAAGAGGGTTACCTGACAATAAGGTAGGAAACCATTCAGAGAGAGTTACCTGACAATGAGGTAGGAAGTCATTCCGAGAGTTACCTGACAATAAGTTAGGACGTCATTCAGAGAGAGTTACTTGACAATAAGGTAGGAAGTCATTCAGAGAGAGTTACCTGACAATAAAGTAGGAAACCATTCAGAGAGAGTTACCTGACAATAAGGTTACCTGACAATAAGGTAGGAAGTCATTCAGAGAGAGTTACCTGACAATAAGGTAGGAAACCATTCAGAGAGAGTTACCTGACAATAAGGTAGGAAGTCATTCCGAGAGAGTTACCTGACAATAAGGTAGGAAGTCATTCAGAGAGAGTTACCTGACAATAAGGTAGGAAACCATTCAGAGAGAGTTACCTGACCAATTGACCAAAAAATACAGGAATCATTGAACCATGTGATTGGGTACAGGAATCAACAAGCCTCAACATTACCCAAGATTCATGTAGGTACAGGTATGAGTTGTAATGAGATTCTGTGAGTGTTTATCTTACCTTATCTCTGCAGTTAACAAGCATGTCTGGGCTTTGACAGGATTCTACGATATCCCTCACAGAAGATAATGGGGCATGTCGTATACTGTGCTGTAGAGAATTTGTTTCATTCTGCAGAAAAATAATAAAAATAGCTTTGTAGACTAACACTTAGTGTAGTAGTTTTTTAACATTACAAAAAACTGATTGAGAGTGTCATTGATGTGAACATTTTTACCTTGAAAACTACATTTCTTAAAGTTTACACCAAGAAACAGAATTCTACCAAAAGAAAAGTTTCCTTCAATAGTATGAGTTTGGAATGTTATCTTACTCGATGCAATTCCTAAGACTTGGAGTGATCAAGAAAGAACAAACAAACACACACCTGCACGCACACACGTACGCACACACGCACACACGCACACACTTGACATTTTCATGAGTGATGGGAAATCAGGACATGCTAAAGACATGAACACATGTATACACCTAATGAATAATGATAATTCATGTTTTCACTCTCTGTCTAATGTACAAAGATCCAAATTATTAACAACACATACAACCTATTTCAATGAGGTCTCTCACCTGGAATGTAGGCAGCCATTCAATAAACTTAAGGGCATCATCTGTCTCATTGCCTGCTGCATAGATGAAGGAATCCCTGTACTAAAATCAGAATCAAAACATACAGTGATTGTATTGTTATATCAATTCTAAGTGAATCGGTCTTTTGTGTTCAATTCTTGTCCTGTTCATTATCAACATTTCTTCCTTGATGTGGAAAAGGAAATTTTATCAATTTTTTGCCTCCAGCATCTGTATAATGGTCATTTAGGTATCTGTGTTGTATAGATGTAAGGTCTGACTTTTATGGCAAGTTGGCCTAAGATTTTAAGTGAAAACATGATAGAGACTCAGGAGTTATTTCCCCATATACAAATACCTGTGTATTGTGGCCAAAATTTCTCAAAAAAAAACAACAAAAAACAAAAAATATTTGCATGCATTTCTACATTAACATTTTTAACAAATTAATTCAAAATTGGTTTGCAGACTTAAGAGAATTGTCCTGACAAGATTTCTTGAAACAGAGGCTCTCCTTTGCCATGGTTACCAAATGTCAATCGTGAAATTTTTGAAAATGGTACCATTGTATTTTCATATTCCTAAACCTTTTGACCAAATTGTTTAGCTCACCCAGTTAATTTAATGATGTTTCAATTTCAATAAAAAAGAAGTCTCCATTGTGTTTTCATTACAGAAGTTTTGGAAACACTAAATGTAGTTATTTAGATACAATACACTACCAAGTTTGAATAAAACTGATGAAGAACTGAGGAATTACCTTAATCATAGTCCTTATAAGATTAAGTTGTTTTTTGTTGAAAATATGAACATGTAAGACTAAAAGTGTGTGTGAGAAATGTGAATGATGTGTGTTAGTATGAGAACTCTCCTGTGTGAAGACACATTTTTAATGTTATGTATGTCTTGTCTTGATCATTAAAATGTTTGCATCAGAAAAAAAATTAAAAGAATAAATTTGTTTTTTTTACAAAATGAGTCTATTGATATCTTTTTAATGCATTCAAAAAATTTCTACAAGTGATAATTAATGAGATAAACATGAGATAATTTGGGGACACCAACACTTACGTTATAAGTAATAAGCATACTATCATAGCCATCTGTAGCCAGCCCCTGTAATTTCTCAATATCACTGGTCCGAATCATCTTCACATAGCACTGAAATGATAAAAATATCTTTACCAATTAACACACAGAGAACTCTTACAAATTACAGACCGAAATTCAAAAGTTTGTAATTCATGAAAGTTTCAAAACATCAAATTAAGCCGTAAATTCATGAAGACAAGTCATTTTATTTTTGGTAACATTGATCCGTTCAGAAACATGATGTTCACATATTGACAGTATATCATGTCTTTTAATGAAACTGTATAACCAAATTGAAACTTTAGAAGAAATTTCTCATATTTGCTGAGTAATATCAATAATACACTAGGTTTGTACAAATCCACGATAGCTACATGTTGGCCATTTTGTTTTGCACATCAGCCATTTTTTCATTATCTCCCCTTTTTAGAATTCATATATTTGGTCAACACTATGCTAGTGTTTTTATACTCAGGTTAATAAATCCTTGTATTTATCTGAAAACAGGTCACTTAAATATGTATGTTTAATCAACCCTAAACATAATTACAAAAAGTCCAGAAAACTGATAGCTTGCACATTATTCTAAATGCAAAGGGCAATAACTCCACCTTTATGTAACACTATATGCCCACCCTATATCACCACCAGTTACCATGGCAGTCACGTAATTACAACTACCAAGAATTTCTCAGGAATGATGACAGACAACATATGGACAGAAGGAGACACCAGACCTTGATAATAACAAGCATCTTGTCATGATAGTAGAGAATGACATCATACCTTATCAATATAGTTGATGATGTCTGGTCGACGTGCGAATCTGGCAGTATCTCTTATGGTCACTCCAGTCTGTTGATATATAAAAGATGATTAAATCTACTAAGATTTGAAAAATTGATACGTCTCTTCAGAAAGCACACTTCTGTGTGAGGTACTTTCAACATAATCCAAAGAAGGTCAATAAAAGCCTCATACATGTATTTCTACCCCATGAACAATTAAATACTACTTCACAAAAATCCTTCGTGAAACAGCTTTGTTATTTCATTTGTAAGATGTCTTATTATATTCGTTTGCAAAAAAGCCCCCTTCTTCATTTTTGCAGGATCATCAATTTTGAAATAGTTTGCTAAAAAATATTCACGAAATAAGCCAGTATTATAAAATTTTAATACTAAATTTTACACAAACGGAGGTGACATATTTAGGGGTTAATACAGTGTTATACTGGGGACAAAAACAGGACAGATCACCAAGGTACCAATACAGTGCAGATGTCCAATATTACAAATTACTTGTAATGAAGGACAACAAACCTCATCTCTGTCTGCCACGTTGCCACCATTTTCTATGATATATCGGAAGATATCTAGAGACATAAATCCTCTGTCCCTGTCCAAGGCATAGAGCATAGCATTCCTTCCTCTCTGAAGTGGAAACAAAAACCATGAGGATTCACAAATCATCACAACATATATACCTTTATTCTTAGCTCTTTATAAAAAATCGGGTTCCATGGGAAGACCTAAATTTTATAAATATGATGGTAAAACAATAATAAGTACAGATCTAATAGTATATATTTGTTATACAGAGTGAATGCCAGTACATCATCTGCCACTGATATACCATACAGTGTGTTTGACACTGTGGACTATCACTGTCTTCACCATCAGCTTTCCTACTGAATATTCAACTAACACATTTCTAAACCAAGAAATAATTACATTATATATTTTTAATTACTGTTCTTCAATGATGAAACTATGAAACTAGGTAAAATCTGATATTCTGGATTTAACACCAAATGGTGGATACTTGTACATCAGGTGATATATACATGTTTAGTTGATATAAGATAGGCACAGGAAAAGTGAAAAGTGACAGATTGTGAATGAAGAGCTCATTTATACAGTAGATACAACATTGTTTCACCAGACACTATAATTTCTAATAATTAACAGAGTGTGTCCTCCAGTTAATATAAATGCAAATTTCAAATGATACATATTCTGTATTCTTATTGTTTTTTAATTTGTTATTGATATAACCCAGGTCATAATTCAAACACCACAAAATTAACATGTTACATCTTCGCTCAACATGTGCTAATATAATTAGTATTCACATGAATGTACCGTATAAACAGTTTAGATCACAAGACGATGATATGGTGTCACTTTGGTTCCATGGCAAGTATGTTGATGGAAAATTCCACTTATCATGAGATCCCCAAAATATCAGCCTCTTGGGGATGATAGATTCTGTTTAACCTTTTTTCCTTTTGTGTAACTTACCCATATTTTGATGGGAATAAGGCAGGAACTAAACTACATGTTTTAACGTGATGCCGCAATTTCCATGGAATTTTCCAAAAAGTCATGATGTATGACATTTGCTCTTTAACAGTCTTATCCCATAATCTTGATATGTATTGGTGCCATTTGTTGTATAAATGGCACAGAAGTGAAGTGGGAGATGGAGAGAAAAACTTTGTCGTTACATTATTGTCAGAACATTGGGGCATGCACAAGATGTGGTGAGACAATAAGCATGTGATTAGAGGAGGGATGGCTAACACAAACGTAAACTGAAAATGAGTACAGCGGGGATGTGGTACATTTAGGGAGTGTATTATTAAGGAACATATCCTGTTTGGAAATATTGTAGATAAAGACATTTTGATCAATGTGTGATATGCATGTGAAGATGGCATTTGTTTATACAATTTTCGTTTGAGTGTCGACCCATGAATGAGATGTTTACCTCACTTTTTATAGAGACTGAGTTCTGGCCGCACTCGCTCAAAGGTTAGTTCATATTAACCAGTGGTTAGTGAAAAATTCGAATTGTTGCCACTGTACAAACAAGGTTTAAAAGCAAACTTGACATTAAAAAATATCAGTTTTATGTGTCTCAATAAATTTGTGAAATGATAAAAAGTGTATGCAATTGTGTTTCATTCTGAAGTTTTTCAATTATCACTGTTTATCTCTGACCAGTCTTTGAATAACTGGGTCCTGATGCTTAACCACTCCAGACAGATATATAAAAGTTGATAGAACATAGGACTACCAGTCTCCAGAGGATAAAAGATTCTATTTATCATGTGATCCCTAGTTAATTCAGGGACTGTTAAATGGTTTTCTAATCCCCATCCCTTAAGAAGTCAACAAAGATGACGACATACTTACAATTTCTACAATTTAACACTTACCTCATCTTTCAGATGAAAATTTGCATTTGATTCCAAAATCTTCCACATAATGTCTGGTTTCATTTCAGGAGAAATGGCTTCAAAGTAAAGGGGAGCCTGAAGTCAGACGGAATTTTCTTCATCAAATCATAAAAAAAATCTGATAAAATGAAAAAAATAACAAAACCTGGATTCCTACATTTGGTGGAATCCTTCAACTTCACTTTAGTATCACGGTTTGATGTGAAAGATTTAACTGAAAGCAACTAGACTTTATGTATTTTGATGAAATAGTTACAGTATGTGTGGTTGAGCTGTGTACAGTTTTAAGACAGTGTCATTGATCAGTGTTAATCTGCTTGTTTTATTCGAAAACTTAATAAACATGTTATATAAATGAGAAACACTTATTTCTACTGTTACTGTTGCTCATTGACATTTGGGATCTGACACATGTTTGAATTAATTAACATTTCTGTTTCAAGACCCATTTTTGGTGGCACATGTAAAATAAACTTCAATTAACACTGACAAACATGTTCCTTCCATATCCAAAAATGTCTGAGAGGTTTTTTTTACGCCAGTGAATAACCATGAATGTCTGCAGATGTATGAACTGTGAATGAATAGACAATTTAGCAGGAAGGCACACTTCACTTGCAAAAATGAAAATGTGCAAAATGAGGTTTGTAACTGTTTTTGCAACAATTTATTTTTAAAAGGATTTCTATTGCTTTAATACTGTGTAGATAATACAATAACTAAAAATGCCTGCTGTTTCTTTTGAACATTTTCTTCACAGATACAAACACTGTATGTATCTAATAATTTTCTGTTTTTCAAAATATCTTATCTAAATGAAGCAGTTTAAATGTTTGCTTTCTAAATGATGTCTTTGAAGCGTTTTAAACACACCCTGAAATAATTCTTTAAGCGGACATGAACGTTGACATCAGCTCCAGCATCACATAGCATCTGAACAAGTCTGTAGTCACGCAGCTGGATCGCATGTTGTAGTATGTGCTGTTTTTGTGAAGCCTAGAAAGGATGATAAAATTAATATCTTATAGGTCAACTGACAAATAAGTCTATTAAAATAAGAAATAACTGGTAATATCTCAAAAAAATATCTGTAACAAAATATTCGTTGCCTGACACAGACTGGCCTATGATTTATAAAATACAGTTCATTATTTCTGTGAAAATTTTTGTCATTTCCATGACGCCAGCTTTTGTTACCTCGGGTAAAATATTAGCCAGTATGACTGAATCAGGTTACCAATTTCGTCAACCGTTACCATAAAAAGTTTAATCATTTCAAATTACATTGTATAGTAATGGGACAAACTGCTTGAAATGACAACCTTACCCAGTTAAGAAAATTGACATCACATCTTGTCTTCTTTAATCCTCGTTTGAGTTTGTCATAGTCAAATTCCAAGACCCCATATATGGCATCCTACAGGCAGGAAATAATAGCACTAAATATTACATCTATGTGATAAAATAATGAAAACTGACAACTGTAAGAGAGAGGAGAACCTGTAAGACATATACATCATTACACATGATCATTAACCAATCATTTTCATCAACATGTCTCCAATCCCTGAGAGATCTTGGTGCCCTTCATGAATGGATCTGTAAGTTAGATCTTTGCCTTTCTCATGACCTTTTTAGTCTTTAAGTGTAATTAGTACAGGAACTTGTAAGAAAGGACCTTGCTCTTTGTCCAATCCTAACAGTGGCCTTAACCATCATAGTAACACAATAAAGATGTAAACTTTGCCTTTGAACTTTTTACCCAGTAATACTTTAAGAATGGATTCCTACATTGAAGACACTATTACATATACACAGTACTGTACATATCACAGGGAACCATATCAAATGAAAACTTGTTGGTTCTGAAATTATTTTAAATTAAATCACTATACAAAAAATTGAAACTTTGATAAAAATCTCATATTTTCTTTGAAACAGATTTTGGTTCATAGTACAAATATTGACCCAAAACAGAAGTTGCTTCGATAACATGACAAAACAACAGTAAATAGTAAATAAGATAAGACATACACACTATAAAACCTGTATAGACGTGAACGTGACACTTTGTTGATATTTTTTCTTACCATTGTGGCTCGATGTCTGTCCAGTATACTGACAATGTCATGATGTTTGTGAGCAGCAGCGAACTGGCGCAAAGTCTGACCATTCTGTACAGAAAAATTAATCCCTATTAGACACTACAGTAATGTCTGACCATTCTGTACAGACACATAAATCCCTGTTAGACACTACAATAAAGTCTGACCATTCTGTACAGACAAATAAATCCCTGTTAGACACTTATGTAAAGTCTGACCATTCTGTACAGACAAATAAATTCCTGTTAGACACTATAGTAAAGTCTGACCATTCTGTACAGAAAAATAAAACCTTGTTAGACACTACAGTAAAGTCTGACTATTCTGTACAGAAAAATAAAACCTTGTTAGACACTACAGTAAAGTCTGACCATTCTGTACAGAAAAATAAAACCTTGTTAGACACTTATGTAAAGTCTGGCCATTCTGTACAGAAAAATAAATCCCTGTTAGACACTTATGTAAAGTCTGACCATTCTGTACAGAAAAATAAATCCCTGTTAGACACTACAGTAAAGTCTGACCATTCTGTACAGAAAAATAAATCCCTGTTAGACACTACAGTAAAGTCTGACCATTCTGTACAGAAAAATAAATCCCTGTTAGACACTACAGTAAAGTCTGACCATTCTGTACAGAAAAATAAATCCCTGTTAGACACTACAGTAAAGTCTGACCATTCTGTACAGAAAAATAAACCCCTGTTAGACACTACAGTAAAGTATGACCATTCTGTACAGAAAAATAAAACCTTGTTAGACACTTATGTAAAGTCTGACCATTCTGTACAGAAAAATAAAACCTTCTTAGACAATACACACCTTTGTCTGATCTATTCATGTTTATGATAGTAATAATCAGATTGACATACAGTTTGTTATACTGACATATATAAATCAGATTGACATATAAATTTTGAGAATGACCTGTCAAGTACTTTGAGGAAGAAAAAAAATTGCTGTGATTTTCGAGCTAAAATCCAAGATGGCCACCTGTCAGCCATTTTATATTTTCACAACTGAAATGCAAGATAATTTAGATATGAAATTTGAGAATATGTATTCCATAAAGTACTTTCCATTTCAAAATATTTCATTGTCTTATGAACAAAAAGGGATTGGAGAACAGGGATTGTGTTGATATAACATGGTCACACGGAGGTGAAGTATGTTGTTGTTTATCTACCTGACGTGTTGTTATAACAATACCTTTTCTGAGTCTGTTTTACACCAGCAGTGTAACAGTTCCTTCACCCTCTCCACATCATGATTCTTCACGGCTTGGAATATACCAGGCTTAAAGAAATCTCCAACAGTTAGTTCAATGATTGGTAGAAGATTTTTATAATGTATTTGACATATGGTATTAGTTTATAAACAACTGTATCTGTGGTATATGTTAGTGAATTACTAGCTGACCCAGACATCCCATCACAATCACACCATGTCCTGTTTTCAGGAGACCATTGTATACTGCTTTGAATAAATAGAAAATTCTTTTTAAAAGATAAAAAAAAAAAAAAAAAAACAGAGAAGAATATTCCTTTTATAAGTTAAGGGATACAGTAATGTTATCATGTAGTGTCACAATTATCCTTAAATCTCATCTGATTCTTAAGCTACTTGCATTTAGACATGCTGTAATTTTCCCAGGTTTGAAAATGGCAGTGCAGTTTTGGAAGGCAAGCACAGAATACCATAGATAAGTTATAATGTAGGCCGTTAACATGAGTAGATTTACTAAATGTGAGCTTGAATAGACATCCTTCTCCTACTGTTAGCAAATTACTGCACTTGGGCATTGAGGTGGGTAATTTCTTTGCTTTCAACACAAACTAACTTTCTGTTCATGTACAAAAGTAAATCTGCATACATTTCCAATGCATACGTTCTCCTGTGTGGCTTATATGCAGCTAATGAGCTGCCCATGGTTAGAAGTTAGTATTCTTATGTATGGCCACTACAAATGACTTTAAATTACTGTACATACAAACAGAAAATAAAGTATCATTCAATTTTATTCATGAACAAGTAATTTCTAAATATAGAAGGTTTTTTGATGCTGGTCTGACTAAAACAATTTGAAATATGTACTATAATTTTAGAAAATCAATCTTGATAATTTTAAGGGACATTATGGTAAAAACCTATTTTCAGAAATATGATGGACGTTTTACTACTGAAAGTGCTCAATTAGAATTAGCCTCTCTTAATCCAGATAATACCTTAAAACAGAAACTTAAAAACTGCTGGTCAGTCATGTACATTTGAAAGCAACGACAGAAGTAATTTGTATTAACATTATGGATAAAGATTGTAATCACAACTCTGTTTTGAAAGAAGTTTTAACTTCATTCAGTATTAATTATTAACTTCTTATTGTAAAATTTCAGCACAAGAATATCAGAGGAACTGATAAATGCTCCCAAAAATGACTTTAGTGGACAGAAAATTTTAAAAAAGGGTAATCATTCCGTGGGTAAGAAGTTGCGGGCAGTGAATTTGGCATACATACTGCACATTCTCTTAGTATGACCAATGTATACACCAAGTTTCGTGATATTAATTCAAGCAAAGCTATGCTCAGGGCAATAACTCTGTACTGAGGGGTCATGGGCCCTGACATTGCTACACTGCACCTTGATTTTGTATAACTGATGTATACACCATGTTTCAATATCTGAATGCAGGCAAAGTAATGCTTTAACACAAAATTTTAACAAAGGGTAATAACTCTGTGATTAAGGGTTTGCAGGACCAAGTTCATTATCTTATGTTAAATACAGGCAAACATTTTGGGGTCAAGAACCCTGAATTTAATACACTGCACAAAGTCTTAGTATGATCTATGTATCCACCAAGTTCATGATCTGAGTCAAAATACATGCAGTTTAAAATTATGCTCGAGACAAAAGGGCAATAACTTTGAAATAAAGTATTGCAGGCCCTAAATTTGACACACTGCGCATTGTCTTTGTATGATCGATACACACACCAATTTTTGTTATCCTAGTGTAAATGCAAGCAAAGTTATGCTCTAACAAAGGGCAGTAACTCTGTAATTGAGGGATCAAGGGCCTTGAAGTTGTTACACTGAACATTGTCTTAGTATGACCTATATATACAGGAAGTTTCACGATCCTGGCTAAACTGTTGGCAAAGTTATGCTCCAGGCACAAAAGGTCAGATGGAGAGATGGTATGGACAGAGAAGGCAGCAACTATATGCACTCAGAAAATTTTCAGGAAGCAAAGAAAAATCAATCATCACATTGTTCATAATGAATACATTTTATGATATAATAATGCAATAATTGAAAGACCCAATATTATTCTACCATCTGTTGCTATAAAACCACTTGTCTTCCTCAATCTCACCTTGTATTTGTCATATACTTTGTGCCAGTACTTGTCCTGTGGGTTCACCTCCTCTGGTGTCTTCATATTCTGTAAAGAGACATATTAGATAAATAGTTTGGTGTTGGCGGTCTTTGCATCATATGTCAGATAATTTCCAGTTTCTAAAAATGAATAGGGATGAATCCATCCAACAGAATGGAGGGGGGTACTTCAAAGTTTTATTAGGTAGCTGGTCTACTGGTTTCGCCCTTATAATAGGGCTTCATCAGGCCCCACTTGTATAAAACATCTCAACTTGAAATTTCCTCAAGCCCAGATTTTCCTCAGCTAATATCTCCTTGAAAATATCTTGTACGAAAATTCCCCAAGGAATTTCAGGACATCCTAGCTGATGCCTTCCTCCTGTTCCTTGAGAAAATTTTATACAAGCCGTTTTTGAGGAGATATCAGCTGAGGAAAATCTCGACTTGAGGAAATCTCAAGTTGAGATGTTTTATACAAGTGGGGCCAGGACTATTATAAGGGCAAAACCGGTAGACCAACTACCTAATAAAACTTTAAAGAACCCGCCTCCAGTCTGTTGGATTTATTCATCCCTATTTAAGCTCACCCCTTCTCATCAATCCCCTGCATACCCTAGGGTATCCAGACGGGAGACGAATAACCTGCAAACCGCCATTGATGCAACAGCAGCGTTGGCTCTATCCTTTACATAAAAATGATTAGTTTTCAGTTTCTTTGGGTTGTTCCTGAATCAGATCAGACCAACCTCATAAGCCAAACATGTTTGTGGTTAGGATATGTATAAAGGTTCAATGGAATGGCAGAAATTAACAGTTTAGGAGGAGTTGTCCTTACAAAGAATTTTCCTATTTTTTCATTAAAGGGCATAAACTCCTACAGAAAGGGTTAAAATGAAAGAATATTATTATTGATTCTCAGAAACTTGACATCACAGTCTTTGGGTAGCTGTGATACAAGTAATTGTTCACGGAAATTAGTTTAACATTCTAGTAGGAGAGTAGAGACAAGTTCAAGTGGACAGAACATGGACACCGTAGTAATAGTTACGGAAGGATATCTAAGATCCATCCCTTTATCGTCCGTTATTTTGGATGGATGGATGGATGGACGGACGGACAGATGGACAGAAGGACAGACCGTTCTAGTACATTGATTTATACAGCCCATCACCATCAAATGAGATAAAAATCTAATATATTATATAGCTTACTAGTGCAACTATAGATGGATCAGCTCCCCAACACATAAGATCACCAAGGTGTCCACTCTGTCTCTGTAGTGCTGTGACATGAAGAGGTGTATGGCCATGCTAAAACAGTAATTAAACACACTTAAATCATAACAGTTATAAATATTCATATTCTATCAAACCATGACATCAATACATCATACAGGTACTATTGTATATCTATACATAACAAAATACTAAAATTAGAAATTTGGCATTTCTATGGCAATCTCAGCTTATGTGAACAAATTAACTTTAATTTGTGAAGAAGAATTTTATTTTTGGATCACTGTTGCCATGTGGACAAGTCCCACACTTCCTACAACATAGTTGTACAGACAATATTGTGTCCCTGTGCTAATATTCCATGATGCTGCTATGTCCATTATACTTTTTAGACAAGCTGGCCGACAGATTTCACTGAATGGGTGCTGTTTTGTCAACTGTAGCTGTTATAGACAAGTTGGACTACAGAAAAAACGGTACTCCTGTACTGAGATAACCCATGCCTTTATACCTATCACCCTGTACTGTGATACCCCATGTCTTTATACCTATCACCCTGTACTGTGATAACCCATGTCTTTATACCTAACACCCTGTATTAGTAACTGGTCTTCAGTTTATTCAGAATAAGTCTGCAGTCAACATCAGATCTTTTGACATTTTAGGGAAAATCCAATGCTGCAGTTTACAGGAGTAGGATACTTAATTACTTACTTTGTTTTGAAGGTTGACATCTATTCCAGAGGCTGCTATGATGTGAAATACAGCTGGTCTGTTCATGGAACTCACATAGTGAAGATATGTATTTCCTTTCTGTAAATTAAAACCACCAGTAATATCAGAATATAGGAACAGTTATATTGTATCTGTACTGTTTCACCAGTGATGTCAGACTATATAACTTTAATTATATGGTTTCTGTACTGTTACACCAGTGATACATACACACACACGCACGGAACCTAATTTAATATCATCCACAAAATGCATTCAAAGGGGATAATTTAATGTCTACATCTACAATATACAAATGATGTTAATTTTAAATGATAAATTTAACAGTCTGGAGAGACATTTACTTGGTACATTACACAATATACAGGTACATTACACAGTATATCATTGATTAAATTTTGATTTTCTAAATGTTTCTAAGTAACACACCCTTAATTGAACATATCCTGTCATCACCAGAGATTTTGGTAAAAAAGGGACTTAAAATTTTGATTAAACCTCTTTTACATTTTATTTTTTTCCAAAAGGTGCAAAATACTACTACATCAATAATCATGCTAAAATCAGAAATTCAGAAAATTTTGGAGAATTTAGTTCTGGACAAAACTAAACTAATCATTTCAATAAAGAAAGACATGGAACCTACCCTGTCCTTAAAATGAACATCTTCTCCAGCTTGGAGTAACATTTTCAGCTTCCCCGGATCTCCTTCCTTGATAGCACAGCCAATTTTGGTCTTCAAAATTCAAACAGTTTTATCAGATTTGAAGGTTCATCAAAAAGTGACAAAGAAGAAAATATATTTTGACTTTCCAGAAATAGTAATAATTATCTCAAATCACAAATGGATATGAGGTATCTCTATTTCAATTCAAAGTTCTTTGACAAAAAAGTTATAAATTTCATGTTACTTCAATTTAAAGTCATAATATACAAAACTTTAACAGACAATAACAGAAGTAAAAGTAAAGACATTCTTCAGTTGGATCACCTCCCCAGTCATTGTTATAGTTATCACTGAGTCAGATCACCTCCCCAGTCATTGTTATAGTTATCGCTGAGTCAGATCACCTCCCCAGTCATTGTTAAAGTTATTCAAACATACCTGAGCCAGTTGGTGCATTTCTCCGGCCATATTTAGTTATCACCATCATTTACCTCCCCTTCAGATTAATTACAGGATGCAGACTACAGAGAGAAAATTGACAATCAATCAATTAATGATATTAAATGGTTTTACATTGCTCTATATTGACCCTGAATGATATCTTCAATAACATATTGGTACACAAGTTTTACTATAACACCAAACATTAAGATGTCTCGGGTACCAAGTTAAGCTGTGGTCACTAATGCACTGACTGTATGACTGTCATGATGTGTGCAATCTGCACTGATCGCATGCATGTGTCTCAGAGAGGCTAATTCTATATATAAACACTTGGTTTGATATACACCTTAGTGAATGTTTCTATCATATTAAGTCATATTCGTACATAGAATTGTCACCTTTTGTATTTTGACACCTTCTGCATGTCTCATAAAGTGATGATGTAAACGGAAGTAACTATGACGTCATATATAGCCAAAGTGATGTCATAATTATGTGAAAAACATCAGTAGTAATTTCTTAATAAAACACATTTCTTATCATATAACTTTGGTATCATCAGAAAGCTATCAATTCATCATTTGACCTCAACATTTCCAAGTTGATGTTAATATCGGGTGACAGTTTGCTCATGAGTCAGTTTCAGAACACAATGGCAAGAACAGACTTCAAGACATTTTGAAATGTGAACACCTAGCAGTTTGGAAAAAAGCTAACTAGAAAAGGTCTTCCAAGAAATAAAGAGTACAGATTTTACTGAGAGAGATAATGCTTCCATCTCTACCAAGAAGAGGGATTAGTTACCAAAATGTTTTTATATTTCTTGATAAAGTAAATTACATGATTGGGACATTGCTGTCTTTTTGTGCAAAATTTTCAGGTTTAAGTTTGCTAATTGCTTGTCATTAAGACAGTAAAGGATCTGATCCCGACACTTTGTAAAGAAGGATCAAAGTTGGACACTGTGGATTCAACCTGGAAAAATAAAGTAATTTCTTCCACGTTTTTCAGCACCATCCTTATGACAGTGTAATAGTGAAGCCTGAAGGGGCACATGTTTTGGTTTAGCAAAACCCAGTATGCTTATTGGAATATATTTTATATGGAAAATGTAAATGGGTCCCCCAACTGTAGGTTTTTCCCCAATGATTGTCCTATGTTAACATGTTGCCTTTACAATTTCTCATAGGAAAAAAATGGCCATTACATGCCCTATTGGTGACAATTAACACGTCTTTATAGGGCAGCTACACAGAAGGTAGTTTTGATGGCTTTAGTCTTGGAAAATATTTGATCACATAATTTTCGTTCCTTGATGAGTGACATGTCACAACAGCAAAAATCCTCCGAGTGCGAGGTCACTCAGGTCAATATATCACATAATATGGCTTGAGAAAACGCCGCTTTAAAATACATAGATCTAAAATTCCGGAACCGATATCGGGCCGATACTTCCGCTAATGTATATTTTTTAAAACTTTGATTTCGTCACAAGCACTTGTATCTTAAATGAAAGTAATCGAAATAAAGTAAGCAGTCAATTATACATCACAAAATGATTTATATCGGAATGCGGATTTTCATTCAGCCTACCGATCCAAAAATATTTTAAAATGAATCTCCTGTCCATAGTATGACTTAACAATGTGTTGCGATTGTTACCAAAAAATGGCTACAAGACATCGAATATTACCTTAAAAGACAAAATCCGAAAACTTTTCATCCTAGTTTACGCGTTTCTAGGTAGACGACCACCATTTTGATTTTTAACTTCCGGTTCATTCTAAAATTTAGATAGCAGGATCGGTAGGCTTAATTCTCCGGAAAGACAGATATGACATAAGTACTTTCTAAAAGCGCACAATTCAATATTAAATATGGCATTCAAATATGAATAAATTTATGTATTATTTATATTTCTGTAGGAAATGCCTGACTTATGGCTTCACTGAAGAATTTCTTTTCTTGTTTAATATATTGCAGGGTTTTTACTTAAGATGAATTAATACATGCAGAAGGACTTGACATGAATTCGTTTTAATTCATTGTTCATTCTACTTTGCAAAATCCTTCTACTGCCAATGCTGATACAGAAATGTGAATTATACGCCCCCTCCCCAAGAGGCCCAAGGAGTGGTGCACAGGTACATTTACCAGTGAATGATTCACCAAATATAGAAACTGACTTATTGTGTAAGTACAGTAAATAAAGTAAATTAATAATGCTACCCAAGGTAAGGACAGGCCTACAAACCAAAAATGCAGACTTTTCCGCCATTAACACCAGGAAAATAGGGGAAAGTCGAATGAAACATCTTATTTTTATCTTTATTTTTTACTGTTGATGTTCAGATGGAAACTTTTGAGATTAATGATAATTTCTAAAAAAAATTGTCAAAAAGCAATTTATATAATGATCACTTACCTGCAACATAGCCTTTTAGGTGTAATATTAATTTTTATAAAACAGGTAGACACAAAAAAATGTTTTGGTGAGTGTGATATGCGAGTCTTTATAAAACATGGAGTGGATTTCAAAATGGAATATTTTATTTGTGGTAAATTTGATATACATTTCAAGTGTCAACACATACATACCGCTGTTTGGTGGAAAGTATGCGGAATTGAAAAAATTTGTGTCTAAAATATGTAGATTACAAGTACACGTGAAGTGAAGAACAGTTGAGTACATTAACATCTAAATATAATAGTGGTGAAAATGTACACTTTTGAACTTGAGTACTACCAGCTTACAACTTGTTTTTTATTTCCCGATCATGGTTTAAGATTTCTGGCTTTCCTCACCCAATCTGTCGAACCTTTTACGTTACATGTATCTAAATTGAAATAACATGATGTATATACTACATTACATGTATTGTTGTGAGGTGCGCTTTTGCAACATTTTCCTAAAAATAACATTTAGTTTTAAAAGATAACAACAAAAAATACATTGTTTGATAACATCAATACAGTGTAAATACACCTGGCTGACCAGGGAATATCCCTCTATGACTTCACATCGTAAATCTTGGTATACTTGGTAATCTTTCCTTTCATAGAGATGAGTTTTGTGTTAATTGCTATGTACTATAAAAACATGTCACCATATTCATATAATTTCAGATGTCACTTTTTTGGCTTACGAACATTACATTTAAAAATAATTTGTTTAAAGACGCTCAGGTTGAACATTTATCAAATTGATAAGAGTGCTATATTGACTTTGTTGTATCTGTATAATAACTCATTTATGTACTAAATATTAGATAGAATATGATTCAAATATCAAATAAAAAAAAAGTATTTGAAATGTGTTTTCTATATCATTCTTGTCATTTGAGTGCACCAGCGCCACCTGGAAAGAGGTCAACAGAACATAGATAATGGAAGAAAAAAAATTGTTTATCGAGTATTTAGTTTAAACAATTTCTTATTCAATATTCTAACAATATGAAACAGATGCAGTTTACTGGCACATAGTAAAACAAATTCAGGACTGTCACTATAAATAAAAAGGTGGAAACGAGATATGATAAGACAGTATAGTAAAAGCAGGTTAGTTGACATCATACAAATGTAAAATTGACTGTGAATGTGTTGTTAGGCCTATGATGACTTCTGTTTATTACGTAAAATATCACAAACATTTCTAAACTTGTAAATAGAACGAAAGATTGCCTAAAATTTATCCATAGTTCGTCATCCCAGAAGGAGCAAACTTCCTGCAACATTGCCTAGCTGCTCATCCTCTTCCTCCTCAGCCTTTGCTGCAGAAGAGATCTTTCCTTGACATCACCCAGGTAAAAAGAAGGCTGTCTACAATTCCTATTGCTTGTCATCGCTGTGAGACTGTTGTTCCCACTACATCACTCAGGTGGAATCCTTTCCCGTCACTCCCACAGGGTTTGAGAACAAAATCACCTCAACTGTACTGTATAGGCCCTTAGCATCACTGAGGAGTCCTAGAAGGACAAAACAGCTGTATGATGTAGCATCACTGATGAGTTCTAGACGGACGAAACCGCTGTATGATGTAGCATCACTGATGAGTTCTAGAAGGACAAAACAGCTGTATGATGTAGCATCACTGATGAGTTCTAGAAGGACAAAACAGCTGTATGATGTAGCATCACTGATGAGTTCTAGAAGGACAAAACAGCTGTATGATGTAGCATCACTGATGAGTCCTAGAAGGACAAAACCGCTGTATGATGTAGCATCACTGAGGAGTCCTAGAAGGACAAAACAGCTGTATGATGTAGCATCACTGATGAGTTCTAGACGGATGAAACAGATGTACGATGCTGTTTAATGCATTGTTTGGCTCCACTTTATCTTACTTAAGGTGCTATTCATTTAGGTGTCTTTCGTACAATCTTGTAGTACAGAAGTTTACAGTAGACACAGTATGGAGTTTCATCCTAGCGGAGAGCTGCAGTAATAGTGAGGACGAGTTGTCACCTTGTAAAACTAGCCACCACAAGGACAAAGTGACATGAACATGTTTTGTCTTTACTGTAAAATAAATAAGTGAATTTTATGTTGAGGCAGCTAGAATTCTAATATTATATCAAACTCTGTCAATTTTTTTAAAAAATAAAATGGTTAGGTTGGCATATATAAGGTTCTTCTAAAAGATGGGTGAAGGATTCTGTCCAGCTCTACCAGAACAGGTACCCGCCATTTCTCAAGAAGTGGAGAAAGGTTGAGGTTTCCAGTATCTGCTTCTTCCCTGTGGTAGGTCCTGGTGTATGGCAGATATGATTAGAACAAAATATTGAAAATTTTTATGTAAGACAACTTATCCAGCATAGACTATCCTGTGTTTGTAATATTTGGTAAAACTTTCACTCATGTGTAAATACTACAAGTTCTCAGTCAAACATGTAAATATGATATTGACAACAATATTATATACTTCCAAATGTATTTGATACCATAATAATAAAAAGACTACCAACACCTGAGAAATATAAAAATAGTTGATTTTATTTTCAGCAGATAAAATCACACATCAAACCACCAACATTAAACATCTTCCTCGTAACATTAACAACCAAATCTTTGTGAGAGCAAAAATCACAATCATTAACGTCTGCAGATATCAAAAGACATCAATATTTTATCCACACTATTAGGGATGTGGATATTATAGAAATGTTGTACCCACATTACTGGGGAAGTAGACATTGGTGAGTGAGGCTGTTCATGACACACATTATAATGTTTAGAAATAAAGTATAAACAGCATTTCTTTATGAATATGAAACATGATGAAACTGTTTTCAAAAATATACGCTATAACATTGAATTTAATCTGCCAATCCAAAGCAAAGGCTTTAACTCAAAAATTAAACTTGATACAATAAATAAAATATAAATAGAAAATAGGTTATTTCATTGTAGAACAAATAAAATTAAATTAAAATACCAATTATACATATGCAATTTAAATGTGGCACTTGAGCATGAAGAAAACATATACTGTAGAATACAGTACAGATATTTACTGTAGAATACAGTACAGAGATTTACTGTAGAATACAGTAGAGATTTACTGTAGAATACAGGACAGAGATTTACTGTAGAATACAGTACAGAGGTTTACTGTAGAATACAGTACAGAAAGTTACTGTAGAATACAGTACAGAGGTTTACTGTAAAATACAGTACAGAGATTTACTGTAGAATACAGTACATAGATTTACTGTAGAATACAGCAGATATTTACTGTAGAATATAGTACAGAGATTTACTGTAGAATACAGTACAGAGATTTACTGTAGAATACAGAACAGAGGTTTACTGTAGAATACAGTACAGATATTTACTGTAGAATACAGTAGAGATATTTACTGTAGAATACAGTACAGAGATTTACTGTAGAATACAGTAGAGATTTACTGTAGAATACAGAACAGAGATTTACTGTAGAATACAGTAGATATTTACTGCAGAATACAGTACAGAGGTTTACTGTAGAATACAAAACAGATTTACTGTAAAATACAGTACAGAGATTTACTGTAGAATACAGTAGAGGTTTACTGTAGAATACAGTACAGAGATTTACTGTAGAATACAGTACAGACGTTTACTGTAGAATACAGAACAGAGGTTTACTGTAGAATACAGGACAGAGATTTACTGTAGAATACAGGACAGAGATTTACTGTAGAATACAGTAGAGATTTACTGTAGAATACAGTACAGAGGTTTACTGTAGAATACAGTACAGAGATTTACTGTAGAATACAGTACAGAGGTTTACTGTAGAATACAGTACAGAGATTTACTGTAGAATACAGTACAGAGATTTACTGTAGAATACAGTACAGAGATTTACTGTAGAATACAGGACAGAGATTTACTGTAGAATACAGTACAGAGATTTACTGTAGAATACAGTACAGAGACTTACTGTAGAATACAATAGATATTTACTGTAGAATACAGAACAGAGATTTACTGTAAAATACAGTAGAGGTTTACTGTAGAATACAGTATAGATATTTACTGTAGAATACAGTAGAGGTTTACTGTAGAATACAGTACAGGGATTTACTGTTAAATACAGTACAGAGATTTACTGCAGAATACAGTACAGAGGTTTACTGTAGAATACAGTACAGGGAATTACTGTAGAATACAGTACAGATATTTACTGTAGAATACAGTACAGAGGTTTACTGTAGAATACAGTACAGAGATTTACTGTAGAATACAGTAGAGATTTACTGTAGAATACAGGACAGAGATTTACTGTAGAATACAGTACAGAGATTTACTGTAGAATACAGTACAGAGATTTACTGTAGAATACAGAACAGAGGTTTACTGTAGAATACAGGACAGAGATTTACTGTAGAATACAGTACAGAGATTTACTGTAGAATACAGTACAGAGATTTACTGTAGAATACAGGACAGAGATTTACTGTAGAATACAGTAGAGATTTACTGTAGAATACAGTACAGAGGTTTACTGTAGAATACAGAACAGAGATTTACTGTAGAATACAGAACAGAGATTTATTGTAGAATACAGTACAGATATTTACTGTAGAGTACAGGACAGAGGTTTACTGTAGAATACAGGACAGAGATTTACTGTAGAATACAGGACAGAGATTTACTGTAGAATACAGTAGAAATTTATTGTTGTAGAGTACTGTAGTATGATCACACACTACAGTTTTAGACTGACATACCTACAGCTGGCCAGGAAGTATGATCGCACACTACAGTTTTAGAATAAGAACAGAGGTTTACTGTACAGCTGGCCAGGATATTTACTGTAGAGTACAGGACAGAGATTTACTGTAGAATACAGAACAGAGGTTTACTGTAGAATACAGTAGAAATTTATTGTAGAGTACTGTAGTATGATCACACACTACAGTTTTAGACTGACATACCTACAGCTGGCCAGGAAGTATGATCACACACTACTGTTTTAGACTAACATACCTACAGCTGGCCAGGAAGTATGATCGCACACTACTGTTTTAGACTGACATTCCTACAGCTGGCCAGGAAGTATGATCACACACTACAGTTTTAGACTGACATACCTACAGCTGGCCAGGAAGTATGATCACACACTACAGTTTTAGACTGACATACCTACAGCTGGCCAGGAAGTATGATCACACACTTCAGTTTTAGACTAACATACCCACAACTGGCCAGGAAGTATGGGAATTCATACAGTATATCTTTTAATAAATAATGGATAAATAGAATCGTTAAAGCCCTTGAAGGTGAGACTGTGGGATCTCCATCCAAGAGGAAAGATAGTCATCTGCCCTCCAGGGTTGAAATCTTCCTGTCTCACTAACTAGGCTTTGAATGCTTATTATCTTACCCTGCTGGCATTCTAAGGCATGCATTGTTGCTGTTCCTGACCTTTCAATTGTTCAGGTGAAATCATCTATAAAAAAGTGCAACCATCCCCCCACCCCCCACCTGGATCCCCCCATCTAATCCCTTGTGTGAGACATCTCATCACCCCACCCACCTACATCCCCCCGTCTAATCCTTTGTGTGAGACATCTCACCACCCCACCCACCTACATCCCCCTGTCTAATCTTTTGTGTGAGACATCTCACCACCCCACCCACCTACATCCCCCCGTCTAATCCTTTGTGTGAGACATTTCACCACCCCAACCACCTTCATCCTCCTGTCTAATCCCTTGTGTGAGATATCTCACCACCCCACTCATCTACATCCGCCCATCTAATCCCTTATGTGAGATATCTGACCTCCCCACCCACCTACATCCCCGTGTCTAATCTTTTGTGTGAGACATCTCACCACCCCAACCACCTTCATCCTCCTGTCTGCCGGGTAATTCCTTGTGTCAGACATCTTACACCAGTAAAATAGTCAATATGTTGACACTTAGTGTCCAGGGTAAGACCAGAAAATCATTCTTTGATTTTCCATCCCTTTTCTGACAGCTAAGTTTTATGGTGTTTGTCACTGAAATAAACCTATACTTATGGAATGTCCCACTGGTCAGAGAGATCTACCTCACTGTAGACATTCGACTATGCACCAGACTAACAGAAAGGTCCTATTTCCACTGGTCAGACAGATCTATGTCACTGTAGACATTCAACTTTATACCAGATTAACAGAAAGGTCCTAATTCCATTGGTCACACAGATCTATGTCAACATAGATATTCAACTATATACCAGATTAACAGAACGGTCCTAATTCCACTGGTCAGACAGATCTATGTCACTGTAGACATTCGACTATATACCAGATTAACAGAACGGTCTTTAAATGCATGCATTTGTTTAAGTTTTTCCATCAGGTTATGAATCAAGCCTGCCTGCTTTGTCCGTAGTTTCACTTCACGGCTGAGATTTTTGTCTACGTTTGTTTCCAATCTAACCACTATAATTTCTAATGAGTTTCCATCCTCATGTTTCCATTTGATCTCTGAATACTTGAAGCTGTGCAGCATAACCTAAATGAAAATGAGAAACAATAAAAATCAGGCACATATTGTATAACTAAGTTATTTTTTTTATTAATTCTATTGTTAGATAAATACATCAACAGTGTGACTTCAATATAATTCCAACCATCTTTAGGAATGTTTAATAGTGGTAACCGCTAAGTAGACTTTCACCAGACAAATGCTCTGTATCATAAGATAGGTAAATGTTTCTGTGTTAATGAATGTGCACAAGCAAGGACAAACAATATGTACCAGTAATATCAGTTAGATATCATATCATGTAAGTCCATCATGTACAGAGTAATAACTAGGGAGGTGGGTGGTAACTTAACCATGTCTGTGAGTTGCTATAGTATCAAGAACATTTCTTTGGTAATTTACCCCGGTCTATGAGTTGTAGTATTGTGAAGTTCTGTGTGGTAACGTACCCCTGTCTGTGAGTTGTCATAGTATTGAGTGAGTTATTACAGTATTGTAAAGATTTGTGTGGTAATGTATCTCTGTCTGTGAGTTGTTATAGTATTGTGAAGACTTCTGTGTGGTAACTTACCCCTGTCTGTGAGTTGTTATAGTATTGTGAAGTTCTGTGTGGTAACTTACCCCTGTCTGTGAGTTGTTATAGTATTGTGAAGTTCTGTGTGGTAACTATTGTGAAGTTTTGTGTGGTAACCCCTGTCTGTGAGTTGTAATAGTATTGTGAAGTTCTGTGTGGTAACGTACCCCTGTCTGTGAGTTGTTATAGTATTGAGACAATTTTTGTGTTATAACTTACCCCTGTCTGTGAGTTGATGATGTGTATGCCGACATCATTAACACCAATATGACAAGCAGATTGGTTTTGACCTCCCTACAAAAATTAATGAAATTCCACTTAAATTCTTAAAACCCATTGTTGTAAAAAGAGGCCCAGGGGCCTAAACGTTCACCTGAGTGAACTCACGAACTGGAACCAATTGGAATGAATGTGTAAAATAGAGAAGAGAAAATTAGAATTGCTATTTTATGACTTTATATGAGAGTATTACATTCTACCATATTTGGTTATTAAGATTTTTAAAATTTCAGTAAATCTAACTCCTTTTGATCCCAACCATCAACTCCTGGGAGTCAGCCAGGGTTAATATTTGTCTAGCATCACACTGTTGTCCTATCCTAACAATCCTGACAAAGTTTGTTCTATTTCCAAAAGAAATTAAACAAATTATGTTAAAATACGTAATTTTCCTATGTAAACTACAGTAAACTTTATATAGGTCATTTCTTTTTCGCAAATTTTGTCAGGCATTAATCCAAGGAATCTATCAGCCAAATACCATGCCTTTGCACCTTTCAGTTAGACAGAAGTAGTTGATGTAAGATTTTAACAAATTTGACCCTTTTGACCTTGAAAAGGAATCAAGGTCATTTCTTTTCGCAAACTTTGTTGGGTTTCATCCTAAAAAACCTGTCAATCTAATATCATGCTTCTGCGTCATTTGGTTCATAAGAAGAAGTCATTTAAAGGTTTTCACAAATTTGACCCGTGTGGCCTTGAATTTGGGTCAAGGTCATTTCTTATCGCAAACTTTGTTGGGCTTCATCAGCTAAATACCATGACATTTGCTCTAATGGTTATTAAGAATAAGTTGTTTAAATGGAAAACTGATACCAGACTGTGAGACAATCAATTGATGGACGGACAGAAGACTGATGCCACTCCACTGTCCTTCAAATAAAGATTTTACCACTATTGCAGGTTTCCTGGAATAGGGACATTTTAAATTCACAGTACTGAACTTGATTGTACTATGGATGTAATGATAGATGACCTTGTGCCATGGAGGAACCTCCTTACAAAATTTGAGTGATTGAAACAGATACAACACCCTGAATGTAAATATCATTGAATGAAGAAATGTTCAACAAGAAAAATTTTTGTTTACTGACAAATGAAGATATTTTCTTGTGCAATGGATTGACACTATGAAGGACCTACCTTTCCTTGACTAGACAGAAGCATCCCTCTGAAAAATGCTGACCCGTAAACTGTAAGATGTCTACAGTAGTCTAAAAACTGTCGCATCAGTGCCTGAAATATTGCAAATTATGTAAACAAAATGAGGTTGCCTCCCCTTACAACAAAATGAAAAGGTCAGGAGGTCAAAATTTTTAAAATTCTGCTTTTGTTTTGTTAATTCCTTTCTTTTTTTGAAATGTTAACAATTTTATATCAGAACTTGTTGTTTACCTTCTTTTTTGGGACTTTTTTTTAGATAGTCATCGAAATTGACTGCTGTCACTTTGGAGTAAATAAAAGAGTTAAAGTGTTTGTTTATCATACAATTATCCTCCCACAACGACATACAATGTACAGAACCCTACAATAACCCAAAAATAGCTCTTTGTTTATTATTCAATAATCTTCCCCACAACTACATATAAGGAACAGAAATCTTATTTGTAAACAGCAATACACAGAATATTGTTCGTCAACAAAATTACTGTGTACTTTATTTTTATTTAACATATTGTCGACATTAGAAAAAGGGATAAGACTGATATCATCAATGGTATTTCTTTTAATCCTCCTAAAAGGCAACTAGTTTCAAATTAAAACCTGAACATACCTGATCCCGTTGTTCTTGTGTACCATGACGTACTTCAGGCGTGTCTGCGAGGTGAGGACAGAAGTCTTTGTAATGGTGCAGGATTCTTGATGCCCAGTTGCTACTTTTAACCTTCAACATTGGTCCTGGTACCAACTTCTGTAGGTTTTTACTGTGGATATCAAATGTTACCTCTGATTTACTGTATCAAATGTTACCTCTGATTTACTGTATCAAATGTTACCTCTGATTTACTGTATTACTGTATCAAATGTTACCTCTGATTTACTATATTACTGTATCAAATGTTACCTCTGATTTACTGTATCAAATGTTACCTCTGATTTACTGTATCAAATGTTACCTCTGATTTACTGTATCAAATGTTACCTCTGATTTACTGTATCAAATGTTACCTCTGATTTACTGTATCAAATTTACTGTATCAAATGTTACCTCTGATATACTGTATCAAATGTTACCTCTGAATCAAATGTTACCTCTGATTTACTGTATTACTGTATCAAATGTTACCTCTGATTTACTGTATCAAATGTTACCTCTGATTTACTGTATCAAATGTTACCTCTGATTTACTGTATCAAATGTTACCTCTGATTTACTGTATCAAATGTTACCTCTGATTTACTGTATCAAATGTTACCTCTGATTTACTGTACTACTGTATCAAATGTTACCTCTGATTTACTGTATCAAATGTTACCTCTGATTTACTGTACTTAGTAACATGGATTACATACTTAGTGACATGACTCTTTGCTGAAGCAGAGTCAAACTCTCCCTTCTGTTCCTTATAGATGAGGATGGAGGCGAATGTCAGTACATCCTGATCCTTACAGGGGTAAAGCGCCTGAATGTAGTTGTTGTATGCCTCATGAAACAAGATATGTACTGCTTGTGGATGTTTCACCTACAACAAATGTCCCAGATATGTCATACAACAAGCATAAAGTTTACCAATCAATGTTTCTTACTAAGTCAAACAGATTCAATTTGAATGCTCACAAAAGGACTTTGAAAACATGTAACACAAATGTTTCAGATAACCAAGGGATTCTGTACAAATTTCACTAAAGTTCCTGATAACACAGGAATGCTCTACAAATTTTACAAAATTTCCTGATAACACAGGAATTCTGTACAAGTTACACAAAAGTTTCAAATAACACAGGAATTCTCTACAAATTTCACAACATTTCCAGATAAAACAGGGATTCTGTACAAGTTACACAAAAGTTTCAAATAACACAGGAATTCTCTACAAATTTCACAAAAGTTTTAGATAACCCAAGAGTACAATGTTGGTATCTCTGTAAGTTACAAGTTTCAGATTACTAGGAAGCAATATTTTATGAGTTTATTTTTCCCCCCCACCTAAATCAAAGTACAATTGGTATCTCTCATCAGCTATACTATTTCCCTATGACTTCCTTTATCAGAAGTTTATGGAAACAAGAATACCCCTTTTTCCTCTTTGAGTCCAATCTTGGCATTCCTTCGCCATCTGAATTCGGGGACCTCACTACCAGGATTGGCATCAGTCAACATCTTAACATTTCTATTCCACACTTGTAACTCAATTATTGGACAGTGGTCTTGTCTCAGCTGAAGCTCTACAATGATAAACAGGAGGCACATATAGCCTGCATTACTCACCTGGCAAAACTGAGTCCTCTTCACCAAAGAATATTTCAGATCAAATATGGTCATAATCAAATAATTCCTACAGAAGTAGTTATTAAAGAATTTGCTCTATTTTCCCTACTGGGCCCTCTCCCTCCCACCCTAGTAGGCCAAGACCCCTCATTTATGCAAAACTTTCACCTAAGAATGCTTCAGACCAAAATACTGGCAAAATCTGATCATTCCTACAAAAGGAGTAGGATTTTCAAATATCCCCTTTTGGGCAGTCTCACCTTTAAGGTTAAATAACTAACAGCCTGATCAATCAGGTTAAATAAATAACAGTCTAACCCTCCAGGTTAAATAAATAAGTCTGGCCCTTCAGGTTAAATGAACAAGTCAATGAACAAGAGGCCAGATGGGCCTGCATCACTTGGTTGGTATTCAATGCTCGTAAAAATAAAATCAATGTTCCTAACAAACACATCAACCCTTGCACCATTGGCATTCAAAGTGAGTACATCCAATCAAGCTGAATTAATTTCCACAACAAACTTTAGCTTTTTACACTCAGCTCCAATTCTCAGACTTTGGGTTTATCAGAAGGAAATTTTTACAGGTTTTGATCAATTTGACCTCTGTGACAAAGAATATGGTTCAAGGTCATTTTTTTTTTACAAACTTTATCAGGCCTCATCACAGAGACTTACTAGCCAAACATCATGTTTCTAGTCCTTTTGCTTAATCAAAAGAAGTCATTCTAAGGTTACAACCAATTCCACCTATGTAACCTTGAATCTGAGTCAAGATGATTTCTTTTCACAGTATTTGTTGGACTTCATCCCTGCAACCTACCAGCCAAATATCATGACAATTCACCTTTTAATTATTGAAAAAAAGACATTCAACAGGAAAAGTTGACACCAGACAGACAGATGATTGCCATGCCATAGAATAAGCTCACTTGGCCCTTTGGGTTGGGTTTGCTAGAAATACATCATATGAGGCATTTAAAAGTGAAAAAAAGTATTACCTAAACTTTTCGAACAAATCCAAATCGTGAAGATTTCAGAGAAAACCTCATCAGACATATTGTACTCCTGTGGAGAAAACAAACGATGCATTGATTATATAAGTACAACATCTCTAGAAATTTCACACAGATTAATTCATACCAACAAACTGACTCTCATAGACCAAGGATAGAATTGTTTCTGGAGTCTAAACTCCAGGATAGAGTGGTAAATGTCAATGTGTCCTCAAGTTCATAATCAGGAAGACTTACCCTGAAGAGTTGCAGGTTTAGTTGCTTCACAGTAGTGTTTGTACCATTGACTAGTTTTAGCTTCTTTACGACTTTGTCTGTGAGGCTGACCTCGATCTCCTGAGTCTGGAAAACAAATCATTGTGTCATCATCTCACAAAGTTAAACCAATTCTCATTAAAGCTACTGGTCAGTTCACAATATTAAACAAATTTTAATAAAGCTAATTGTCAGTTCACAATATTAAACAAATTTTAATTAAAACAACTGGTGAGTTCAAAAAATTAAACAAATTTTCTTTAAAGTTACTGGTCAGTTCACAATATTAAACAAATTTTAATTAAAGCTAATTGTCATTTCACAATATTAAACAAATTTTCTTTAAAGTTACTGGTCAGTTCACAATATTAAACAAATTTTCTTTAAAGCTAATTGTCATTTCACAATATTAAACAAATTTTCTTAATAGTTACTGGTCAGTTCACAATATTTAACAAATTTTAATTAAAGATAATTGTCATTTCACAATATTAAACAAATTTTAAAATTACAGCTAATTGTCAGTTCACAATATAAAACAAATTTTAATTAAAGCTAATTGTCATTTCACAATATTAAACAAATTTTCTTTAAAGTTACTGGTCAGTTCACAATATTAAACAAATTTTAATTAAAGCTAATTGTCATTTCACAATATTAAACAAATTTTCTTAATAGTTATTATTTAACAAATTTTAATTAAAGCTAATTGTCATTTCACAAAATTATTTTCTTAACAAATTTTAATTAAAGCTAATTGTCATTTCACAATATTAAACAAATTTTAAAATTACAGCTAATTGTCAGTTCACAATATAAAACAAATTTTAATTAAAGCTAATTGTCAGTTCACAATATTAAACAAATTTTCTATAGTTACTGGTCAGTTCACAATATTTAACAAATTTTCATCAAATAAACTAAGTCTATACTTTTCCCATCTAAAACTGAATACATACCACAAATCAAAGAATTCCTTCCCGTACTTAATTATTGTATATAAGCATAAAATTCCTGTATATACTAACATAGTTTAGTGTACTTTGCTTCTTCTAATTATTGTTTTCATTAATTTTTTATAACACATTTTTACAGAAGCACACTGTAATAGCAGGACATGAAAGAACACTTAACTCACGGAGATTGTAATTAAACTTGTTTGTGTATGATAGTGTGTGATGAGGATTAGAAACCAGACACACTTATGTGTTTAATGTCTCTGTCTGCAATCTGGAAAAATTTATCTCTCCACAACTCAACCATTTTTACAAATTTCAACGTGAAACTCGGTACAAGAATGTATTATATTCATACTAACAATATATATTTTTGATGTCGAACAGAACTGTCATTCAAAACATTTTAACAACATTTTTTTTTTTTTTTATCTATTTATCTTTTATACACAAGTATTTATAAAATCACACAACCACTTCATGAACTAGTTACAAATCACATTTTAAATCCTTTCCACAGAGATAGGTGTACATTGTTTGTGATGTAAAATTTGGTCAAGGTTGTAAATAGCCTTACAGATGCTGAAAGTCTAACATACACACAGCATCTAAAAACTTACATTTGATTTTGAAGCAGCCCTGATAAGCTCCCCAATGCGTTTCTGTGCCCAGTACTGTGTCTCTTCACAGTAATTGAGGGCAGTTTTACCATGCCTGTCCTGAAAGTCCTGTTGAAATATTAAAAGTATAATGTTACCTCACTCTATAACACAGTATTACACCTTACCCTTACAATATAGTATTACACATCCTATACTACAGTATTACACCTCACTCATACAATACAGTATCACACCTCACTCCTATATTACAGTATTACACCTCACTCCTACAATACAGTATTACACCTCACTCCTACAATACAGTATTACACCTCACTCCTACAATACAGTATTACACCTCACTCCTATATTACAGTATTACACCTCACTCCTACAATACAGTATTACACCTCACTCCTATATTACAGTATTACACCTCACTCCTACAATACAGTATTACACCTCACTCCTATATTACAGTATTACACCTCACTCCTACAATACAGTATTACACCTCACTCCTATATTACAGTATTACACCTCATTCCTACAATACAGTATTTCACCTCACTCCTACAATACAGTATTACACCTCACTCCTATATTACAGTATTACACCTCACTCCTACAATACAGTATTTCACCTCACTCCTATAACACAGTATTACACCTCACTCCTATAATACAGTATTACACCTTACTCCTACAATACAGTATTACATCTCACTCTTATAATACAGTATTACACCTCACTCCTATAATACAGTATTTCACCTCACTCCTATAACACAGTATTTCACCTCCTATAACACAGTATTACACCTCATTTCTATGATACAGTATTACAACTCACTCCTATAATACAGTATTACACCTCACTCCTACAATACACTATTTCACCTCACTCCTATAACAGTATTACACCTCACTCCTATAATACAGTATTATACCTCCTATAATACAGTATTACACCTCCTTTAATACAGTATTTCACCTCCTATAACACAGTATTACACCTCACTCCTATAACACAGTATTACACCTCACTCCTACAATACAGTATCACACCTCACTCCTACAACACAGTATTACACCTCACTCCTACAATACACTATTTCACCTCACTCCTATAACAGTATTACACCTCACTCCTATAATACAGTATTACACCTAACTCTTATAATACAGTATTACACATCACTCCTATAACACAGTATTACACCTCATTCCTATAATACAGTATTACAACTCACTCCTATAATACAGTATTACACCTCACTCCTACAATACAGTATAACACCTCACTCTTATAATACAGTATTACACCTCACTCCTACAATACAGTATTACACCTCACTCCTACAACACAGTATTACATCTCCTACAACACAGTATTACACCTCACTCCTATAATACAGTATTACACCTCACTCCAATAACAGTATTACACCTTACTCCCACAACACAGTATAACACCTCAATCCTATAATACAGTATTACACCTCACTCCTATAATACAGTATTACACCTCACTCTTACAATACAGTATTAGACCTCACTCCTACAATACAGTATTACACCTCACTCCTATAATACAGTATTACACCTCACTCCTATAATACAGTATTACACCTCACTCCTACAATACAGTATTACACCTCACTCCTGCAATACAGTATTACACCATGTTCTTATAATATTCTATTACATCTTACCTCTTACACAGTACTACACATCATACAATACAGTATTACACTTCCTATACTTCTCTAAGCTGTACCAACCATATTGATATCTGGGTGACGTAATAAGATCTCTGCCACATGGACATTTCCATACATTGTGGCTAGGTGTAGTGCCGTAGCCTTGTTGTCTGTTCTAGAGTTTGGATTTGCCCCTGCTCGCAGTAATACCTCGACCGCATCCTTGTGACCACGTCTGCAAAATAAAAGGATAAATCAGTGGCAGAAATTTTCATTTTTGTTGATTTGTTGACTTTTACCAGGAGCCCTAAAATAACCAGAATAAACAAAGGGCCAATTGGTTCAGCGTTGGGGAGAAGTTGAAAATATCAGTTGTTTAAGAGGACAGGGTTTTCCATAATTTTGTTAGTAGTAGGCTGTGTAGCGAAAGTAGGAGGCTGGCCTGCCGTGTACTTGTAGTCATGTACGGAACATTATTATGGAACTGGATTGGTGTAGGCGGCCAAATGATCCAAGTGCAGCTTTTACCAGTTTGTGCATGTGTAAACAAAAATTCACTTCTGTCTTTATACAGAACACTAGAGAGCTCCACTGTGACCAAACTAGTAATAACATCGAAGGAAATACATAATGATTTAGAATGTTTGTATTTTAAAGCACATGGCAACAGTGGTGCATAAGGGTGCATGATGAGATTTTAAGTGATTTCATCAATGGTTAGGGTTGAGTAGAACAAGGAATATCTCTGATTCTTTTAATTCATTGTTCCTCTTAACACACTCAATGAAAACTATAAACCTCAACTTCAGGTCGTTCAGGCATAACTCTATGTACCTAGGCTATATATCTTATCACAGGCCAAGGCCTTCCTTGGGAATACTGCTTCTAGCTTTTTGAAGCAATTTAACAAATAGGCAAGGGGAGGTAACCCACCACTACTAGAAATTTGAGAGTTCCATTAGTCAGAACTGCTATCCTATGATATACCTTAAAATTCATGAATTGTTGATAAATGTATATGGTGTAAACCTGATTTATATGCGAGTTTTGCACTGAATTCTATCCCATACATTTATACAATAACCATTACCAAATTCATCCAGCAACCTGTAGCTCTATGCAAATAATGATGCAGTAAAGCTTATTTGCTTCAGATGTGTAAAGTTCATATGACTTGAGACTTACGCAGCTGCATAATGTAAGGGAGTGAGGTACTTGATGTCTGTGTCGTTGATAGGAAACCCTCGGTTGATCAGCTCCAACATGAGATCACAGTTGCCTTCAGAAGCATACTTATGAAGTTGATACTGGTCATCCATACTGCTGAGAAATGTCCCGATTCCCACACTTGATATTGAAAATGAAAACATTTCAGTGTAATTTCAATGCAATGCATGTATTACCGCACAGAATATGATTTTAACATTTACATCAAAATAAATCTGCTTTTTGGTGAAACCTCAGTTCCGGATTGTCTTCCCAGAAATTTTTACATTGACATAAATCATAGAGATATTTATTTTAGCTGATCTACTTTCACTACTAAGTAGGTATGGTATACACTGCCAGGCACCAGTGGACCTTTCCCTTTCTGGTGTCTTAGTGCAGCAGTCATACATCACTAATTTCTACACTGAGAATGTTCCATACGCTATACATAAGTAGTACGCATTTCAATAAGACAATGTTTTGTTTGTGACCTGCTACGTAAGTGAACTACCCAAACATGAACATTCTTGAAATATTTATTGATGAGAGAAAAAAAGCGTCTTGCACAAAGTGGTACTTACCCTTCAATAGAGCTAGTATCACTACTCCGACGACGGTCGTAGTCAGGGGGTGTTGATGGCCAGTACATGTTCTTCACAAAGTTATTTACCTATACAAAAAAATACACTGGAAGTTTATTAACTCGATACATAGTAATATGTATTGATAAATACAGCTTTATATACAGTAACAAAATTAAGCAATATTTACATTATAAAACATTTCGGGCTGGTTAATACATGTGTGAAAATAAAGTCACATATCACAACTAGTATCAGTAAATTTGACTGGCAACAATGTCACATTCATAAGACAAATCAGTGGTGAAGCGTATGAGTTGGAATGAATAATATACAAGATGTTTATCTAATCAACAGGACTTTGGAAACTGTACACTTCACCTTAAATGTAGAAAATAAGGATGACACTGACATTATAATGAAAACAGGATAAGTTGGTACAATTTCATACAATGTACAGACTGAACTACATAAGTAGATCTGGCTATATTTTATTTGTAACCTGGTCATATATGTGGGAGTCTGTAGGGCCCCCCTTGTCCCTGTTCGGTGCCAGTCAGTTATGTGTATCTAAATTGTGTCCTTGTCCTGACACCTGAAAAGACTGTTCTCTCTATCCACCACTTTTGAAATGTCCTGGTCAATTATGTGTTATCATCTGTTACAATGTTGTAATATTACCAACTCAGTCAGTTTTTAACAATAATTCAACCACCTACAGCTTGTGATAGAATGAGTTTGTAATTTTCTATAAATAGAAATGATGACCTTGACCACTGCACCCTGAAATAAGTCACCTGAAATATTCTCAAAATGTTGATTTTGTGATCAAAATTCCTCAAGGAGAGAAAAAAAACTTACATTTGTTTTATATGGCATTGCTGAACCAAAAATTGGATTTATTACAACAATGTCACTTTTCTCGATGGCTAGTTCCTTAGCGAGGGCTTCATTGGCAGTCAACCGTATGTCATCTGGGGCATCGTCACTAATAATCCCGTTAGCTTCTGGAGATACTTCATGGCGACTTGGAAGGAATGCAGGGTTATTGATGCTAAATTTTATTCGATAATCAGCTCTATTTTGAAAAAGGATGTCTAGAGTTCCAGGTCTGGAATGTTTTTCCTTCAGCCAACTGTGAAATTAGAAAACAGATGTATGCTAAAAGTTATAGTTATATACGTGTAGCTCTCATACATAAACTGTAAAACAAATCAGTCGATCTCCTATCTATACGGACTACAATATATCACAAATGACAAAACACATTGCAAAACAATATATTCAATACAAAGAATAATGTCAACAACAATGTCAAGGTCATACAAAGAATAATGTCAACAAAAATGTCAAGGTCATACAAAGAATAATGTCAACAACAATGTTAAGGTCATACAAAGAATAATGTCCACAACAATGTCAAGTTCATACAAAAAATAATGTCAAAAACAATGTCAAGGTCAGCAAATCTGTCCCACAGAAAAGTAAACTGGGGATTTTCATGGGATCACCCACCATCCCATCCATCCATGAACACATTCGATTCTTCCATATCTTGGTAAGAAATTTTTTTAAATTTTGAATCATTTTGACTCTTTTTTGTCCCATCCATCTACCCCTGGGGGTCAGCCCGTATTCATATGTGCATACCCTCATACTATCATACTTTGATCATAATTCTAACCAAGTTTGAAATATTTGCAATGGAAAGTAAAAGAAATTATGCTCAAAAATGCAATTTTCCTAAATAATATACAGTAAACTTTAACTCCTCCCAAGGAGGGGAATGTGAGACCCTGAGACCTTGAAATATACAATTTTGGTAAAGCACCATAAACACTTTCATCCCTGAAGAGCATTTGATTCTACCATATCTGGGAGTAGAGAAGTTTTTTTAAAATTTGCATCAAATATGACCACTATTGGCCCCGCCCCCAGGCCCCTGTGGGTGGGTACCATATAATTCACTTTTTGGTTCATCATTGTCCAGAAAAAGTTTCTGCAAAATTTCATTTTAAATCGGTTCTGAAAAGTCTCATGTTGACCAAAAAAAAAACCACTTAGTAATCATATTTAGAATGACGTAGCACATGGGGCTGTATTTGATATTCTACATTAACTGTGATGTGAATAAAAGTATATATGATCATCATTGTTCATTTTATTTAAATTCAAATATCTGTTGACATCCCTAGAACAGGGACTTAACGTTGCACTGACCAGTACCTGGCTGATGGTGTTTTTAAGCACTGACCTTTCCAGCTGGGAGATAAATGTTTGTGTAGGTGGAGGATAGTTAGTCATGCCATTGTTGAGGGTCTCCACCATTGTGTCGAGGGAGAAAAAACCAGGACTATTAGGCGACTTCTCTACAAATGCCTTATTAAGCTTGTCTACAAATAAACAAAGTTCAAAAACTGATATCAAAAATATCATCAAACATCTCTGTCAGGGTATATTCTTTCATAATATAATTGTTTGAAAAAATTGATGAGGTCAGATCATTCAGATCTCCGTGTGAAAACTTGCTCTTGATATACACACCATTCATTATTCCATAACATTTCTCATCCATCCTTTTAATGTATAAACAAAATGATGACTTGGTGATCTGAATTCAGCAGTGTGACCTATGTAGGTCTTGTTTTCAGTTGAATGTAACTTTGCTATGAACGGTAGTTATATCTTGGCTATGTTTGAGCACCAGCAGGTCAATAAATAGCCTGTTAACAGGCTGATATGAGTTGTGATATTTCATGGATAAATACTACTAAATCTGACTCATTGATTTCTACAGAATCTAGATAAATTTAGCAAAAGAACTACTTATATAAATATATTTCCTATAATTGATTACACTACCTCTTGAATTGACTGGAACACAAAACAAGTAGAATCTGGAGAGGGAGGCACGGAAATCTCTGCTGTTCCATGGAATAAGTAAAGCTCTTTCTCCTAAAATTATAAGAAAAAATAAGACAAAATGTGATATAATCAAACAAATGTCAATTTTAATTTACTGATAAAAACAAAACTCAACAAGACAAAGAGTGTTTAACGCTGTTGGGGGCCATGATAATAGGAGTCATTCCTAATTGAAAAGTTACATGATCATATTTACACAAAAATCCTAAATTTGCAATTGACTCCTGAAAATTTCCTGCTCAATTCAGCAATAATCTTTCAAAAATGAATAAAAGTGCCACATCCCAAACCAGTGATAAAAGCCTCGTCAAACTGCACTACACATACCAACATCCCCTGTGTGATATTTCAACCACTTTCATTTCTGAAATACTATACATGTACGCTTGATATATATCTCATATAAAATGAAAACTTATAAATATACACCATCCTTTATTACTTATCAAAATGTACGTTAAGTAAATATGTTTCTATTATACATTTGCAAAATGAAATTACATGGAGTTCATTCTTAAGATAAATATAGTGTACCTTTAATGCCTCCATGTTCCCCTCCAGTCAGTCTGTAGAGATTACCCAGTACTTCATCCCGAGGCTCCTCCCCCATGTTGGTGAGTGGAAATGTGGGTAGGTACTTTGTAGGTTTACTCTTATCTCCCGTAGTTGTTTTGTGATCAAGAAGCAACACATTGTAAAATTTTGACCGGTAGTCATGGTTACCAATGTTTTGTTTTGGTTGTAACACAACTAATATTATCTCCATCAGAATTAACTTTCCAGTATAAAATGAATGACTTTTTCCTTCTACATTTTCTTGTCTGTCACTTCTACATTTGTACTATTTTATAAACAATGAATTAGAAAATGTGGCAGTAATTCATTGAAATCCATTCGTGTACCTGAAATAAACAGAAATGATAAATTTAAACAAGGGTTGATGATTTCTAATCAATGATCGTGAAACTGGAAATGATGAAAACACAATCAAAATATATGTGTGTCCATGGATATGATTGTTAGGCTTTGACATATAAAACGGAAATTTCAAATCTTAATCTTTTATCTCATTAAATTAATCTTTTATCTCATCGAAAATTGAAAAGCATCGTTATCAGACCAAACACTTACTTTACGATACATGTCTGACATATGAACTCAGAAAGTCATGAAGTATTGAATGTATCTTGTTAATGGCATTTATAAGGAAGTGAATATCTTTGGATTCAAGAGGGTGGATGACAAGCAATACAAAGTTAAAACACAGACCCCAAGTACCAATTAGTTAAAAACCAGGGGTGTTACCAATAACTGCTATACTGATTGACAGATTGGAAGGAAATTACGTACAACTATAAGTTGCAATTGGCCGACACACATGAACAGTCCTACTCTTTTGTAAAGACAGTTAAGATAAACAACAATGTCTTCATAGTAAGTAGCTTTAGCGAATTCTCTGAATAAGGTTAGTTCCTGAATAAGTGTTTCTTTGCTCACTCAACACCAGCATTAGTCTATCACACAACAGAGATGACCACAAAGGGCATTAAAAGAGCACCAACAGCTGAAAGGGAGTTTTTGCAGTATGGTGAGTGCCTGTCTATCTACCAGTGTATCAGCAGCTTATGAATTGTCAATGTGGACAGTCAGTGTATGTGAAGCAGCTAGTGCATGTCTGCAGTTACATGACAGGTTCATGTACAGTAAGAGCAGATGTATAGGTAGTGTGACTATCGCCTTCAGGTGTGTTATTGCCATTGTAGCAACCCAGGAGTTAAAAAATTTGGCAAGAGGGGTCATGTGGTAAATTTTACATGTTGGAGTTTGCATTCGCCCACAACTTTTTAAAGTGTTAAATAGTAGTGTAGCTGGTTGGTTTCGAAATGTTTACTGTATCATTTTATTATTCTATAAAGTATCCTAGTCACTATAGCAGTATTTGCTTTGATATAGCTACATGTTATATCCCAGAACTATATAGATGCATATAAGTGTAAAATATGCAGTTTAAAAGAAAATTGTCACACCCAGTTTAGAGTGAGTATACTGGTTTGAAATCTCCAGTGACCACTGTCATGAACCATAAGGAACATATCACACTATAACAGGTACTGGAGCACCGGCAAATCTCATTATATCTATATAGAGCAAATGTAAACAAACAAGTCCTAGCTAGTTGCAATCATGGCATCGTGCATATCATTGAAATGGATGACAAATCTAGCGAGTTGGTCAAACAAATGTTTTTGTCATACGACACTATTTGCGGTGAGTTGGTTGAATTTTATCATTGTAATTTTTGGTACATCAGGGACGTATATGTCATATATGTCCCTGGGTACATGCATTCCTTTATTCACATGTTCTGAAGGTAAGTCATAAAATTTCCTTAATTCATGATAAAAACACCTCATATTTCACGTGCTTCCACCACAGAATTTCACATTCATTGTGGGTTATAATCTTTTTTGCATAGAAATATTATGCTGAAAGCACACCTGTGTCCCAAATCTGCATCAAAGGGATGCTTATCTGCAGAGTGAATGAGTGAATGACATCATATTGGATGGACTTGCTATATTTAAAGCTTGTTACTAAATAGCAAATGTACATAGATATTGAAAATATGTAACGATGAATATCTTTGAAATGTCAGAAATTTAGTAAATATGACAAAAACATTCATTTAACTGACTTACATGATTCGTCATCCATTTTTTTCGATATGCATATAAGAAATGTGATCAGACCTCACCTGGATGTTTACATTTGCCATATACTTAGAGTCAAATTTGTCTCCTTACCCAGATTTTCCGGTGCTACAGTACCTGTAAATGGATTTCTACTGTCTAGGCAGTGCATGGATTCTTAAATTAGAAAACAAATACTGGAATACTTGGTTTGCACTTATAATTTAAAACACATGACTTGGTCAGTTAAAAAAAATAAAATTCTCTAGAATGACAGGATGCGTTGAATTTCCAGTGCATCCTCTCAAATCCAATGATGTTCGGATTTCCAACCTGCCACATGACCTGCTAATTACTAGACACGTCGTTACCAATACTTACGACTTTGGCGTGGCTCTTTCAGCAAGACACACATTTTTGTTGACATGTGCTTGTTTTGGAATGGTCATTGATGATCAATCAAAGTAGGACATTACGTAGCACATAACAAACTCCAGATTTTTATCCCTGGACTTTCTCGTTCAACCATAAACTTTGTGAAGAGGAAGTCACATAAAGTTACAGAAGGGAACCGGATTATTTGTGGTGACTCCAGTTAATTACTGCATTAATCAAACGGATAATAAAATTCAGTGATAATAAATAGATGTTGAATACCGTAAAACGAATTTGCTATTTCACTATATCAGAGATGAAATTTATGGCGTCTGCTTTACAAACATTATTTATTACTATATGCATTTGCCGCTCCCTTTAGCGGAAGTAAAAGAGAGGTGAAGGTCGATTTCAGGTCAACTGATCTGTCAAATAATGATATCTTTTTTATGCCTCGATGGGATATTTACATAAGGTTTCTTAAGTGTTCAGTATCACATGATGATATGTCATATACAACAGTTATCACGGCAAATATGGTAAGATATAAATTTGTCGTATGTGTGTGTATTTCTTATAAATCTTTCTAATATAACTTTTTTCTCGGTCAGTAGGTAAAAGTATATTGTTATCGTTTCACATGTTCCCACGAGACGTTTTTTATGTTGAGATCGGGTCAAATGAAACAGGGTATGGGTATCCGCACAAAATGTTGCTGTGTGCTTGTAACACATGTCGTTCATGGACTGACACTTCCAAATGAAATATGTATCGTATATAATAAGTACAAAGCTTCCTGTTATAATACATAAAATAACGTAATGCCCTAATGGGCCTAGTTCTATATATATTGTATCATACGTCCCTGGGTTAGGGTAGCAGACTCATGAGAATGTTAGAGTACGCTCACTTGGCGGTTTTTTTTAAATGATAATAATTACTATTATTTTTATTTTATTTTTTTTTTTTTTTGTCTTTTTCCTTCAACTAGCAGTGGAGTGTGCTTTTCATTTTATTTGCCGAGTTAGGAAAGATTTCAGTTGTGCTTTTTCTGTTCTAAATATAGCACTTTGAATAGCCCCATTTTGACAATGAAACATGCCATACCTATACATCTTTTGTCAATAAAAATTGACATCAGGTTATTAAATATTTAATACATTTCCAAAAATTAAGAGAAACATTGTGTCATCAGATTATATTGGAAACTGTTTTGAAATTGTGGAATACAATTAATAACAGTGAGGCCCCAATGAATTGTCGTCTGCTTGTTTACATTTACTTTGGTAGGTAGCAGTCATTTTTAAAGAATACAGGTCAATGAGTCATTTAAACCTTATGTGCTTTCACCAGCATAGATACCATATAATCACCTAAAACAAGATCAATATAAATTTTAAAAGATTTTTTTTTCACATTCAAAAAATGAAAATAAAATGGCGGTAAAATGACATTTCTCAATTCAGCAGAATAATTTGGCTTTTTAACATTTTTAAAAGTTATGTTGTCTGGCACAATCTAATTTTGGGATTTTTTGTATACGACATTTGAAAATCATGCTTAGCAACAACAAAAATAAGGAGACTAGATGGGTGTGCAAAATTATATGTTCCCTCTCATCTTTAACCAGGAAATAAACACCAGTTGACAACAACAACCATGCACAGTAATATGTGTGTGCATACCAGGTGACATACTTGCTTATTATGGGGTGTTTGTACATCTTACCATGTCTAACAATCTTTATGTTTCAAAATAAATACGATAGAAATGTATATAAATGTGTACCAAAACTGTGTGAAATAACGTACACTCACTCTTTATCTATTTTCCCTTTGTTAAAATGCCAATTTGATAATCTTATTCAAGAAGTGAAAATTAAATTATGATGAAACACCTTTCTTTTAACTTTTGCACTGTATATATAAAATATTAGTTATTGAGTTAGATCAAGAATGCAAAATTTCTTAAATTTTAGTCACTGCAGTCGCATGATTTTATAATTTTGTTTTAATACATAGCCCTAGGCATTTCTGTTCTGGGCAATTGATACCGGTAGTTGGCAGAGGGGAAATTTCATTTATAAATGCATTATTCTGCAGTGAAGAGATGCTGTAATGACGAAAATAATGAAGATTTTATGTAATATCAATTGTAAATTTCTTTTATTTCAAATCCAGAATATTCTAAAGTTGGAAAAAAAACTTTCTGAGATCTTGTGGTAGTGTTAAAGGATAGTCAGTACCTTAGAGGTTCTTTCAGTCAAGATTCAGTTGTAACTGTGTGTCATGCTTTTAATATATTAGAATTGTTTTAAGATGTCCATATACTATAAGCTGAAACTATATCTGAGATGTAAAGATACTGTAAAAATCTTGAATTAAGCATGTTAAGCACATGAAATAAACAGGTGTTTACTGTAGACCAGAAGTAGGTTATAAAGCTAACAAAATTTCTGAAGGTTGAAATGAATCATGAAACTAAGGTGGGAAATGCCTAACACGAAAGACAGGTATTGAATTACACTGTATGAGTTATTGTATTGTATAAGTAAATCAGGCGACATACACCTGATTGTTTTTGTTTACAAAATTACATGGATTTTACAACATACAATTGTCTTGGTCAGTCAGGGCTCTCACACCCCATTTTGGGACTGGGGCCCGGGGCCCTTTGAATTGGGAAAAATAATGGTGTTTTCCTTAGAATTTGGAAAACTTGGGGTCTAAATTGGGAAAAAAAGATACTATTTTGCATCGGGAATGGGGCCGATATCGAGAGCCCTGTCAGTTGTTGTGAAAGTGCAATTTAAAGTTTAAAGTTTAAAACATGAAAATTTTTGTTGAGGATGACATTTGTGAGGATATGCATATATTGACCCTGGCTGTCCCCCAGGGGCTGATGGGTTCATGGGGCCAAAAAGGGTCACATTGAGTGAAATTTCAAAACTCTTCTCAATACCCAGCTATGGTATAATCAAAATCTCTTTATGGATGGAAAGACATTCAGATGCTTTACCAAAATTGTAAATTTCTTGACTCCAAGGTCTCACAATTCTCCCTGGGGAGGGGGTAAAGTTTACTATAGTTTATATAGGAAAATTACATTTTTGGATATAATTTGTTTATTTTGTATTGAAATATGGTTAGAATTATTAGTGTAAGCTGTCAGTTTGATGAGATGCACATCTTGACCTTAACTGAGCCCCAGGGGCTGATGGGCAGGGCCAAAAATTGATCAAATTGACTGAAATTTCAAAGATGTTCTACTGTTCTGGATGGAAGAGCTTATATAGGAAAATTAAAATAATGAGTAATTTCTTTTAATTCAAACTTGGTTAGAAGCCTTAGCATGGAACAGTAGTTAATGTTATACAATGTTTACAAGGTGTACAATGTTGTTAAAATTATCTGACTTTTTCAGTAAAATAATTCTATGACATGAAACAAGAAGTATTGTAACTCAGGTGACTGTTAAGGCCTGTGGGCCTCGTGTGTGTGTGGTTTTTTTTTTTTTTTTTATGAGATAATGGATTTGGTTGCTAACAAAGGATTTCTTTAGAAAACCATTATAAATTCCTGAAACTTTCAGTACAATTTTATCTAGACACTCAAACTCGGAAATACAATTTTTAAAAAAGAAAAATTTTTCTTTAGATTTCAAAAGCAAACCAGATTTATTTTACGAAATTCCCAAACAGCTAAGTTAAAAATTTTGAAAGACAAATAATTATTTTTAATGTTTGTTCTATAAGAAAACCAACATTCAAATTCATATCAGCAACTTACAACATATCATATTTATTCTAATAAACACCATGGGGGCATAGAACTCTCCGAAGAGAGAAAACTCGTATGACAGTTCAGAACTCTTGACTTTTGCTTATGTTAACAATTTCATAAACAGAATTATTTTCATTTTTGTGATTGCTTTCAAGAAAATTTTATTACAATTAAAATTACAAGTTTGTATATTCTGGAATTTAACTGTACATGCATGGAGATTTATTTCACAAGTTGTATTTGGGAGGGGTGGTGAGATTAAGATAAATACAAGAAACAAAGCAATTTATTAGTGAGATACAACAGCAATATTTTGCAAACTGTACAATAATTACCTTAAAACCATTAACAGTTAAGTTGTTGATATGTCTGATTCCTCAAATGTTCTCTAAAAATTTCAGTGTATATGGACTTAACTAGATAAACAAATGTATGTCTTTTTTTCTGTATACTACTTCTTCTTCATAGATAAATTTCAACTTACCATCATTATACGGAACATGAGAACCAAGTTCTTACCAAGCTTTAATCTTCCTTACTGTCAAACATGCACTTGGGTTTAATCTTTTCAGTTCTTTAGAGGAAGTATACTACATTTGTGCATTATCTGTTGTATAATTTAATAAGGAAACTAACCGTATTTACTTTCTTCACAGGTTATTTCCTGTTGTGACATATCATTAATGTGTCAGAGCGCCATCACCTCTACCTCTGCCGTCCTGTTCTGCTGACGATACATATCAGATACATATAATAGGGCAGCGATTTTAGCAAACCATCACATAGGTATAACTTTAAATGGGATATATGACATCAACATATACTACAAAATCTGTGTGATTCACTTTACTTAATGGCAGTGCACCAATGTTTATCATTACCTTTCTCAGAATGTCAGGGACTTTGCACGTGAGAGCTTTCCCCTGATTTATTCACTGCTATGAGCCAGAACCTGACTTCCAACTTCACTGCCTGCATAAACAATTGTGAAAACAGGTGAAAATATCAGCCTATCACATGACCTGAAGTACTTATGGTGTTGAAATATCACACCCCACAAACTCTTATAGAATAATTATGTGCTATCATTGTATATGATCATGTGTTTTAGATTTAAGTGAAGAAGACAGTATAATTTAGACATGATTGTTGATGAGAAATGTTCAAAATATTTAGTAAAATGAATAATGCATTACATGTACTGGCTTAGACCATCCATCCCACCCTGATGCACACATGAACCCATCAGCTTATATATATAATGATAAGTTTTCAACCTAATACAATAGAAGAAACAGAATTTCGCTCGCACCATGCCAGACACTTGCCTAGCCGTCTTGGTAATGATGACTTCAGTAAGTCATGTGTTTTTCAGAGAAAGCCCAACATGACTGGTACTCATGAAGACTTTTTCTCTTCAGTCCATGTAGTAGCTACAGGTCAAGGTCATTACACAGTGTATCAGCCACACGTTAAGTATGCAGAGTCACAAACCAATAACTCTGGTCTCCCTGATCAGAGGAGCTCAGTCTCTTCCAATTACATTGCTGGAGAAGGGACTTCATCAGAATCAATCAGCAGTTTCAGGCATCATATAAGTAATTTGTCAGTGGGAAAGTCTTTAAACAGGCCGACAGCAAGTGAAGACAGAAGTTTTGTTACCAACTCACACAACGGGGACAATGAGTCCAAGTCAAAGGGATTTACAAGTCTCACTGATGGTAAAAACAAGAAAGTAAGAGGGAGAATAATGAATGGAAAAAGAGAAGATGGATCCATGTGTTATTGTAAATCATATCACATCCATACGTTCTCAAAACCAGACTTCTGTCGAACGTTTGATAATAGTAATGTTGAATTTGATGTGTCACTTTCTCGAACTCGATCTGATTTAATTGAAGCCAATGAAAAACATTTGATCATTTGTAACACTTTCTGGAGACCTTTTCTAGCCAGAAGTGAATTTCAAGATGGAGATGACCCTTTAGATTTTACATCACTTTGGCATGAGGAAGGAAGTCTGAAAGAATTGCTCCGGGATGGAATACAGAACACAGTTCTTAGAACAGCCATATCAGATGTGACTTTGATGGCAGTATCAATTGGTCCTGTGCAACTCCTCCGATCCCTAATAGACCTGTCTCTCGTCCGTAAGTACACATTAAGTTTTTATAATTGGTCTTGTACGTACACAGTAAGTTTTACAATTGGTCCTGCACAACTCCTCCAATCCCTTATAAACCTGTCACTCTTCCGTAAGTACACATTAAGTTTTACAATTGGTCCTGTATGACACCTTCGATCACTTATAGACCTATCTCTCGTCCGTAAGAACACATTAAGTTTTACAATTGGTCCTGCACGACTCCTCTGACCCCTTATAGATCTGTCTCTCGTCCGTAAGTACACAGTAAACTTTACAATTGGTCCTGTACAACTCCTCCGATCCCTTATAGACCTGTCTCTTGTCCGTAAGTACACATTAAGCTTTACAATTGGTCCTGTATGACTCCTCCGATCACTTATAGACCTGTCTCTCATCTGTAAGTGCACATTAAGCTTTACAATTGGTCCTGCACGACTCCTCGGATCCCTTATAGACCTGTCTCTTGTCCGTAAGTACACATTAAGCTTTACAATTGGTCCTGAATGACTCCTCTGACCCCTTATAGACCTGCTCTCGTCTGTAAGTACACATTAAGTTTTACAATTGGTCCTGCACAACACCTCCGATCCCTAATAGACCTGTCTCTCGTCCGTAAGTACATAATAAGTTTTACAATTGGTCCTGAATGACTCCTCCCACCCCTTATAGACCTGTCTCTTGTCCGTAAGTACACATTAAGTTTTACAATTGGTCCTGAATGACTCCTCCGGGCCCTTATAGACCTGCTCTCGTCCGTAAGTACACATTAAGTTTTACAATTGGTCCTGCACAACTCCTCCGATCCCTTATAGACCTGTCTCTCGTCGGTAAGCACACAATAAGTTTTACAATTGGTCCTGTATGACTCATCCAATCCCTAATAGATCTGTCTCTCGTCTGTAAGTACACATTAAGTTTTACAATTGGTCCTGAATGACTCCTCCGACCCCTTATAGACCTGTCTCTCATCTGTAAGTACATATTAAGTTTTACAATTGGTCCTGAATGACTCCTCCGACCCCTTATAGACCTGCTCTTGTCCATAAGTACATGTTAAGTTTTACAATTGGTCCTGCACGACTCCTCCGATCCCTTATAGACCTGTCTCTCGTCCGTAAGTACACATTAAGTTTTACAATTGGTCCTGCACAACACCTTCGATCCCTTTATAGACCTGCTCTTGTCCATAAGTACATGTTAAGTTTTACAATTGGTCCTGCACGACTCCTCCGATCCCTTATAGACCTGTCTCTCGTCCGTAAGTACACATTAAGTTTTACAATTGGTCCTGCACAACACCTCCGATCCCTAATAGACCTGTCTCTCGTCCGTAAGTACATATTAAGTTTTACAATTGGTCCTGAATGACTCCTCCGACCCCTTATAGTCCTGTCTCTCGTCCGTAAGTACATAATAAGTTTTACAATTGGTCCTGAATGACTCCTCCGACCCCTTATAGACCTGTCTCTCGTCCGTAAGTACATATTAAGTTTTACAATTGGTCCTGAATGACTCCTCCGACCCCTTATAGACCTGCTCTTGTCCATAAGTACATGTTAAGTTTTACAATCGGTCCTGCATGACTCCTCCGATCCCTTATAGACCTGTCTCTCGTCCGTAAGTACACATTAAGTTTTACAATTGGTCCTGCACAACACCTCCGATCCCTAATAGACCTGTCTCTCGTCCGTAAGTACATAATAAGTTTTACAATTGGTCCTGAATGACTCCTCCGACCCCTTATAGACCTGCTCTTGTCTGTAAGTACACATTAAGTTTTACAATTAGTCCTGAATGACTCCTCCGGGCCCTTATAGACCTGCTCTCGTCCATAAGTACACGTTAAGTTTTACAATTGGTCCTGCACGACTCCTCCGATCCCTTATAGACCTGTCTCTCGTCCGTAAGTACACAATAAGTTTTACAATTGGTCCTGTTCTTGTCTGTAAGTACACATTAAGTTTTACAATTGGTCCTGAATGACTCCTCCGACCCCTTATAGACCTGTCTCTCATCTGTAAGTACACATTAAGTTTTACAATTGGTCCTGTATGACTCCTCCGATCCCTAATAGACCTATCTTTACAATTGGTCCTGTGCGACACCTCCAACTTGTATAGACCTGTCTCTCTATTTCTGATGACTGAATTCAGAATACATTACAATTACGTGTAAGTCTTTGTTGGATGACTTACACAGTTACATGCGAGTCTACATCTTTACAACCTCTACCAGACTTGACATTTGGCTACAAGGTTATCCCAATGCACTCTGGAAGAAATTGGTATTTTTACTGCATTTATGGTGAGCTTAATGGTTAAAAATAAGATTTGAAGTTTTTTTTTAAATTTTTGTTTAAATGACGTGTATTTCATGTAGTGTTGTTTTTACAAGAACACATTACTATGATATTAAGATGACTGAGACTTCAGGTAATTTTGATGATGTTCAGGTGTGGACACTTTGTTAGAGGATGGTGCTGGGTTACTGCACCATGCCTGTGTGTTCAGGAGAACAGAGATCATCCAGTATTTGGTCCGTGAGGGTGTATCACCATTACTGAAAGACAAACAGGGTGAGTTCTAAAAGGTTTTATCTCTCATTGAAGCAAAGCAAAACACTTATTTCTGCAAATCTGACATTTATGATGAACTATGAACTCAAAATCACTACTTTGTCAATAGGTAGGATCCGTTATAGTAAACTATGATCAATAGTTTACAGTTATGCATGACTCTACATATGTATAACCTCTAGTGTTTGTGAATACTGGTGTTTGTAATTTTTATTTTCTGTATCAAAATCCAGACAGTGAGAAAAAATACATATGTAAACATAGGACCCATCACATTTAGCATGAGGTGATATAAAAGGAGAAGAGAAAGTTGAAATAAAAATCAGAATGTTGTTGAAATTATTAAAAATATTACTACATACAGTACACTCTTGATAAAAGTATCAAAATAAATTGTGTTTTTATTCAGGTAACACTGCAGACCAGTACTGTTTCTCCAATGAAGTACGTCGGTCCTTGCCTACAAAATACCATACTCAGACAGGACGAGCATTAAGTGGGGGAGTAAGTACAGGAAGAGGTACAGGAGTGTGGGGTTTAAGTCCCTATAATAGGGTTCATCTGTTACAGCCAAGTATACAAGATAAGGATGTTATCTTCACAATGGCAACGACTGTTGGATCTCTGATGGAGCTACAGAAGAGATTACAGGTGATTGTATTATAATGTCAGATTATCTATTTATAATGGGACTTGTTTGGTCATCTGACCTGTAATTTTTCGACCTTGTCTAAACTTCAACATAGCAGCCAGGGAGACCATTGTTTTCAAACTTCTTCTCAAGTTTAACCAGTGGGATTGAGCTCCAACATGTCTGAAATGATCCTGAGGTTGTCCTGACCAAGTGTTGTAATTTTTCATGTTGGTCTGAAATCCAAGATGGTCACTAAAGTCGCCATCTTGAAAAAAAACATATTTTAAATTTCTTCTCCAGTTAGACTGATGCCAATGAGCTAAAAATTTGTGGAAATGTTAAGGAAAGGTAGCCAACAAAGTGTTGGTATTTTTCGACCTTGTCAAAATTTTGACATGGCAGCCAGGAAGGCCATTTTGTAGCAAGATGGGTGCAATCATGGTTTTACTATGCATCACCTTTTTCAAACTTCTAAGGTTTCACCAGTGGGATTGAGCTCTAACTTGAATGCTGTCTAAAAACTTATAGTTACAGTTACCTATTGCTCACCAAACCTACCATCTTCATTATGGAAAAGATCTTCTTAGTAAGATTTATTCAAAGTAGAAGAAATAACTCTTCACCATGCTAAAAGTTTTTGTAGTCAAATGACCATTAAGGTCCATATGCCTCTGGTCTTTGAATTGGAGCTAAACTGAGAACTTTCACCAGCCTTTTGGTCTGTCATGTTCTGCATTCTGTCATTCTCTGATTTTAAACATTTAACATCTGATTCTTATATCATAAGTCAGCATACAGTGGTTAAGTTACTGAAGATTTGAGAAGTCCATACTACTGGAGATGTTAAAGGGTTACTACGATAAGCAATAACTTAACAGTATAAAAAAGTGGGAGAACTGCATGTGATGTCATGATGTTGCAACATCTAAATAAAACCCTGTACACTCTTTTCCAGATGTTTGAATTCAATGTAAATACAGAATGTGATAATCAAGGAGACTTTATCATCCACGTAGCTGTAAAGGGAGGTAACTACACTCTTAATTGTTATTATCATTAATCTTGTGCTGTGAATTTAACTTTTAAGCACTGAATTTTCAGCACATGGCATTTATGGTAATTATAAAAGACAGAGCTTTGCAGGCAAATGTCAGGTTGAAGAGGAAAGATATAAATGAAAGGTACTTTACTCGATATGATTTTTGAGGAGAAATACATGTTCAGTAATAATATAATTTGTAATCTCTGAAAATAATAAAGTACGATATCACAAAACTATCACTGTGAAGTCAAGATGGCTGCCATTTTGGATTTATGATTTGTTATTGCTGTTTATTAGATGTGTCATTCTCAAATTTTTTATGTATGACAACTTGGTCCCTAATTGTGCATTTTCCATTTTTACACTGATTTTGGTTAGGCTCAATTTCAATGTCTTTTCAAAATTAAATTTTCATTGACACTTGATTTGTTTTATTGATATAACTCAATATATCTACTTAAAATAGTTTTAAAAGTTGATGGACATATGAAATTATGGTAAAAAGTACCTACAAAACAAGTGAAGACAAATTCCATTGAAAATGAAAGATTTCGCAGTACTTTGCATTGGTTAGTGTTTGGGGCATTCGTGTCACACCAACACTTCAAGGTTTTTTTCTGATATACTTAGCGATACTTAGTGATAATTTCTGGTACAGGATTTTTAGTCCTCTACACCAGACTCCTTATTTTTTTGATCTGGCTGTGTTTCTCTCATGCCACCTCCGATGTTAATATTGGCTCTATAGTTGTCATAAAGGAGTTCTTGGTCTTCCCATATGATTTCGCTCAAAATCGCATTACCTTGTACCAACACCTTTTATGATGAAAGTATTGTGTTAAGAAAAAGTTGCACTCATTGTGGTTTCTGTATGTTGCGAGCCACTTTTGTCTTTCCTAACTGTCCCGAGCAGAAATGCAGTCTAATATTTCAGACACTGAACATGTATTATATTTATCCGGCAACATTAATTGTAAATTCAGACTATAAACCTTGCAACACAATGTTGTATATTCCTTTTTTTTTTGACCTGATGTTGCCCTTACGCTGAATTTTACCTCATGACTAATACCAAAAGAACTTCAGTGGATTCACCAGTAACAGCAATTTTATGAATTTCATAAGTAAACCTGTAATTATGTCAAATTAATGCATGTGCCAAAATACAGGTGTCTTTCATGACTGCCAGAAACAGATGAAAATATATGTCAAGTGTATTCCGATAATGGCAGTTCCAGTAACAGGATAAAACAATATACACAAATTCATCATTGTGTTAACCAGCTCAAAAGTGATAATACACAAAAAATTTGACTGGTTTGTATACTATATTTGATTTTCCTCTGTAATGTAGGCCTTTGTCAGTTACCACTTCTCATGCTACTGGTAAGAATACAACAGGCTGATGTGGAACTTTGTAACTCTAAGGGAATGACACCTCTGATGATAGCTGCCCAGGCTGGAGATCCCATCTTATGTGAGGTACAGTCAAAGTTTCTTATTCACTAATTGATTGTAATTATGTCCAAACACTTGTATTTTCTTCTTTATTATCGCATATACAGCTAATTCTGTGATGGTGTGGACTAAAGCAAATGTAGATGTTTACTGACTGGTGACTGAGGGGATGTTTAACTTGAGCAGACTAAAGAACATGAAGATGTTTACTGACAGATGACTGAGGGGATGTTAGACTTGAGTAGACTTAAGAACATGTAGATGTTTACTGGCTGGTGACTGAGGGGATGTTAGACTTGAGTAGACTAAAGAACATGAAGATGTTTACTGACAGATGACTGAGGGGATGTTAGACTTGAGTAGACTTAAGAACATGTAGATGTTTACTGACTGGTGACTGAGGGGATATTTAATTTCCATTCTTTCAATATTCATTGTTTACAAATGTTGCTTTCCTGTAGGTTTTGATTTGTGTGTTTGGAGCCAGCCCCAACAAGTGTAATGTTAATAATGGAAAGAGTGCTCTTCACTATGCAGCCCAGTACAACCATGTGGACACTGTCAGGTACAATACTATACACAATGTCTCATATCTGATGTTTCATAAGCCTTTCATAATACACCAAAACCATTTTGTATTCAGAATATCTAATGAGCAGTTATCATTTCTTTATGTGACCTTCCAGTTAAGGTCAGATTTAGAGTTAGAAACACTGGGGATGGGGGCATTTTTCACAAGGTCAGATTTAGAGTTAGACACACTGGGGATGGGGGCATTTTTCACAAGGTCATATTAAGAGTTAGAAACACTGAGGGATGGGGGCCTTTTTCACAAGGTCAGATTTAGATTTAAAAACACTGGGGATTGGGGTCTTTTTCACAAGATCATATTTACAGTTAGAAAACACTGGGAGATGAAGGCCTTTTTCACAAGGTCATATTTACAGTTAGAAAACACTGGGAGATGAGGGCCTTTTTCACATATCAGTGTACTATATTATGCATGTATTTCAATGTTTCAGCTCTTTGATTCGCTGTGGAGCTGACTTTAATAGGGAAGATCACAATGGAATGAGACCTGACGATATTGGTATGAGGGGTTATGGGGAGGACTGTCTTAATATTATATCTGTACTCAGGACACAGAGATGTGAAAACCTCAGTCGCCTCACGGTTGAGGTAAGTTAGAGTGTAAAAATCTCCCTCAAACTGGAAATAGAAAGGTTTCAGCATCAGTCAATGGAATAATCTTAGGTTACGTAATTCACCTCATTGATATCAAGTATACTGCAGGGTGAAGTGAGTGTAGTATTTAAAAAGTCAAGGAACAGTTTCCCTGGTTTTACAAATCTTCTTACATACCAGAATTAGAATGATGATTTCTGGTCTCTCATTACCAGGTAAGAAACTTGCAAGTTGAAATTGAAGGTTTTATCTCTAGGGTAAACTTCGACCACAAGATCTGAGAGAGTCTGACCTGAGTGTGGTGAATGTTGACGGGTTCACTCTTCTAATGATGGCTGCTCTATATAACAGGTGAGTTTATGGCTGGGTTTGTTTTGTCTGTGTATAGCCCTAACTTGCTTATTATTCTGGCAATATTAACTAACATTAGTACAACCACAATGTCTTTGAAATATGAATTAAATGAATATACAAGTATACAATAAACAGATACAATATAAAATTGATAAAAATTTGTGAAAAATCTGTATGGCATCAAGATTTTGTAAATATCTCAATTTTTTAACAATCCTAATTATCAACATTTACACTAGACATGAAGAGGATATTTAGTGGAAATCACATATGTACTAATATGAAATATATTATAAATGATATTTAACAGAAAACCATTGAATTTTTACTGTAAATACATTTTTAAAGGAGAATAAAGCTGTTTTAAATGTAAAATTGATATTCATTAAAGTTCAGCAAATATCAATATGTTCATAGCTATTTGATAGTTTGATATTATACCAGACTGGATTTCCTGCCATAGTTGTAATACCCTCTGCTAGACATTGGTTTGAGATGACAGATCCAGACTAGATCAATTCTGTCCATTTCATTGACCATTATTTATGCATACCAAGGGGTTTGTACTTTCCAAGATAGTGTCTAGGGATCTTCTTGGATGTTTGCATTCATCATTTAGAATTAAATGTAAAAGTCACATGTTAGACCCTCACATGTTGCCTTTTTACCAGTCATTCTCCAATGAAAACTGGCTTCTCAACCACAGGAGAAGTCGTAGGAGATGTTCACCCATTGTTGTACACATGGTTACATCATCCCGATGCACACTTTTGTGTAATAACAAATCAAAGCCACATGTTGTATACATTATTATGATCTTACATGATGATGTATAGACTGTTCAGATCGTCCACGTCCATGGTTCATTGTCCATCTATCATTAAACAATTCTAGTTATTGCTGTTTGTTGAAAAATATTTCTCCAAATTTGATGTTTAGCTCACCTGGCCCAAAGGGCCATCTGTCCATCAACTTTTTTCTACAAATTGGTTCGAGTCGTGAACGACCAAGCAGATTTGGATCATTTTTTAGAAGCATCCTTTGGAGAAGAGGCACAAATTTTGTATAAATGGTGGGTCTGAAGGGTGAAGGGGAATCAATTTTGTATGAAAGGTGGGTCGTGTCATCCTGGGGTGGGAAATGTGGGGCCCAATAGTGGAAAAAGAATCAATTTTTTAATATCCTACTCCTCCTCCTGTATTAATGAATTGATATTTCCCAAATTTAGTCTGAAGTATTCTTGTGTGGGGGCAATCAGTTGTGTATAAATAATGGAATACAGCCCCTAATATTGTATAGGTGTGTAGTCGTCTCAGCCTCCTTGGGCAGAAGGGGCAGGGCCCAATAAGGGAAACTTAACTTCTTAAAAATCCTTCTTCCAGACAAGGATATTGTCCAAGTTTGGTCTGAAGCAATTTCATGAATAGTGAATTTGACTACTGGGTTTCTGGTAGATATGTTTAGTTGACACCTGTCTGTTGGGTTTCTGGTAGATATGTTTAGTTGACACCTGTCTGTTCGGTTTCTGGTAGATATGTGTAGTTGTTACCTGTCTGTTGGGTTTCTGGTAGATATGTTTATTTGGTACCTGTCTATTTGGTTTCTGGTAGATATGTTTAGTTGACACCTGTCTATTGGGTTTCTGGTAGATATGTGTAGTTGTTACCTGTCTGTTGGGTTTCTGGTAGATATGTTTAGTTGGTACCTGTCTGTTGGGTTTCTGGTAGATATGTTTAGTTTACACCTGTCTATTCGGTTTCTGGTAGATATGTTTAGTTGGTACCTGTCTATTCGGTTTCTGGTAGATATGTTTAGTTGGTACCTGTCTATTGGGTTTCTGGTAGATATGTTTAGTTGGCACCTGTCTATTCGGTTTCTGGTAGATATGTTTAGTTGGTACCTGTCTGTTGGGTTTCTGGTAGATATGTGTAGTTGTTACCTGTCTGTTGGGTTTCTGGTAGATATGTTTAGTTGATACCTGTCTATTCGGTTTCTGGTAGATATGTTTAGTTTACACCTGTCTATTCGGTTTCTGGTAGATATGTTTAGTTTACACCTGTCTATTCGGTTTCTGGTAGATATGTTTAGTTGGTACCTGTCTATTGGGTTTCTGGTAGATATGTTTAGTTGGCACCTGTCTATTCGGTTTCTGGTAGATATGTTTAGTTGGCACCTGTCTATTCGGTTTCTGGTAGATATGTGTAGTTGTTACCTGTCTGTTGGGTTTCTGGTAGATATGTTTAGTTTGTACCTGTCTGTTGGGTTTCTGGTAGATATGTTTAGTTGGTACCTGTCTGTTGGGTTTCTGGTAGATATGTTGAGTTGGTACCTGTCTGTTGGGTTTCTGGTAGATATGTGTAGTTGTTACCTGTCTGTTGGGTTTCTGGTAGATATGTTTAGTTGTTACCTATCTATTGGGTTTCTGGTAGATATGTGTAGTTGTTACCTGTCTGTTGGGTTTCTGGTAGATATGTTTAGTTGGTACCTGTCTGTTGGGTTTCTGGTAGATATGTTGAGTTGATACCTGTCTGTTGGGTTTCTGGTAGATATGTTGAGTTGGTACCTGTCTGTTGGGTTTCTTGTAGATATGTTGAGTTGGTACCTGTCTGTTGGGTTTCTGGTAGATATATTTAGTTGGTACCTGTCTGTTGGGTTTCTGGTAGATATATTTAGTTGTTACCTGTCTGTTGGGTTTCTGGTAGATATGTTTAGTTGTTACCTATCTATTGGGTTTCTGGTAGATATGTGTAGTTGTTACCTGTCTGTTGGGTTTCTGGTAGATATGTTTAGTTGGTACCTGTCTATTCGGTTTCTGGTAGATATGTTTAGTTGGTACCTGTCTGTTGGGTTTCTGGTAGATATGTGTAGTTGTTACCTGTCTGTTGGGTTTCTGGTAGATATGTTTAGTTGACACCTGTCTATTGGGTTTCTGGTAGATATGTTTAGTTGACACCTGGTAGATATGTTTAGTTGACACCTGTCTATTGGGTTTCTGGTAGATATGTTTATTTGGTACCTGTCTATTGGGTTTCTGTTAGATATGTTTAGTTGACACCTGTCTATTGGGTTTCTGGTAGATATGTTTAGTTGTTGGGTTTCTGGTAGATATGTTGAGTTGGTACCTGTCTGTTGGGTTTCTGGTAGATATGTTTAGTTGGTACCTGTCTGTTGGGTTTCTGGTAGATATGTTGAGTTGTTACCTGTCTGTTGGGTTTCTGGTAGATATGTGTAGTTGTTACCTGTCTGTTGGGTTTCTGGTAGATATGTTTAGTTGTTACCTATCTATTGGGTTTCTGGTAGATATGTGTAGTTGTTACCTGTCTGTTGGGTTTCTGGTAGATATGTTTAGTTGGTACCTGTCTGTTGGGTTTCTGGTAGATATGTTGAGTTGGTACCTGTCTGTTGGGTTTCTGGTAGATATGTTGAGTTGGTACCTGTCTGTTGGGTTTCTGGTAGATATGTTTAGTTGGTACCTGTCTGTTGGGTTTCTGGTAGATATATTTAGTTGGTACCTGTATGTTGGGTTTCTGGTAGATATATTTAGTAGGTACCTATCTATTGGTTTTCTGATAGATATGTTTGTTGGTACCTGTCTATTGGGTTTCTGGTAGATATGTTTAGTTGGTACCTGTCTGTTGGGTTTCTGGTAGATATGTTTAGTTGGTACCTGTCTGTTGGGTTTCTGGTAGATATGTTTAGTTGGTACCTGTCTGTTGGGTTTCTGGTAGATATGTTTTGTTGGTACCTGTCTGTTGGGTTTCTGGTAGATATGTTTAGTTGGTACCTGTCTGTTGGGTTTCTGGTAGATATGTTTAGTTGGTACCTGTCTGTTGGGTTTCTGGTAGATATGTTTTGTTGGTACCTGTCTGTTGGGTTTCTGGTAGATATATTTAGTTGTTACCTATCTATTGGGTTTCTGGTAGATATGTGTAGTTGTTACCTGTCTGTTGGGTTTCTGGTAGATATGTTTAGTTGGTACCTGTCTGTTGGGTTTCTGGTAGATATGTTTTGTTGGTACCTGTCTGTTGGGTTTCTGGTAGATATGTTTTGTTGGTACCTGTCTGTTGGGTTTCTGGTAGATATGTTTTGTTGGTACCTGTCTGTTGGGTTTCTGGTAGATATATTTAGTTGGTACCTGTCTGTTGGGTTTCTGGTAGATATGTTTAGTTGTTACCTGTCTGTTGGGTTTCTGGTAGATATGTTTAGTTGGTACCTGTCTGTTGGGTTTCTGGTAGATATGTTTAGTTGGTACCTGTCTGTTGGGTTTCTGGTAGATATGTTTTGTTGGTACCTGTCTATTGGGTTTCTGGTAGATATGTTTAGTTGACACCTGTCTGTTGGGTTTCTGGTAGATATGTTTAGTTGACACCTGTCTGTTGGGTTTCTGGTAGATATGTTTAGTTGACACCTGTCTGTTGGGTTTCTGGTAGATATGTTTAGTTGACACCTGTCTGTTGGGTTTCTGGTAGATATGTTTAGTTGACACCTGTCTGTTGGGTTTCTGGTAGATATGTTTAGTTGGTATGTGTCTATTGGGTTTCTGGTAGATATGTTTAGTTGGTACCTGTCTATTGGGTTTCTGGTAGATATGTTGAGTTGGTACCTGTCTATTGGGTTTCTGGTAGATATGTTGAGTTGGTACCTGTCTATTGGGTTTCTGGAAGATATATTTAGTAGGTACCTGTCTATTTGGTTTCTGGTAGATATGTTTAGTTGGTACCTGTCTGTTGGGCTTCTGGTAGATATATTTAGTTGACACCTGTCTGTTGGGTCTCTGGTAGATATGTTTAGTTGGTACCTGTCTGTTGGGTTTCTGGTAGATATGTTTAGTTGGTACCTGTCTGTTGGGTTTCTGGTAGATATGTTTAGTTGGTACCTGTCTGTTGGGTTTCTGGTAGATATGTTTAGTTGGTGCCTGTCTATTGGGTTTCTGGTAGATATGTTTTGTTGGTACCTGTCTATTGGGTTTCTGGTAGATATGTTTAGTTGGTACCTGTCTATTGGGTTTCTGGTAGATATGTTTTGTTGGTACCTGTCTGTTGGGTTTCTGGTAGATATGTTTAGTTGACACCTGTCTGTTGGGTTTCTGGTAGATATGTTTAGTTGACACCTGTCTGTTGGGTTTCTGGTAGATATGTTTAGTTGACACCTGTCTGTTGGGTTTCTGGTAGATATGTTTAGTTGACACCTGTCTGTTGGGTTTCTGGTAGATATGTTTAGTTGGTGCCTGTCTATTGGGTTTCTGGTAGATATGTTTAGTTGGTACCTGTCTATTGGGTTTCTGGTAGATATGTTTTGTTGGTACCTGTCTATTGGGTTTCTGGTAGATATGTTTAGTTGACACCTGTCTGTTGGGTTTCTGGTAGATATGTTTTGTTTGTACCTGTCTATTGGGTTTCTGGTAGATATGTTTAGTTGGTACCTGTCTATTGGGTTTCTGGTAGATATGTTTTGTTGACACCTGTCTGTTGGGTTTCTGGTAGATATGTTTAGTTGACACCTGTCTGTTGGGTTTCTGGTAGATATGTTTAGTTGGTACCTGTCTGTTGGGTTTCTGGTAGATATGTTTAGTTGGTACCTGTCTGTTGGGTTTCTGGTAGATATGTTTAGTTGATACCTGTCTGTTGGGTTTCTGGTAGATATGTTTAGTTGATACCTGTCTGTTGGGTTTCTGGTAGATATGTTTAGTTGATACCTGTCTGTTGGGTTTCTGGTAGATATGTTTAGTTGGTACCTGTCTGTTGGGTTTCTGGTAGATATGTTTAGTTGACACCTGTCTGTTGGGTTTCTGGTAGATATGTTTAGTTGACACCTGTCTGTTGGGTTTCTGGTAGATATGTTGAGTTGACACCTGTCTATTGGGTTTCTGGTAGATATGTTTTGTTGGTACCTGTCTGTTGGGTTTCTGGTAGATATGTTTAGTTGGTACCTGTCTGTTGGGTTTCTGGTAGATATGTTTAGTTGGTACCTGTCTGTTGGGTTTCTGGTAGATATGTTTAGTTTGTACCTGTCTGTTGGGTTTCTGGTAGATATGTTTAGTTGATACCTGTCTGTTGGGTTTCTGGTAGATATGTTTAGTTGATACCTGTCTATTGGGTTTCTGGTAGATATGTTTAGTTGCTACCTGTCTGTTGGGTTTCTGGTAGATATGTTTAGTTGATACCTGTCTGTTGGGTTTCTGGTAGATATGTTTAGTTGGTACCTGTCTGTTGGGTTTCTGGTAGATATGTTCCATGACTTGTCCTGGTAGGCAGCACAGTCTATTGTTTCTGGTAGGTGAAACAAGAACCTTACTACTACAGTGTTGGCTGGTGAGATGTGAACACCAGTTACACACATTACAGTCTCTTCTGTAGAAACATCTTTTACATTGTTCTTTGACATTTTTTAAAAATATTTCAATGAGATGGAAATTACGTTTAATAGGTTACTTTGTAACTGATATAGAATAAAAACCTAATAAGAGCTAGGTCAGATGGCTGTATTTTATGTATCAATAATTCATGATAATTGATTCTGATTACAGAGTGGACAGCATGAAGGTCATACTGGATTTTGACAGCAGCAAAATAAAGTCCTATATTGATGCTCAATATTTCCAGGTAAACTTTTCTGATTATTTAAACTCGGTGTCCAAATTAAAATGTCCAAAACCATACCTCTGGATTAAAATCATGCATTTGGGGATACATGTAGGTCACAGGACCTGAAGTCTTACACTTAGAAATTTTATGAGAGAAAATTGAAGTAGCCTGCACTGATAGAATGCCAGTGGACTATTTGATTAATGTATTAGTTTTAAAAATGACAAAAAGATTTTGAGGAAATGATTATAGTTACTTGGTTTGTTATATTTGTGTAGATGACAGGTGTGTGTAAGGAAGGCCTCCAAACAGGAATGACTACCCTGGCTATAGCTGCTCATTGTGGACACACGGTTTGTGTGAGGATGCTGCTCCAGTAAGTCTGGGTGACACATGGATTTCATAAGTAAACAGAAATTTTGAAGTGAGGATGATTAAAACATTACTTGATTACAACTTATACAAAACCTCTGATAGTTATACTAACTTTTTAAGTATTACTATCAATTGATCATTCTCAATATTTACTTGTCGTAATCACCTGTACACACACTCATGATGGCCATCTGTTGTCTTAGTTGTCATGTTCATGTATTTCTTAAGAGACATCCTCAGGTTACTTCAGCTGTTATCCCTTTTAATTTCCATTTCAGACGGGGAGCTACCCCTGTGATTTGTGATGTTGAAGGCTATCTGCCATTACACCATGCTGTGTTAGAAAACATGGAGGAAGTTGTGGATGCAATGTTGGTTCCTGAATATTTTCCTTCTACATACAGTGTATGTCTTAATTTACTTATTAACTTTTGTTCAGGACCAGTTTAACTAGGAAGTTGTTTACCTTAAATGGCAGCTGCTATTGACTTAACCTTAAAGAAGTTATGTTCCTTGGCCTTGATGAAGTTATATGGTCCTTAGCCTTGATGAAGTTATATGGTCCTTAGCCTTGATGAAGTTATATGGTCCTTAGCCTTGATGAAGTTATATGGTCCTTAGCCTTGATGAAGTTATATGGTCCTTAGCCTTGATGAAGTTATATGGTCCTTAGCCTTGAGGGCATTATATGGTCCTTAGCCTTGATGAAGTTATGATCCTTAGCCTTAATGAAGTTATCGTCCTTAGCCTTAATGAAGTTATGGTCCTTGGCAGGCTGGGAGTGCTATGGTCCTTATCCTTGAGGAAGTTGTAGTACTAAGCCTTGAGGGCTTTTTGGTCCATAGCCTTGAGGATATTATGGTGCTTGGCCTTGAGGGCACTATGGTTCTTATTCTTGAGGAAGTTATGGTGCTTGGCCTTGAGGGCTTTATGGTTCATAGCCTTGAGGATGTTATGGTGCTTGGCCTTGAGGGTGCTCTGGTCCTTAGCTTCATTTACAACAGTACTGTTACACAATTTTCTCATCAAATATAAAAGGTACATTACAGATGTACAGTTTTCTTGTCAAGTGTTCTAGGTACGGTACTGGCATGCATTTTTCCTGCATAAGTGTACATGTAATTGTAACTTGATCGACTTTTGACAGAGAGACAAGATTGTATATGCAAACATCTGTAAAAAAAATATTGTTCCATCAGCAATACTTTTGAAAAATGAACTGGTGAGAGAGCTGTCCAAACTAAAATATAATGCAGTTTTAACTGCTGCACATTGAAATAAAATTGGCGAATCCATGTTTCAGGTTTCAGGGATCAAGATCTCATAACTGTTTATGAAAATGTTTAAGCAAGTTTGTTAATCAGCACAGAAACAAAGAGGGTTCATGTCTTGGATATTTTGTAGTCTGTCGTTTGATCTGTCTATTGTTTATTTTCTGTTTTCAGGGTTTACACCAAGCCTGCCTAATGAGTAAGACTGCATCTTTAGACAGAAAACTACGAGATGCTTGGAAATTGTAATTGATTTATACTCAGTTTCATTTCTACAAAAATAACCAATTCAGATAAATTGCTTCATACAAAAATTCAAAATAAAATCACATTATTCCACAGAGGTAAAATCATCATTTGACGATGGTGGGCTATTTAAATCACTACCTCTGTTGTCTCTCTGTCTTTCAATACACAATTCTAGTCATTCCTATTTCTTGAGAAGTACTGAATGAACTTTTCTCATAGTTATGATGGTTGCTCTTGGTCCTTAGTTGTACACTCTTGACTTTGGGATGATCAGAAAAATAAAATGGCTGATAGGTGGCCATCTTGGCTTCTGACAGTGAAAGTTTGTTATCATTATTTCTTAAGAAGTACTCGAATCTTTCTGAGATTTTGTATAATGTAGGTTATGCTTTGTCTTACTTGTGTCCTTTTGGTTTTGGGACTGATCAGAAAACAAAATGGCCAAATTCCTTATCATGAAGAACAAGAACTGAAGAAAAGATAGAAAAAAAAAGAAAAAGATCCAACTTTATGAAAGAAATAAAGTGCAAAATTATGATGGGTGCCAAGATCCCTCTTGGATATCTTGTTAAGCACCCAATGATGAAATAAATTTTGCAATGATCACCCTTTCACATAGACAGGCAGATGTCCATCTTTTCATGTTAACTTTTCTTCGACCTCAGTCTACCTATTGTAATTCTTGTCATTATCAATTTGAACTGATAATACAGTGGTTCTTTATGTAGATAACATCCATGAGTTCTAACATTCTGGCTTTATAAGGTCAAAGTCACAGTTACTTAGATAAATTTGCTTTTGAAACAATGAGAGCTCAAACATGTTCTCACCACTGTTGCTACTATTACAGTACAAGGGCCCTTAGTAAAGTCTGGTGTGACAGTGAAAACAGAATAATGAGCCCCTTGCTGTACACTATAATCAGCTGTGTTTGTTTATCACAGACGACAAAAGAAAATCGTGATGACTGAGTTGATGTCATGTGCAATGAATGGGAAAGCAGAGGAACTTTATTGCCTCCTCGAAGATGGCGACAACATTAATTCACAGGTGAGAGACGTTTTACATATAGAAATGTTGTTTAAGGATGGATGGACCATTAAGGGCATATCTGTGCATGTCCCTGCTCAATATATTTGATATACAAGATACACTCATATAATTCAGCCAGACAAGTAGCTGGTATAATTCAGCCAGACGAGATGCTGGTATAATTCAGCCAGACGAGAAGCTGGTATAATTCAGCCAGACGAGAAGCTGGTATAATTCAGCCAGACGAGATGCTGGTATAATTCAGCCAGACGAGATGCTGGTATAATTCAGCCAGACGAGATGCTGGTATAATTCAGCCAGACGAGATGCTGGTATAATTCAGCCAGATGAGATGCTGGTATAATTCTGCAGAATTCTTGTGATGTACCTTCCCTTTGTTACTCTCTGCTTTTGTGTTTTCTCACAGACTGGTGTTGGCAGTTATCCCTTATACCTTGCTGCAGAAAATGGCCATTTGGAAGTTGTCAGACTTTTGTGTGAGGTATAGTTGAAATGTGTTTATAGTTACAGAATTGCGTTGGTGTGTGTCTGTAGTTACAGAGTTGAGTTGGTTTGTGTCTTTTATAATTTGATCTTTGATTTCAGAGAGGAGCAGATGTGAGACAGCGCCATGTTTCTGCTGGGTCCACAGCCCTACATATAGCAGCTAGGATGGGCAAACTGGACGTTGTCCAATATCTCCTCAAGTTCACTTCCACATATAGTGATTTGGAAAATCGAAGTCAGTGTGGTGGACACAAAATTGATGTTAATGCTGTGAATTCTGATGGAAAGACACCTCTACAGTTAGCTGCTGAGAATGGTTTGTTGCTGTCTGATTAGATGAAAAGTTCAATAAATTAGAAAGAAATTGATGTGGTATGCTTCAAAGCAAACTCTTATCAATAGGGGATATATGTTTCTTATTAAACCACTCTATAATATATATATATAGATGTAATAAGTATATGCAAAACCCTTTAACTGGCAAATTCTGAGACTTCTTTTGAGTATATGCTAATTGCCCTCCAAAAAAAAACAACACAAAAGCAAAAAAAAAAATAAAAATGAAAAATAAAGATAAAAAAAGAAACCACATTTGTAAAGGATATGAAACTTCATGAAGTACAGTGTACAGTCACACTTTGGACACATCCACCCTGTATCTCTTTGATTTTCTTCAATGACATCACAATGGGAGAGTTGAGAAAGTTACAGCTTACAAAGGACATGGCACTGATAACAGAGTAGTTGATATGTGATAAGTTGTAATCTATCTACACTGAAGAATTTGCTCGAGATATCAAAGAGGAAAATTATATCATTATTATCTATGTCACTTTTCATTTCTATAACAGGCTACATACGAATCGTGAAACTGCTGTTGTCACAGGGAGCAACAACAGCACTTCTCAATACGAACGGTGTCCTGTTCTCTCTACCGGAGTACGCTTATGGTGGAGTGTTTAATGAAATAGAGTACCATCGACACAAACACACAAATGAGGTGATGAAACTCATACGGGACAAATCCAAAAAGAGGCTGCAGGAGCTTCGAAAGATATGGATGGTATGTTGAATTTAGCTCATATATATTCTTCCTTTATTACCTTTCCAATTGTAAGCATCTTGTTGTTAATTTTTTGACAATGATAATTATAACACTATGTAACCACCACACACTGCTTACTTAAGTGTAACCACCTAACACTTTTTACTCAAATATTACTGCCTGAATTTAAGTCACACAATGGAGCCACACAATTTGATATTTGGAGCTCTTGGCCTCATATTGGTAAGAAATAATATTTATGCTGCCTCATACTCTCAACTTTGACATTCATAAATATTTATTTACACCTAAGTCTGTAATCTGCACCATTTTTTTTAGAATATTTATTTTTAACTTTTAAAGCTTTGCATTCCCTGTTATTTTTCAAGCCTCGATTTGATCACAACCTGCGGGACAGAAATGGTGACACACCATTGATGGTTGCGTGTAAACTGGGTCGTACTGAGGTGGTAAACTTCCTGTTAACATCAGCTGTCTACAAGCAAGTCAACACAGATTCTGACCCTGGGTATGTTTGTCCTTACTAGTTTGGTGAGGCTGCATTGGGAGAAGACATTTCTATAATACTGTTATATTTGTGGTCTGGAATCAGGAGAAGACATTTCTATAATACTGTTATATTTGTGGTCTGGAATCAGGAGAAGACATTTCTATAATACTGTTATATTTGTGGTCTGAGTTGGGAGAAGACATTTCTGTAATACTGTTATATTTGTGGTCTGAGTTGGGAGAAGACATTGTGGTCTGTAGTTGGGAGAAGACATTTCTATAATACTGTTATAGTTGTGGTCTGAGTTGGGAGAAGACATTTCTGTAATACTGTTATATTTGTGGTCTGTAGTTGGTAGAAGACATTTCTATAATACTGTTATATTTGTGGTCTGTAGTTGGGAGAAGACATTTCTATAATACTGTTATATTTGTGGTCTGAGTTGGGAGAAGACATTTCTATAATACTGTTATATTTGTGGTCTGAGTTGGGAGAAGACATTTCTTTAATACTGTTATATTTGTGGTCTGAGTTGGGAGAAGACATTTCTTTAATACTGTTATATTTGTGGTCTGAGTTGGGAGAAGACATTTCTGTAATACTGTTACATCTTTGGTCTGACTTGGGAGAAGACATTTCTGTAATACTGTTATATTTGTGGTCTGGAATCAGGAGAAGACATTTCTATAATACTGTTATATTTGTGGTCTGAGTTGGGAGAAGACATTTCTATAATACTGTTATATTTGTGGTCTGAGTTGGGAGAAGACATTTCTGTAATACTGTTATATTTGTGGTCTGAGTTGGGAGAAGACATTGTGGTCTGTAGTTGGGAGAAGACATTTCTATAATACTGTTATATTTGTGGTCTGAGTTGGGAGAAGACATTTCTGTAATACTGTTACATCTTTGGTCTGACTTGGGAGAAGACATTTCTGTAATACTGTTATATTTGTGGTCTGGAATCAGGAGAAGACATTTCTATAATACTGTTATATCTGTGGTCTGACTTGGGAGAAGACATTTCTGTAATACTGTTATATTTGTGGTCTGAGGTGGGAGAAGACATTGTGGTCTGTAGTTGGGAGAAGACATTCCTATAATACTGTTATAGTTGTGGTTTGAGTTGGGAGAAGACATTTCTGTAATACTGTTATATTTGTGGTCTGAGTTGGGAGAAGACATTTCTGTAATACTGTTATATTTGTGGTCTGAGTTGGGAGAAGACATTTCTATAATATACTGTTATATTTGTGGTCTGAGTTGGGAGAAGACATTTCTATAATACTGTTATATTTGTGGTCTGTAGTTGGGAGAAGACATTTCTATAATACTGTTATATTTGTGGTCTGAGTTGGGAGAAGACATTTCTATAATACTGTTATATTTGTGGTCTGAGTTGGGAGAAGACATTTCTATAATACTGTTATATTTGTGGTCTGAGTTGGGAGAAGACATTGTGGTCTGAGTTGGGAGAAGACATTTCTATAATACTGTTATATTTGTGGTCTGAGTTGGGAGAAGACATTTCTATAATACTGTTATAGTTGTGGTCTGAGTTGGGAGAAGACATTGTGGTCTGTAGTTGGGAGAAGACATTTCTATAATACTGTTATAGTTGTGGTCTGAGTTGGAAGAAGACATTTCCACATGCTGTTCAGTGTGCTGCTTGCTTGAATTGAGGTATAGTATTAAGATAATCTATGACAAACATGTAAAGCTACAACTGTGAAATTAGTAAAAATTTCTGGTACATTCACTACATAATGTTTGTATGTTTCGTGTCTACATGTATCGAAAAAAAATATCAATGAGAGTTGTTTCCCTTGATAGCCGACTTTTTAACGATTACCAACCACATCATCTTGTCTTGGTGAGTTTAACACTAGAATGTGAACACTGAATTGTTATACATGTATCTTGGGGAATATGCTATTGGTTAATGTGGTACAGTATATCGATATGTTGTTTTCCCTTATAAATCTGTATTTATCTGTTTATTTTGCATGAGATGGTCTGTTGGTCAGTATTTAAACAGCATATCTATTGTGTTACAATATTATCTATTTGTTTTACAAGAGATGGTCTGTTGGTCAGTATATAAACAGCATATCTATTGTGTAACAATATTATCTATTTGTTTTACAAGAGATGGTCGGTTGATCAGTATTTCAAACAGCATTTTATTGTGTAAAAACCTTAATATCAGCTTGTTTCAAACTAAGCAATTATCATTTAATTTTTTTTCTCGCTCTTTAATGCTTGTTAAAATGGTCAAGATATTTTGTCTATTTCACCTTCATCTGATGGTAGCAAATGTGGAGATGGACCTTTATCGCTGAATAACAAACGTGTGCGATTAATCTCTCTCTGTGTTTGAGATTTATGTGTAAAGGATATTTAGTAACTTACATCAAATTCCCAGCATGAGTTTTCGTCTACTGTAAAATTACTCATTAGGTTCAAATTTCATGATTATCAAAACTGAATTCCTGTTTCATGGTTATATCATTTCATGAATGGATGGCACTAAGCATGACTCCTATTTTTAACACTCTTGTTAAATTTGATTGTTAACTATTCAGTACAGGACCAGTAATTTTTTTTATTCTGAAATAAAGTTTGATTTTTAACCATTCCATAGGGAACCAGTAATTCTTTTTACCCAAGGTATACCCACAAATTCTCAGTCATGGAAGTTAATGATTTGACAGTACTTACCTTATGGGCACATGTTTTAATTGGATAGAAACTCCATGTATTTTAGTGATAAATTCATTGTTAATAAAGTCATTAAGTACATTTTTATTGTTTAACTCCAGGAGTTTGTAAGACTGTGCTGTGTGTTACAGGTCCGACTCAGACACGGACTCGGGAGTGCTTGACACTGCGACAGTTACCAGTGATAACACAAGGCTAGAAGGTATAGATTCAAGAACAGAAAAACATTTGTAGTAATTTGGTACGTTTGATGGTGGTGTAAGACAAAATCAATAAGGACAGAATGTGGATTAAAAATTGAATTGGTAAAACAATGTCAGTTAAGAAAGGCAGTGGATTTAAAACTGAATTTGTAAATCGATGTCAATTAGGACAGACAGTGGATTTAAAATTTAACTACAAGTAGTTAATCAAAACTCTAATAGTCAATGAAATACAAAACGATTTTATTACCATAGCTTAATATTTTTCATCTTGTGTGACATTGTCCTTGAAATGATGTCTGCACCATATTGTGTGACATCGTCATTGACATGATGTCTGCACCATATTGTGTGACGTTGTCCTTGACATGATGTCTGCAACATATTGTGTGACGTTGTCCTTGACATGATGCCTGCACCATATTGTGTGACGTTGTCCTTGACAGGATGTTTGCACCATATTGTGTGACGTTGTACTTGGCATGATGTCTGCACCATATTGTGTGACGTTGTCCTTGGCATGATGTCTGCACCATATTGTGTGACGTTGTCCTTGGCATGATGTCTGCACCATATTGTGTGATGTTGTCCTTGGCATGATGTCTGCACCATATTGTGTGACGTCCTTGACATGATGCCTGCACCATATTGTGTGACGTTGTCCTTGACATGATGCCTGCACCATATTGTGTGATGTTGTCCTTGACATGATGTCTGCACCATATTGTGTGATATTGTCCAACAACATTTTGAACAGGTTGTCGTCTATGATATTCTACTTGTAGGAATTGCTTACTGATCAGCTACTGGTAGACAGAAAAACATTTGTAGTAATTTGGTACGTTTGATGGTGGTGTAAGACAAAATCAATAAGGACAGAATGTGGATTAAAAATTGAATTGGTAAAACAATGTCAGTTAAGAAAGGCAGTGGATTTAAAACTGAATTTGTAAATCGATGTCAATTAGGACAGACAGTGGATTTAAAATTTAACTACAAGTAGTTAATCAAAACTCTAATAGTCAATGAAATACAAAACGATTTTATTACCATAGCTTAATATTTTTCATCTTGTGTGACATTGTCCTTGAAATGATGTCTGCACCATATTGTGTGACATCGTCATTGACATGATGTCTGCACCATATTGTGTGACGTTGTCCTTGACATGATGTCTGCAACATATTGTGTGACGTTGTCCTTGACATGATGCCTGCACCATATTGTGTGACGTTGTCCTTGACAGGATGTTTGCACCATATTGTGTGACGTTGTCCTTGGCATGATGTCTGCACCATATTGTGTGACGTTGTCCTTGACATGATGCCTGCACCATATTGTGTGACGTTGTCCTTGGCATGATGTCTGCACCATATTGTGTGACGTTGTCCTTGGCATGATGTCTGCACCATATTGTGTGACGTTGTCCTTGACATGATGCCTGCACCATATTGTGTGACGTTGTCCTTGGCATGATGTCTGCACCATATTGTGTGACGTTGTCCTTGACATGATGCCTGCACCATATTGTGTGATGTTGTCCTTGACATGATGCCTGCACCATATTGTGTGATGTTGTCCTTGACATGATGTCTGCACCATATTGTGTGATGTTGTCCAACAACATTTTGAACAGGTTGTCGTCTATGATATTCTACTTGTAGGAATTGCTTACTGATCAGCTACTGGTAGACAGAACAATTCCTTACTAAGAAATAGGTACTACTTGTAGACTGACCGATTCCTGAGTAAGAAATAGGTACTACTTGTAGACTGACCGATTCCTGAGTAAGAAATAGGTACTACTAGTACACTGACCGATTCCTGAGTAAGAAATAGGTACTACTAGTACACTGACCGATTCCTGAGTAAGAAATAGGTACTACTAGTACACTGACCGATTCCTGAGTAAGAAATAGGTACTACTTGTAGACTGATCGATTCCTGAGTAAGAAATAGGTACTACTAGTACACTGACCGATTCCTGAGTAAGAAATAGGTACTACTTGTAGACTGACCGATTCCTGAGTAAGAAATAGGTACTACTAGTACACTGACCGATTCCTGAGTAAGAAATAGGTACTACTTGTAGACTGACCGATTCCTGAGTAAGAAATAGGTACTACTTGTACACTGACCGATTCCTGAGTAAGAAATAGGTACTACTTGTACACTGACCGATTCCTGAGTAAGAAATAGGTACTACTTGTACACTGACCGAATCCTGAGTAAGAAATAGGTACTACTTGTAGACTGACCGATTCCTGAGTGAATTGTAGTACATTTATCTCTTATTTCTTTGCAGGTTATGAAGACTCATTTGAAAACAAAAGCTCAACATTGCAGAGGAAGAATTCTGAGTCTGACAGTGGTGAAACAGGAAAAGGACATTGGTAAGTGTGGTGACATGATAACCAACAGACAATGGTAAGTGTTTGTATTTGCTTGCGAGGGCTCCTAGAAGGATTGATATAGATGATGTTGTATATGCCGTTACACATGCTGACACTTGATATTTATATTCCAGGGGTCAGAGGAGCGGAGAAAGCTCTCGACCTCCAAGCCGAGTGGAGAGCCTTCTTAGTGATGTAGATAAGCCAAAAGGACTGTCCATCTATCATGGTAGGTTGGTTTTACTTCAATATACAGTCAGTGCTAAGAATTCTTCTGAATGTAGCTGTACTAACAACAAGTTACTATTTTCCTAGAAGGAAAGCATACCATTGGGTTACACTCTGGCTCCTCCTCTGGAGGCAAATCTCTCTTGATAAGCAGGTCAAAGTCAGCACTTCATGTAGATGCTTGGACTGACTGACCTCTATGTGGCAGACATTTTTTTATTAGCCATGACAAGAAGCAAGAAGGATACAAAAGTCCTTCAAACATAAATAGGTAACTTAGGATTTCATTCGGTTTCTAGACTAAAAGCACACCAGGCCTCATGAAGTTTGCCAAAAGTAATTACCTGTGCTTTGAGGTCAAAGGGGTCAAAGTTGTTAAAACAAATATCTGTTGATTAATTGAGAGGTCTAGAATTATGATATTTTAGCCTAAAACTGTCTGAGAGGAAGCCCAACAAAGTTGTGAAGAGTTACCTTGACTCACATCCAGTCATCAGAATGAATAACATGGAATATCATCTCATCACTACATTTCACATTATTTGTAATATTACACTACTAAGAACCAAGTGTCAAGTAGACTTGTTATGTACCTTGCAGTGTTTATCTTTCTCACAACATTTTTATATTTCAAATACATAAGAATTGTGCCTGAAACTCGCTTGAAATGACGCCCAGACAATACTAAGTTACCAATACTTTTATTTGATAGAAATTAAAGGTTTAATCTGCTTAGGTTACAAAATATACTTTTCTAGATGGATTTGTCAGCCATGTGTGTGCTGTCAGCTTGCGTGATGGTTCATTGCCCATTCACCGCTGCCTAGAGGGAGGTGATCACCATACAATAGTTGAGAGCTTGCTACAGGCTGACACTACCTGCATCAATACCCAGAATTCTGCTGGTCTGACACCACTACATCTCGCTTGTAAATTGATCAGAAAGAAATCTCTCGACAAGCTCCTGGCCACAGATGGTATTGACATCAACCTGTTGACCTTGACTGGTCAGCTAGCCGAGGAAATCACCAATAACAAGACAGTCATAAAACTCGTTCAAAAGGCCCGTAAAGGTCATCCAGTCAGGTAGGTTAACAGATGGAAACAGTTAATGCAATACCTTGATTTCAGACATTTCTAATCACTTATTAGGTCTGGTGACCTATTGAAGGTAGCTGGTCTCTACACTGGAACCAATTTTGATAAATTTTGCACTAACAGAATTTTTATATAACAGAATTTGCATTAACTTTGTTTTTTGTGTATTGTACAGGAATGTAGATAGGTTCTAGATCGTGTACAGGAATGTAGATATATTCTAGATCGTGTACAGGAATGTAGATATGTTCTAGATCGTGTACAGGAATGTAGATATGTTCTAGATCGTGTACAGGAATGTAGATATGTTCTAGATCGTGTACAGGAATGTAGATATGTTCTAGATCGTGTACAGGAATGTAGATATGTTCTAGATCGTGTACAGGAATGTAGATATATTCTAGATCGTGTACAGGAATGTAGATATATTCTAGATCGTGTACAGGAATGTAGATATATTCTAGAATGTAGGAATGTAGATATATTCTAGAATGTAGATATATTCTAGATTGTGTACAGGAATGTAGATATATTCTAGATCATGTACAGGAATGTAGATATATTCTAGATCGTGTACAGGAATGTAGATATATTCTAGATCACAACACAATATGACGTCATGTATGGTGCCATGTTGACAAATATTAATTAACACATACAATAGCTTAACATCAATCATGTATATGACAAGGATTTTCATGTAATTCTTCCTGTAAATAGACTGAAAAGTTTTTTATATCTTGATGTTATAGACACAATGATATAAAAAAAAAAACATGAACAATGTAAAAATAGATTACTATTATAAAACCATCAGATGTATTATTGTCAATGTAGTTTGGATGACAGTTAAATAATCATACAAACAGATATCATTCTATTTATCATTCATATTGTCTCACTGTCACCACTTTCAAAGGTCATTTTTGACAGGTAAAAAGGGTCAGATGGACAGAAATTAAAATTATCTTACTCTTTGTACCCATATATTTTAGAATTGAAAATTTTTTCAGGCAGATAATGTGTAACACTGATAACTTCTAGATCTAATATACCACTCAACAAGAGAAAACTTCTGATCAAATTCACGAAGACCAAGAATCATATTACTTTGTATTTATTTGTAATGGTATGCTAAAATTTCTCATATAGATATCCTTGGCTTACTTTAAGGTCGTAGGGACCAGACATGTTGAAAATCTCAAAGAACATGATATTGAAAAGCAATTATGTTTAAGTTTGTGGTGGGGATGGGTAATGTGAATATTGATGGATTACCACGAATATAAAAAGTCGAACTTCAGTGGTCACTGTTGGCTTGAGTGAAAGGTAACTTTAACTATGATCATGGGGTAAATTGGATTACAATTGAACACTTAACGCTGTTAGAGTCTTCTTTTCAAGTTCCAAAAAAGTAATTAAGGATCATAATATTTCACCAAAACACATCTTCAAAATCATGTCATGACCTTGACCTATTTTCATGGTCATGAATATGAAATATGTTAAAACCTTCAAAAGACGTTTAACTGTATGAAGGATATTTCATTGTGAGATGCTACTAGCTACCATTGCATTGTAGATTTATGTCAGTCTGGTATTTTTTTCTTTTATTGTAGGAAGAGGATGTCAAGTTCTGCATCTCTGATGTCACCTGCCTCATCAGTGACTGATGCTGCACCTTATCACAAACCTCCTAGTACTACAGGCTCAACCATCAGTCTGGAGAAGGTCCATGTACGATTTGAGCAACTCAAACATTCCCACCAACTCAAACAGAGTAGAGAGGCTTGTAAAAATTAGCCCCAGTTTACCAATCAAACAATATACTAGAAATTCCATGATTTGAACAACTCAAAAATTCCCACCAACTCAAACAGGGTAGAGAGGCTAGTATAAACTAGCCCCAGTTTACCAATCAAACATTATACTGGAAATTCCATGATTGTTGCATTTTTATATTTTTCTACATATCACATGTTTAAAAAAAAATGTCTCATTCATATGTGTGTTTGAAGTTTACAGGAGAAGGGCAGGGAATATTGGAATAAAAACTCTATACAAGGATTAGGAACCAACCACCAGTTCTGGAATAAAAGTTGTATCCAGGCTTAGTACTTAATTTGTCATATCATTATATTATTACATGTAGTTGTCTTTCTTCAGTACTCAGGAATAACCAGCTTTACAGGGGTCATAAGAGAAACAGTGACAGGAGAGAGAAAGGGTGATACAATTTGTGGTATGAGAGTGTTAATTATTCAGTATTAGAGGTCATGAGAGGCAAGATGATAGGGAAGTGATATAAGAGTGAAAGTTATTGATACAATGATGTCGTTATATACTCAGATTTACTATTATAATTACCAGAGCATAATATTTCAGTCATAAATATGTTTATTCCAGTCATTAAATGTCTCACTTTTTTATCAGTGTTGTAGTTTTTATGTGCTAATCAACAAATAGGTAGTCTGTTTTCATTACCTTAAGTACTAAACAAGATTTCTACAAGTCAGTAGATAGGTGTTATCCCTCGATAATAACACACAACTTCTACTAGTCGGTAGATAGGTACTATCCCTGGATAATAACACACAACTTCTACTAGTCAGTAGATAGGTGTTATCCCTGGATAATAACACAGGACTTCTACTAGTCAGTAGATAGGTGTTATCCCTGGATAATAACACACAACTTCTACTAGTCAGTAGATAGGTGTTATCCCTGGATAATAACACATGACTTCACAGGACTTCTACTAGTCAGTAGATAGGTGTTATCCCTGGATAATAACACAGGACTTCTACTAGTCAGTAGATAGGTGTTATCCCTGGATAATAACACACAACTTCTACTAGTCGGTAGATAGGTACTATCCCTGGATAATAACACACAACTTCTACTAGTCAGTAGATAGGTACTATCCCTGGATAATAACACAGGACTTCTACAAGTCAGTAGATAGGTACTATCCCTGGATAATAACACAGGACTTCTACAAGTCAGTAGATAGGTACTATCCCTGGATAATAACACAGGACTTCTACTAGTCAGTAGATAGGTACTATCCCTGGATAATAACACACAACTTCTACTAGTCAGTAGATAGGTACTATCCCTGGATAATAACACAACTACTAGTCAGTAGATAGGTACTATCCCTGGATAATAACACATGACTTCTACAAGTCAGTAGATAGGTGTTATCCCTGGATAATAACACAGGACTTCTACAAGTCAGTAGATAGGTGTTATCCCTCGATAATAACACATGGTTTCTACTAGTCAGTAGATAAGTACTATCCCTGGATAATAACACAGGACTTCTACTAGTCAGTAGATAATAACACAGGACTTCTACTAGTCAGTAGATAGGTGTTATCCCTGGATAATAACACATGACTTCTACAAGTCAGTAGATAGGTGTTATCCCTGGATAATAATACATGACTTCTACAAGTCAGTAGATAGGTATGTCCCTGGATAATAACACAACACTTCTACTAGTCAGTAGATAAATATGTCCCTAGATAATAACACAGGACTTCTACTAGTCAGTAGATAGGTACTATCCCTGGATAATAACACATGACTTCTACAAGTCAGTAGATAGGTACTATCCCTGGATAATAACACACAACTTCTACTAGTCAGTAGATAGGTACTATCCCTGGATAATAACACAGGACTTCTACTAGTCAGTAGATAGGTGTTATCCCTGGATAATAACACATGACTTCTACAAGTCAGTAGATAGGTGTTATCCCTGGATAATAATACATGACTTCTACAAGTCAGTAGATAGGTGTTATCCCTGGATAATAATACATGACTTCTACAAGTCAGTAGATAGGTGTTATCCCTGGATAATAACACAACACTTCTACTAGTCAGTAGATAGGTATGTCCCTGGATAATAACACAGGACTTCTACTAGTCTAGATAAGTATGTCCCTGGATAATAACACAGGACTTCTACTAGTCAGTAGATAGGTGTTATCCCTGGATAATAACACATGACTTCTACAAGTCAGTAGATAGGTGTTATCCCTGGATAATAATACATGACTTCTACAAGTCAGTAGATAGGTGTTATCCCTGGATAATAACACAGGACTTCTACTAGTCTAGATAAGTATGTCCCTGGATAATAACACAGGACTTCTACTAGTCAGTAGATAGGTACTTTCCCTGGATAATAACACAGGACTTCTACAAGTCAGTAGATAGGTGTTATCCCTCGATAATAACACATGGTTTCTACTAGTCAGTAGATAGGTACTATCCCTAGATAATAACACATGACTTCTACAAGTCAGTAGATAGGTGTGTTATCCCTCGATAATAACACAGGACTTCTACTTGTCAGTAGATAGGTGTTATCACTGGATAATAACACATGACTTCTACAAGTCAGTAGATAGGTGTTATCCCTGGATAATAATACATGACTTCTACAAGTCAGTAGATAGGTATGTCCCTGGATAATAACACAACACTTCTACTAGTCTAGATAAGTATGTCCCTGGATAATAACACAGGACTTCTACAAGTCAGTAGATAGGTATGTCCCTGGATAATAACACAGGACTTCTACAAGTCAGTAGATAGGTGTTATCCCTCGATAATAACACATGGTTTCTACTAGTCAGTAGATAAGTACTATCCCTGGATAATAACACAGGACTTCTACAAGTCAGTAGATAGGTGTTATCCCTCGATAATAACACAGGACTTCTACTAGTCAGTAGATAGGTACTATCCCTGGATAATAACACATGACTTCTACAAGTCAGTAGATAGGTGTTATCCCTGGATAATAACACAGGACTTCTACAAGTCAGTAGATAGGTGTTATCCCTGGATAATAACACAGGACATCTACAAGTCAGTAGATAGGTACTATCCCTGGATAATAACACATGACTTCTACAAGTCAGTAGATAGGTGTTATCCCTGGATAATAACACATGGTTTCTACTAGTCGGTAGATAAGTACTATCACTGGATAATAACACAGGACTTCTACTAGTCAGTAGATAGGTGTTATCCCTGGATAATAACACAGGACTTCTACTAGTCAGTAGATAGGTACTTTCCCTGAATAATAACACAGGACTTCTACAAGTCAGTAGATAGGTATGTCCCTGGATAATAACACAAGACTTCTACTAGTCAGTAGATAGGTGTTATCTCTAATTAATAACACAACACTTCTACTAGTCAGTAGATAGGTGTTATCCGTGGATAATAACACAAGGCTTCTACTAGTCAGTAGATAGGTGTTATCCCTCGATAATAACACATGACTTCTACTAGTCAGTAGATAGGTATATCCCTGGATAATAACACAGGACTTCTACTAGTCAGTAGATAGGTGTTATCCCTCGATAATAACACAGGACTTCTACTAGTCAGTAGATAGGTACTTTCCCTGAATAATAACACAGGACTTCTACAAGTCAGTAGATAGGTATGTCCCTGGATAATAACACAAGACTTCTACTAGTCAGTAGATAGGTGTTATCTCTAATTAATAACACAACACTTCTACTAGTCAGTAGATAGGTGTTATCCGTGGATAATAACACAAGGCTTCTACTAGTCAGTAGATAGGTGTTATCCCTCGATAATAACACATGACTTCTACTAGTCAGTAGATAGGTATATCCCTGGATAATAACACAGGACTTCTACTAGTCAGTAGATAGGTGTTATCCCTCGATAATAACACAGGACTTCTACTAGTCAGTAGACTTTCGATTTTTTCCTTCTATTTAGACCGACTGTAATTACAGAAAAATAATTATACAGACCGACAATCTCCCGACTCAGACCTGGTGTTAATTCCAATTTTGTCATTCTAAGTGAAAACAATGTGACTTTTTCCAGGTCCTAAAATCAAGGAAACTGGTGCGACGAATCGGAATTAACTAATTTCTAAGTATGTGATTTATTGTGACAGTGCATGCAAAATTAAATTGAAATGTACCCGAGACTTTCAGCGCAGTGATATTGTAGAGAATTGTGTATTTATGTTACACACTGACCCAACAAGTTGTACTGCGGAGTTACTCAATATTGGAGAACACATCTATATACTTTGGAAGTCAAGAAATAATGCTGTCGTGTCGAGTCAGATCCAACCAAGGGAGATAACTCCCCCATTTTTTACTTCACTATAGTCTACAAGCATGAATTCATATTAAGGCTACACTGTAGCTTATAACTGTTGCTGTCAGTAACAATATGTATAAACACAGAATGATACTAAAACAATATTATACCAAAATACTGCCGCGTTAGACACTGGGTACTACCAAATTTATAATTTCTTCCAATATTGCGTCAAATTAGAAACATTGAATATCGACAAGAACGCTGACTCATAAACCTGTTTGTTAAATCTGCATATCGTATTATTGAACGCATTGCGCTCACTTCTAGACTGTACTTGTATTGCTAATTTAAATTCTTATAAAAATTACTGAAATATCACAATAACTATGTACGAATGCTGAAGGCGTCGTAAAGCTAGCCAACTGATGACGTCATGATATTATAATGGAATGCATTTTGACGTCATAAACACAGATTATTGTCTGCTTGACGACGATCAGGCGAACTTCAGGACAGGGGCGGGGGTGCATCTCCACATGTGAAGTAAAAATTGCTGGAAACAACCTTTCTCAAAAAAATGGAAATTGAAGAATGCGAAAGCACCACGAATACCACAGAATTGGGCAAACGGTTCAGTACCCACTCGTGTCTGATCTTTGATGAACTGAGGAGATTCGGTCAGCTGTGCGACGCTGTTATAAGAGTCGAGCAACAGGAATTTCCCATCCACAGAGCCATTATGTCGGCTAGTAGTCCCTACTTCCGGGCATTGTTCACGAATGCGTTTGACGTAGTCGAACGGCGTGAGGTAGATATTCCGGGAGTAACAGCCGATATCATGCAGATCATCATTGACTACGCATACACCCGACGTGCCAAGATCAATGAGAGTAATGTGGAGTATCTACTTCCGGCTGCAGACCAATTTCTGGTCCACGGTCTGGTCAGACGCTGTTGTGATTTCCTCGCCGGGGAACTGGAAGCGGCAAATTGCATTGGCATCCATAATTTTGCCCGTTACTATTTCTGTCCGAACCTTGAGCGGATATCCTACCGATATATGATGCATAACTTCAGTGAGGTCGTGGCCATTAGTAAAGAATATACTGATCTCAGTGTTGAAGATGTGTGTGAAATATTGTCTTCTGACGATCTAAATGTGAAGAATGAAGAAATGGCTTTTATGTCAATTTTACGGTGGATTGATTGCGATCCTACAAACCGAAAGTGTCACATTTCTGTTTTGCTTCGGACCGTCCGTTTAGGGTTGCTGTCTACTCAATATTTTGTTGAGAAGGTCAAATCTCACCCGTATATCAAGGAAAATGACCAGTGTAAGCCTCTGGTCATTGAAACACTCAAGTTCCTGTATGATTTGGACATGGATGAGGATAAGGACCTCGACATTACAAACCCGCTCGCGCGTCCACGCGTACCGCACGAGGTGATGTTTGTCGTTGGGGGTTGGAGCGGTGGATCACCTACAAATGTCATGGAAAGCTACGACATGCGAGCAGATAAATGGATTGTGTGTGACCATGGCGATGAAGGTATGTTATATTACCACATATTTATCCGACATGTGAAATGTCAATGTGCTCTATCAAAAATACAACATATTTACAAGGTTATAGATCAAATCGGCACGCTGCCGTGAGCGGGGGATATTTAACCCGTGGCTATAACCGGCACATGTCGTATACAAATGATAACTGCTGCACCTCAGGCGAAGAAGGATTATCTTTCTATGTTATCGACAATAACGACAATGGACGGTTCACTCATCCACTCCTACAGAACAATAACAGCAGTGGACCGTTCACTTCTACAGAACAATAACAGCAGTGGACCGTACACTCCTACAGAACAATAACAGCAGTGGACGGTCCACTCCTACAGAACAATAACAGCAGTGGACCGTTCACTTCTACAGAACAATAACAGCAGTGGATGGTCCACTCCTACAGAACAATAACAACAGTGGACGGTTCACTCCAACAGAACAATAACAGCAGTGGACCGTTCACTCCTACAAAACAATAACAGCAGTGGACGGTCCACTCCTACAGAACAATAACAGCAGTGGATGGTCCGCTCCTACAGAACAATTACAGCAGTGGACGGTTCACTTCTACAGAACAATAACAGCAGTGGACGCTCCACTCCTACAGAACAATAACAGCAGTGGACCGTTCACTCCAACAGAACAATAACAACAGTAGACGGTCCGCTCCTACAGAACAATAACAGCAGTGGACGGTCCACTCCTACAGAACAATAACAGCAGTGGACCGTTCACTTCTACAGAACAATAACAGCAGTGGACGGTCCACTCCTACAGAACAATAACAACAGTGGACGGTCCACTCCAACAGAACAATAACAGCAGTGGACCGTTCACTCCTACAAAACAATAACAGCAGTGGACGGTCCACTCCTACAGAACAATAACAGCAGTGGATGGTCCGCTCCTACAGAACAATTACAGCAGTGGACGGTTCACTCCTACAGAACAATTACAGCATTGGACGGTTCACTTCTACAGAACAATAACAGCAGTGGACGGTCCACTCCTACAGAACAATAACAGCAGTGGACCGTTCACTCCAACAGAACAATAACAACAGTAGACGGTCCGCTCCTACAGAACAATAACAGCAGTGGACGGTCCACTCCTACAGAACAATAACAGCAGTGGACGGTCCACTCTTACAGAACAATAACTGCAGTGGACGGTCCACTCCAACAGAACAATAACAACAGTGGACGGTCCACTCCTACAGAACAATAACAGCAGTGGACGGTCCACTCCTACAGAACAATAACAGCAGTGGACCGTCTACTCCTACAGAACAATAACAGCAGTGGACGGTCCACTCCTACAGAACAATAACAGCAGTGGACGGTCCACTCCTACAGAACAATAACAGCAGTGGACCGTCCACTCCTACAGAACAATAACAGCAGTGGACGGTCCACTCCTACAGAACAATAAAGGCAGTGGACGGTCCACTCCAACAGAACAATAACAACAATGGACGGTCCACTCCTACAGAACAATAACAGCAGTGGACGGTCCACTCCTCCACTCCTACAGAACAATAACAGCAGTAGACGGTTCCAACAAAATTTAATTTAATGATGTACGCTCAAAATTACCACACTATACAGTGGTCCGGCTATTGAATCGAGACTTGCTTAACAACAAACGTTTTAATTTGCAGGGCCAAGGGCATACCACGGAACAGTTACAATCGACAAAAAAATCTATGTCGCTGGGGGATTTGATGGGGTTGAGTACTTCAATAGTGTGCGATGTTTTGATCCGGTAACAAAATCCTGGTCCGAGGCAGCACCGATGAACGCCAAACGGTTTGTTCTTGTGTCGGTTTATAGCGTTCACAGTTTCATCACACATGTGTGTAGTAAAAATGTCCTTGCACCATTTTTTTTTGAAGTGGAAAGTGGTTTGACACGTATCACTAAATTTTGTCCTAACAATGTAAGAGGTTTGACACGTGTCACTTTCAATTTTGTTCTAACAATGTAAGAGGTTTGACACGTGTCACTTTCAATTTTGAAATGATGAGGTAAGGGGTTTTACACGTGCAAATTCGATTGCATGTTGTCGTAAGTACATTCAGTTCTTCGTCTTGTAAGCACGGAACAGCTTTATTGTTGCTGCTAGGTGTTATGTGAGCACGGCTGTCCTGAGAGGATGTATTTACGCCATGGGTGGATACGATGGTCACGTGAGACTGAACACGGCGGAGCAGTACCTACCCGACCGGAACCAGTGGACTATCATTTCGCCAATGAATCATCAACGTAGTGATGCCAGCGCCACCACTCTCAATGGTAACCATACCAGTTTGTACAAGTCGTTTACCTGCTGGTACTAACCAGAACTATACTGCAAAGTCCAATATTAACTTAGAGCACGTGTTCGTCACTATCATGAACAGCTAACTAAAGTGACTTCCGGTGTTACCAGAAGACTTCAGTACCAGGATATTGAGACTTCCGGTAATCCCAGTAGTCTGTGTTGTGGGGTAGTATCTACAAAAGTTTGTCTCTCTAATCAGAAACGTTAATATTTTGCTTCAACTGAACGACAGTCGTGTGTGCTCTATTATGTAACAAATAACTCCGGACTTCTTGTTCTTCTACTGTCTCCTTATACTGATAAAAATAACGTGTTTTACGATTTAATGTTTTTACAGGATGTCTCATTTTAAACGCTGTAACCAACTCTTTTATATCTTCTTCTCTTCATAGTTGGAATCTGTATAATGAAACCGTGCACAACCTTCATCGGATCCAAGTCCTCTTTATAGTCTATTATACGATGGCCGGTAACGGACTAATAGAATATTCCACCCCCTTAGGGGTGAGACAGGGGAATCTCAACCCGAGGGGCGATTATTAAGTTGTCAAACACGAGGCTTGTCTCATCCCAAATGGGATGAATGATTATTTTTCTCTTACCCTGTTCCCCTGCTGATTGTAAAATACGAAATAGAATGTTTGTAAACAAAATCTCGTAGACAACGTATGAATATAGTGACGAGGTCGTCTCAACCGCGTCACGCTTAATTGTGATATCCCGCACAAAATATAATTCCCATTAACGGTACAGTACAACATAAAAAGGCATAATATTAATGATAAAAAACAATTTTAATGTGCAAGTATGGATGAGATGACTTCAATATATACACAAAATCAACACATATTATTAAATCGTTATTTTACAATGACGTCATTTACATGTCAAGTTCTACTTCCGGGTCAAGATAGTGATGTCACATTATTGTTGAGAACGCGCAAGGAGCGCGTGTAGCTTGTCTCAACCCTAGGGTGAGATAGAAAAATCTCACACCGATAAAAACTGTGGATATCCCTGTCCGGGTTAAGAGAAATCATAAACCCAATATCGTATAGCTGGTAATTCTGACGCGTCAAAATTTTATCGTTCCCTCCCAATAATATTTCGGTTCCTCCCAATAATATTTCGTTCCGTCCCAATAGTATTCCGTTCCTTTAGAATAATATTTCGTTCCTTCCCAATATCATTCCATTTCCTTCCAGTAACATTCTTGTCTATCGCAGAAGAATTCCGTTCCATCGCAATAATATATCGGTTGCACTCTATGACAGCGATGTAATCCCAATAGTCAGGATGTTTTGAGGATAAACCTTGTAACTTATATTGTCTCTACTTGTGATGATCATTCTTTGAATATTTGCTGTTATTTCCAGAGGAAGGGTTATATCATGACCCCAAATGTTTGTTTAAATTCAAATTTGGAGTAATTTTCTTCGGAAATTCCCGTCTAACCGAGGACCAGAACTAAGATATTTTTGATGTGGTCAAACTTTCATCAAATCACCAACAGTGTTTTTATTTTTGATAATAATACTTTTGTTAAATGCTATCGTAGTTTTCTATATGTATATTGTAAGAAGGCGTAGATAAGTTGAAGTACCTCGTGTCTAGTTCCTGGCGAGTTTGACAATGTTTTCCATAGTTGTCCAGTAATACCACTGTTACATTGATAGTGTTTATGTACTGCAATACTCAGTATTTTGATATGAGTTCTTATTGTGCAGTTGAAGCAATTTAGGAAAATCAATTGTGTTTATCTGTTTAGATAAAGTGTACATCTGTGGCGGATTCAACGGCCAGGAGTGTTTAAATTCATCAGAATATTATGATCCCAACACTAACCAATGGACTTGTTTTGCACCCATGCGTAATAGGCGCAGTGGTGTGGGCGTCATAGCCTACGGCGATCAGATTTATGCGCTCGGCGGGTTTAATGGCGCCGCTCGTATGAACACGGGTGAACGATACAATACCCTCACAGACAACTGGCAGTCCATTCCAATGATGTATAACCCACGGAGTAACTTTGGTGTAGAGGTAAACGAGTGTAATTTTGGTGTAGAGGTAATTAAGTGTATCTTTGGTGTAAATGTCAAAAAGTTTCACTTTAGTGTCGAAGTAAACAAGTGTAACTTTGGCGGAGAGGTGAACAAGTGTAACTTTGGTGGAGAGGTTAACAAGTGCAAGTTTGGTGGGGAGGTGAACAAATGTAACTTTGGTGGGGAGGTGAACAAGTGTAACTTTGATGTAGAGGTCAGCAAGTGTAACTTTGGTTTCGAAGTAAACAAGAGTAATTTTGGTGAAGACATGAACAAGTGTAACTTTGGTGGGGAGGTTAACAAGTGTAACTTTGGTGGGGAGGTTAACAAGTGTAACTTTGGTGGAGAGGTAAACAAGTGTAACTTTGGTGGAGAGGTTAACAAGTGTAACTTTGGTGGGGAGGTTAACAAGTGTAACTTTGGTGGGGAGGTTAACAAGTGTAACTTTGGTGGGAGGTTAGTGTAAATTTGATGTAAGTGCAAGTAACTTTGGTTTCGAAGTAAACAAGAGTAATTTTGGTGGAGACGTGAACAAGTGTAACTTTGTTTGGGAGGTTAACAAGTGTAACTTTGATGGAGAGGTTAACAAGTGTAACTTTGGTGGGGAGGTTAACAAGTGTAACTTTGGTGGAGAGGTTAACAAGTGTAACTTTGGTGGGGAGGTTAACAAGTGTAACTTTGGTGGGGAGGTTAACAAGTGTAACTTTGGTGGAACAAGTGTAACTTTGGTTTAACAAGTGTAACTTTGGTGGGGAACAAGTGTAAATTTGGTGGGGAGGTTAACAAGTGTAACTTTGGTGGGGAGGTTAACATGTGTAACTTTGTTGGGGAGGTTAACAAGTGTAACTTTGGTGGGGAGGTTAACAAGTGTAACTTTGGTGGGGAGGTTAACAGCCCACCTTCCTGATGATTATCTTGATGATGGTGAACTATAAGGAAAGCCACCCATGGCTGATTTTGAGGGGCTTTGTTTGAAAGGATCTCCATCAAGGGTAGGTCAGTTGTCATTAAAAAGGCAAGGGAAGTCACTTTATAGAAAAGTAAACAGAAAAATATGTTTATGTCCAAACTACACTGTTTTCACTCTGTCAGTCCACTTATGAAGTTTAAGTACATGAATGGTTTTATTTTAAAGGAGCGTGTGTTTTGCACAATTGGGGTATAAATCCCTCCGCTTGATGTCATTTTACTTCCAGGATTAGATAACTGCATGAAATCTGACAATATAGGGAGTGACTGAGGAAAATCAAAAATAGGTCCAAGTATTAATGATAATAACAAATTATGAGAAGGGGTGGGGGTGTGGTCATCAAAATGTTAAATAATGAGAAAGGGTGGGGGTGTGGTCTTAAAAATGTGAAATGATGGGAGGGAATGGGGGTGTGGTTACCATAATGTGAAATAATGGGAAGCGGTGGGGGTGTGGTCTTAAAAATGTGAAATGATGAGAAGGGGTTCTGGAGTTTGAACTTACCCCATAAATTGATTATATTTCGTACTGTTAGACATACATGTATGATCTCAAAAGAACATCAATATACATGTGTATGTTTACTGGTATATTTCCTGTTACAGGTAATTGACGACATGATATTTGCTATTGGAGGATTCAATGGTGTCACCACCATATTCAATGTGGAGTGTTTCGATAGAACTTCTGACGAATGGTAAGATGTTTACTTTGAATATAAACTGTATTTATATTTCTACAATTGCTAAACAAGCAACAGCTTATATTAAGCACTCTTGTTAGCTCGGATGAGAGGGTGCAAGGGTTTTACTGTGGAAAGAAACCAGAGTACACGTGACAAACCACGTGGTCAGGCAAGTGACACCTGATTCAGATTACAATAATTGAAATGATTGGATCACTGTCATCTTTTTTCAGGTTTGACGCAACAGATATGAACATCTACAGAAGTGCTCTCAGCGCATGCGTCATCAATGGCCTTCCTAACGTTCAGGATTACACTCATAAGGAAACTAGACCAAACAAAGAAACTGGAAAAATGGAAGTGTTATAAAATAAAATGGATGTTAGATCATATGTATTCCGTATGATCGAAACATTGATGTAATACTATCTCAATATCACATGTGATTTTTTCATAATAAAAACAGTGGAAGAGAGCTATGAGGTTTTAAAAATTCTGTTGTGTTGATATTTACAAAGAAAGAATCATACAATATGACGTATTGCTGGGAGTCTATTTTGACCATACAACGTCTGCTCTGTGTAATATCGTTAGTTTCAATTAATTTTCAATTGATACCCTCTATTATTTGTTCATATACTATTTTTCCAATTTCAAAAGTTTTTTTTTTTGTGAATTTGGTATAACATTTTATACCACTGTGGTATATTCTTAATGTAGTAAATAAAAATGAAAGAAGAATACAGAGTTTTGAAATGATGTCATATTCTCACACAGGAAAAAGTCGAAAGTGTGGTATCTATATTTAGAAATGATTGATCTTTATTGACCACCTTAATCATGCTTACCTTGTACACAACAACTGGTCTTATTCTCCTTGAATGTATGCGAGAGTCTCAAGGTAAATATTTTTTAAATTTTTTTCTATAAATTTCATCAGTTTTTTTTTTAGTTTGAATCAATATTTCATTAATTTCATATACAATCACTCCATATACCGTCTGTTAACTTGCCTTCCTAAAGCAATCCATGTAAATGAGAGTGCGTTGCAAAATAGTTATAAAACGAATATTAGAAACAGTTGTCAATGTCACTCTCTGATTTCTTGGTGTATATGACATAACATGAACGCAAAATGAAGCGATATTGTTTTCATTGTATTTTACATAAGTAAGTGTTTAAAGGGTCACGTGACACTCACAGACATACCCACCTCTCCATTACAGACATTCTACAACACATACAACTAACCATTAGGGACTTGGCATCATATCATTTACCTCTCCATTAGGGACGCCTTACAGTGCATACATTGTGACATCATAATGTACACCTCTCCATTAGGGACGCCTTACAATACATCGACTGTGACGTCATAATGTACACCTCTCCATTAGGGACGCCTTACAATACATGGACTGTGACGTCATAATGTACACCTCTCCATTAGGGACGCCTTACAATACATAGACTGTATCAAATAAAAAGTTTAAAGATGTAATACGGATTTTTTTCGCAGATAAAGCTGATTTTTTTTTCAAGTTTTGGTCATTTAGCCCCTTACTAGCGAGACTGAAGCAGGAAATGCGAGACATGCATGTAACTGACCGAAAGTAGCCAAACCAAAAAATCAATGAAAAATAATAATATTAACTAGTCAAGGCTATCCGATGACGTAAGGGATGTAACAACCATTTGCGTGTAGGTAAAACAACAAAACATGAAAAACGTATCATCCTTTAAAAGATGAAAAAAAAATCCCAACAAAAGCAAAAAAAAAAAAAAAAAAAACTCAGAAGCATACAACCAAGATAACATTATTGATTCCTGTGAAAAGTTGCGATTCCTCATTAAGAAATACAAGGGAGACAATCTAAATGAGCTTATATTTCCAGTCATTTTCTCCTGTTTCTTCAAGAGGTCATTAAAGTCTGTTTGACCGTATACTGTCAGACCTTAAGGTGTACTGCGTCATTCTACAGAGAACATCGATCTTAATTTGAGAACTGACGTAAACTCTGACTGCAATATCAAAATTAATTTATTAATGTAAAATGAGACATACACTTATGAACTATACACTTGACGTAACACACTGGATTTTTTTTTTTTTTTTTTTTTTTTGGGGGGGGGGGGGGGGGGGGTTGTCATTCACACCGGCTTAACAATATATACACTTGGCCATAAGATATAAACAGTCAATTTTAGCATGAAAATTTTAATGAAAACTTTCTTTCACACGGAAGAAATTCACAAGTGATATATTATGTAAAACATATATTTCCAGTAATCACGAACTATGAGTCCATAAATTATTTCCAGGTGTTTATTTTCTATTCGTAAGACAATATATCGTTTTTACTAGACAGACCGGCGACTGCTGCCTTGTGTTACATTCCCAGGCAGGGAACCATTGTTTTATTTATAAGTAGGAAGTCATAAATGTCAATATGTGCGTTTGGAACGTTTGACATGAATGGCAAAAAGAGGATGATGCAAAAATGTTGGACTATGTGTTCGCGAAGCTTGGCATGAATGTGGAACAAATTTAGAACAGATGTATTGGCCAGTGGTGTTGCGTTTCCGTACAATTTTAGTAATGTCCAAGTAGAGATTCCGCAATATTCCGTTCTTATCAGTCGTAATAAATGCTACCATTGTTTTTGTTCTGTGTACCTTCAGCTTCAATGATTTAAAATTAATCCAAAATTCCTCGTAAAACTTCCAGGTTTCGTTTAAACATTAAACATACTTTCGAGTTTTTCATAAATATACACAAAAACTAACAAGTTAACATCGGAAAAATTAATGTCTTTCGTTTATCGGTGACGCTTAAGATAACAATGTTCAAATAGTCTAAAGGTTCAATGATTTCGTAACAAAGTCGATTTGTGGGAAGGTCAGCGGAGAAAGACATGGCTAATTTTCGGGAAGGAAAAAAACGGTTTTTATTTGAAAGTCGTCAAATATGGTGTGTAGTTTTTGTCTGTTGCAGTTTCCGATGTGAAGGAATTAAAGGGGAAAGTTCCGATTTTCCTGTCAACAATCTACACCAAATCAGTGCTGGACCGAGGGAACAGGACAATGGGACCAAAATCACATTACGTGACAGTAAGTAGATCGTGAGTCTAGGGCTTCCCATCAAACGACATAAATATCTGATTTAGAAATCAACTTAGCACATATCAATGTGACCTAGAACCTAATTTGTGTCTATGAACATGAACTCGACACTACCCACGTTAATGTCTCTGATCTGGAACCCGACACTACACACGTCACTGTCTGTGATCTAGAACCCGACACTACACACGTCAGTGTTTGTGATCTAGAACCCGACACTAAACACGTCACTGTCTGTGATATATAACCCGACACTACACACATCAGTGTTTGTGATCTAGAACCCGACACTACACACGTCATTGTCTGTGATATATAACCCGACACTACACACGTCAGTGTTTGTGATCTAGAACCCGACACTACACACGTCATTGTCTGTGATATATAACCCGACACTACACACGTCAGTGTTTGTGATCTAGAACCCGACACTACACACGTCACTGTCTGTGATCTAGAACCCGACACTACACACGTCATTGTCTGTGATCTAGAACCCGACACTTCATACGTCACTGTCTGTGATATAGAACTCGACACTACACACGTCACTGTCTGTGATCTAGAACCCGACACTACACACGTCACTGTCTGTGATATAGAACTCGACACTACACACGTCACTGTCTGTGATCTAGAACCCGACACTACACACGTCACTGTCTGTGATCTAGAACCCGACACTACACACGTCATTGTCTGTGATCTAGAACCCGACACTTCATACGTCACTGTCTGTGATATAGAACCCGACACTACCCACGTCACTGTCTGTGATCTAGAACCCGACACTACACACGTCACTGTCTGTGATCTAGAACCCGACACTACACACGTCACTGTCTGTGATCTAGAACCCGACACTACACACGTCATTGTCTGTGATCTAGAACCCGACACTTCATACGTCACTGTCTGTGATATAGAACTCGACACTACACACGTCACTGTCTGTGATCTAGAACCCGACACTACACACGTCACTGTCTGTGATCTAGAACCCGACACTACACACGTCATTGTCTGTGATCTAGAACCCGACACTTCATACGTCACTGTCTGTGATATAGAACCCGACACTACCCACGTCACTGTCTGTGATCTAGAACCCGACACTACACACGTCACTGTCTGTGATCTAGAACCCGACACTACACACGTCATTGTCTGTGATCTAGAACCCGACACTACACACGTCACTGTCTGTGATCTAGAACCCGACACTACACACGTCACTGTCTGTGATCTAGAACCCGACACTACACACGTCATTGTCTGTGATCTAGAACCCGACACTTCATACGTCACTGTCTGTAACCTAGAACGTATGATCTCTTCCTGATGGTGAAATGTGGAGACACCGAAACCAAGTAATTGGTTATTACAAGATATGTAATCCTACCCTAACAAACGTCTTGGTTTGGGATCCAAATCTAATCACCGTAAATGAGACGTCAAGTTACTTCTATTATGCGATATCTCTATTTACCTTTTGTTTGTAGTTTGCCAAACACCAAAAGCCGATGTGTTTTTCTTGGTGGATTCCTCCGGAAGTGTTGGATCTCACAACTTTCAAAAACAGAAAAGATTCATTGCTGATCTGGTGGCACAAATGAGAATAGGTATCAACGATGTCCTGGTCGGGGTATTTACGTTTTCGTCCAATCCAGTATATATGATCAAACTGATGTCAAACCAGGATCTGACATCACTAAGAACTGCTGTGAACGCCATACCATATATCAGCGGGTCAACACACACAGGTGCAGCTATCGAGTTTGTCATAAAACAAGCTCTCGGACATACTTCCGTTAATAGGGCGGACGCGCCGGACTATTTGATTGTCCTAACTGACGGCCAATCCAATAACAAGGCTATGACGCTTTCGGCCGCACAGAAACTGCATCGTACAGGGACAGAAACCTTCGCCATCGGTATTGGGTCGGGGGTCAACATGGACGAACTCCATGCAATAGCGTCAACTCGAGGCAATGTAAAGGTGGTTTCCAGTTTTAATGACCTCGGTGGACTGTACAGTACAATATTCAGGAAAACATGTTTCGGTGAGTATGTTGTAACAATTTTAAAAATCGCCGTAGGCACAATTCAATAAAAATGATTAACACCATCAGTAGAAGGACTGAATAACATGTATATTTGAGAACGTGTAGGACGGCAAAACCTTGTTTTGTATATAGCTGTATAGCTGACAATATTAGGGATTTGATTCAATAAGAAAGGAT